ACTCACGGTTGGTGTCTTGGGGGCGGGGGCTCTGGTCGGGCGCGGACATGGTGGTCAAAAGGCAAGAGTGTCTCGTACTAGGGAGACTCTCGACCCTGAAAATTGAGGGCATTTATATGGTGAACATGCCGGAAGAAGTTTGATCGCGGCAGATCACGGAAGGAACCGAACAACCAAATGAATAAGACGTGGGAACATAACTCTATGTCTCCGCGGCTTTAATAATAAATAAACGAGACGTCGACTGTGGGACTTAGACCTGACGCAGTGAGACTGTCGCGGGATTGACCAGGAGGTCAAAATTAGTGTTCCTGGGAGATGATAGGCTGGCTACCAGACGCGCTCTGCACCAGCTCTGTAAGGGCGTATTTTTGCGCTTTTTACAGAGTTTACTCTTGAACCACTCGGTGTATCGTGTCGCGGTTAACAGTGTTGCGCTCAGTAGGACTTATGGGTCTACTGCCCAGTCGACGACTGTGGATAGTGTCGACGATAGCAAGGCAGTCAGACCACTACTGTGGAACTGGTCTTACGAGTCTACACCAGGCTCAGGGCCATTAGTGACGAACGCTTGGACCGCGACCATTCCCCAAAAAGGGATATGTCGTTGCGTCGACTTCTCAAAAAGGGTCATTCTCTGCAGATGGGAACTTGGGCTGAAGGGCTGAGCAATGCGCGACGTTCTCAATAATAGAACTACTACGGGACAGGACTTGGCGTTACAAGACTTAAACCATCTTGTCGCGGCAACTCCCGGTTTTGAGTTGGACGTTTCCTCAGATCATGCCACGACGACGACTTGTCACATGTCAGGATCCATTCGATCACGGGACATTGTGGACGCGTCGCGGTGACACTTCCAAGTGTCACGGCGAGTCGCGCCCATACTCAAACACACTAAAATCGATACGGCTAGATCCGTGAACCGAGCCATGCGGGAGACGATTGGCGTGCCTAGAGCCATACGGCTTCTTGGGGCGCCCACGTTGGTCTCACATGCCAAGACATACCCGTTGGCCAATCCAGCACGTCGTATTCCAAAAGTATGACGCGGTGAGTTGGCCCACATCAAAAGTATCATATGGACAATGGGGCGGGGTCCTGATCACTCAGGACCTGTCCGATCGTTCAACTTTCAATTACCCTAAAAAGGCAACCGATCTTAGATAGCGTAGCTACTATACAGTTGTACAGGACTTTACTAAGCAGCGTCGTAGACAGTATAAGTAGCACGTCGTCTCTTTGTATTAGGAAGCTTTTCCCCGGACTGTGAATCACTCTCATTTCAGATTGTTTTGTACAATTTGCGTGCCGCGTGATTCCACCCTAAGAAGTTCTGCTACCCCTGCCCGGTCGCGACGAGTTGCTCCCTGAGCACTTGTAGCTACTGTGATTTGAGTTTTGAGTTTTGAGACATCAGAAAGTCGGATTCGCCGCATCTGGTTTAGTCGCGGCATTTAGTGTCGTCGCCTTCGGGCTTTGTTGAGATCGTTCCACACCTCTAGCTTGGCAGTGCGTCGACTAGTTGTGCTCGGGTTGTTTTGGTCAGTTGGCAGTGCGTCGACTTGAGAACTTTGGTTCCACACTTCTTGCTTGGCAGTGCGTCGACAAGTTGTGCTCGGGTTTTGGACATTGGATATTGGCTGTTAGTTGGCAGTGCGTCGACGCGGCATTTTGGTTTACTAGTTGGCAGTGCGTCGACTCAGTACTTTTGGTTGTGTCAGTTGGCAGTGCGTCGACTTGACATTTTGGTTCTACTAGTTGGCAGTGCGTCGACTCAGTATATTGGTTGTATCGGTTGGCAGTGCGTCGACTTGATATTTGGGCTTTGCGTCACCATCTAGACGCTGTCGCTACAAGGGATCTTAATACTTCGTATTAAGCTCTGACTTGTTATATTGTTGTTGTGGATTGGATTAGTGTTGGTTGTGGTCGTATAGAAGATATTGGTTGAGACACCATTATTTGCTATATATATATATTCTTGTCGTCGACTCCGTCTCCGCGACTATTGGATCTGCGTCTATTGAGAGTTGTGATACTGGTGCTCTGTCCACCCCGAAGCCCTCGCATCTTTCACACACTGAGAAGCTGATTACGAGGAGTGTGAACGTGTTTATATTTGGGTTTACTTTCATAGTAGATTCACTTGTGAGCACGCCCTCAGCATTTCATCGCGTCGGTGGATAAGACGCACGGTCAACAGCATGTGGGTCAAACACATGCTCGAGCAGCAGGAGCCTCCGTCTGGGTGTGGCGTCCCCTCATTTTCAAGATGCGCCAGCCGTTGTGCGTTTTTGCCGTACGCAATGCAGGGGCAGAAGCATGCGCTGCAGACTTGTCGCGCAAAGCATCAGCAAGCGCCAAATGGTGGCAGAGGATTAGCGCAGCGCTTACAAGTTCCACAGTCCCCGGAGCATCCGAGCAGACTCTCACTCCATTCACGTTTGCCGCTGCTGTTGATCGGCTTGTTCAAAGCGTTGCGGTTCCCGCCCAGAACGTGCATAGCCATCGTGGGTTGTGGCTGCTGCGACATCTGAGGTTCTTAGTTTTGGTATGCCGTGTCGCGGTTCGAGTGGTTGAGAGAGAGAACAGGAAGGTAGATGAGGAGCGAAAAGGGAGTAAAAATGACACCCGGTGAATGGTGGAAAGCGATTTAAGTAAGGAACCCAGCAGAGCACAAAGGGACGAGAGAAATGGCAGAATGGACCGCACGATCCTCCTGTCGGAGCTTTATTGAATCCGATGCTCAAAATCCCCGGAGGCGACAGAAGGCATCGGCGTGCGCGCTTAGGCGTGCCTCCAATCTGCAGATCTTCACGCGGAGACTGCTGAGTTACTCCTACATGCCGACGCCCCCGGTCACTCGGTAGGCAGTCGGTCCGGAATAGTTGAAGTACTTAATCTCCCAAAGAGGGTCGGAATCGAATCTGAAACATAGTGCAAATCGGCAAATGGACACAAAATCTCAGGTTTACTTAGTGCCAACAGCGGAGCAGCGCTCTTGGAATTCGAATTAGAATGGGGGCACATCAGAGGTGTATCATACTCATAGAAATGAGAAGGGCTAACCGGTGTCTGGAGGGAACTGACTGACTCAGGGGTAGCAGGGGGGCAGAGGGGATGACCGACGGTCAGGGCACAGAGCTGTTGAACTGCTGAGAACCAGGATGATGATCCCCTCCGCCAATCAGGCATAATCCTCGGTGTTATAAAATTCCCGAGCCATGGTGAGCGAATTAATCTCGGGAAGCACTTTACACCCCAGGGACCTCCAATTATTACGTAAAATGGCTTCGAGGCCCCCTCCGGAGGCCATCAAACCACCCCCTACCCCCCCTGATCGGAGGCCATCCTGGAGGCGCCTTCCTAATTGGTACTCTGCCCAGCCATTCATCCACAGCCAGCATGGTAGGCTAGGCATTGACCCGAGTGTTTATATGTGCTGTAGTAGTCAGTATAAAGCCTCATACAATGTCTTAGCTCACAAAAGCTTGTATTTCTTGCTTGCAAATGGCAGACCACTGGGCACACAAAATTTGGGATTTGAGCACATGAGCACTCCTCAGGTGCATAGAGCAGCAGTATATATATTAATTCGAGATTGAGCATGAGGTAGCTGTGCCCACACGCAAAAATGAGATGTTGCTGAAGGGATGGTTTATGGCCTCCACAACCTCCCAGGGGCAGAAAAAAAGGTGTTGGGTAGCCCACAGGCCCTTGAATTCTGCTTCAATAGATCAATTTGACGCTTATGCTTTGTCAAAACAACAGCCCAGGATATAAATTGGATGCTGGAGCAGTGACAGAACAAGCCTCCACCGCCTCCAGGGCTGGGGACCAAAAGCGGTTATTGTAGATTCAGCCACATAAACCATATTTCTGATCTTGTTTGTCCTAGTCAGAATGTCTGGGTATTCAAGAGAGACAGGTGGCTACATAGATCAGATGCTAGCACCAATAGCAGAACTGGCCTCCATGGCCTCCACAGCCAGTGACCAAAAGCGGTTTTTTGGGTTCAGCCACATAAACCATGTCCATGATGTTGAAGGTCTTCATTATAATTATGAGGGTCCTTTAGTTAAATGTCTCACCACATGAATCAGATGCTGGAGCAAATGGCAGAACTGGCCTCCGCTGCCTCCACAGGTTATCACTTGAAGAGTCTGAATGAGATGACAATGTAACAGATATATATTCTCCTGGCTGACCACATTCCGTCATTTTCACCTCTACATGCTAGTTTAATTGCTGCAGAATGTTAAAATTAGAGGATGGGAGACCCTGGAGGCACTGGAGGCACATGCAAGATCCAATCAATGTCATCAATATCATCAATGCCATCAAGAGCATCAAGAGCATCACCGATCATTGGTATATTGATCAGCCAATCAGAGGATGAATAAACATCGAACATCTAGTATATTCACTCCTGAGAGACACAGACTACATGTATGCTCATACTGAAAGTGGATTAGTGGTCCCAGGTCAGTTGACTTTCAGCTCATTTGCCAACTCCAATTTTTAATCATATGTCCCTGATACAAGCATGCAATATGTCATTGGGGCATGTCCTGGGACCACTAATCCACTTTCAGTATGAGCATACATGTAGTCTGTGTCTCTCAGGAGTGAATACACTAGATGTTCGATGTTTATTCATCATCTGATTGGCTGATCAATATACCAATGATCGGTGATGCTCTTGATGCTCTTGATGGCATTGATGATATTGATGACATTGATTGGATCTTGCATGTGCCTCCAGTGCCTCCAGGGTCTCCCATCCTCTAATTTTAACATTCTGCAGCAATTAAACTAGCATGTAGTGTCATAACTCGACTCTTTTTCATCTTATCATCGGCAATCTTATCTTATCTTGGCACGACTTATCTTATCACGGATCACGGCATCAGACGGTCCGGGATAGGGGTTCCAGGGGTTATCTCTATCGATTCGAGGCTGCGCGACATATGCTCCGGAAGGTTCTACTACAACCCATGACCAGTGCTCCATGCGGTACATAGCCCTATGACTCATTAGTTGTAGATATGACTCAGACTGGATTTGGGTATAAATACTGTAGCTACTTGGTTGTATTCTCCAGTCTTTGAATTCAGTTCTCTTTTCGACATTCTTTCTTGTTGATTATCACATAATTCGAAGACTCCCCTCATACCCTCGTACCTCTTACCTCCTACCCTGCATCACCGCACCGCTACGCCCGCTATATCCTCTTCATCCTTATCACCCCACTTACCCTTTTACCGAATCATCTAGTCGTCCTCTGCGATCGCAGTGAAGGGTTCATATTGAGCAAACAGCACCAGGCCACGGGTAACGTTGAGCCCGACCCAAGCCTTACGGTAGCTACAAGGAGTGCTGCGGAGACCTTCGGGAAAACGCACCTTGGGATCATCGGGCACGTGAAGAGCTAGGCCCGGGATCTTTTTGCTAGCAAAAGAACCCTCCCTCGAGTGCTTGTACAGCACACGAATCCACCATTTCGTTCCGATTCCCATCGTCGTCTGGGAGTCCGTCTCCTCCTCCCATCCTACCGTCGTCGCCAGATCTGGCGCATCAAAACCAACCCGGGCCCTCCAACCCCTACCTCGCCCTCCCGCCTCCTGAAGACGAGATCCTCGACCTTGACAAGTTACCCTCTGAACAACCACCCTCGCCCCCACCTACCACACCTGCTCCTACCATGTCAGGACATCACCGCATCACCCTCGCCGCCAATCCTCCCTACTTCGATGGCGACAAGTCCAAGTACCTGGGCTTTGTGGACGCGTGCACCACTTACATCGGTGCCTATCGATCGGAGTTCTCGCTGGACGAGACAAAAATCCTCTTCGTTCTGTCCTACCTCCGAAATGAGAGTGGCACAAGCTGCGCCGCCTCAAGATGGGCGATGAACTGGAAGCAGCACAATTTCGAGGGCTTCCAAGGACTAAAGGCGGGAGTCACCGCAACAAGCTTCTTGGAGGAGCTTCAGAGGGCCTTTGGGGATTCCAACGCAGAGCAAGTCGCTGCCGCCCGACTCATGGCCCTTCGCCAGGGCAGACGGTCCTTTGCGGACTACATCTCCGACTTCGAAATGCTGGCTGCAGACGCGGGGTACAACGTGGTCACCTCCACCGACAGCAAGGGCAAGTACAAGAAGGGGGAACAGGACAATATCCTCATCGAGTTCCTGGAGCGCGGACTCAGCAGCGAAATTGCAAGCCGCCTCTACAACACCGGTGTTCCCCTGCCCAAGGCATATGGTGCCTTCAAGAACTGGTGTGTCAACATCGAGGCCAATGCCTTGCGCGATCAGCTGCGTAAGGCCTCCTATGCGCACTCGACTCCACGGCCTCCCCCCCAATTCCGCCCTCAGGCAGCACCAGCGGCGCCCACGCCTGCTCTGACCCGACCGGCTGCCAACGAACCGGTCCCGATGGAAATCGATCGCACCCATGCCCGCGGCCGCAATATCATCTGCTACAACTGTCAGCAGCCTGGGCACATCGCGCGGAATTGTCCGGAGCCCAAGAAGAAGCGCACGTTCTTCAATCGGGCCACAATGCTGGAAGAGATCGAGAACAGGGATAAGGACAACGAGTTCCTCAAGGAGATTGCCGAGAAGCTGCGCGAGAAGGGTTTTTGAAGCGCTCCACTCCTCTAGCCAAGGAGGTGGAGCGTCCGGACTATGGACGATTTTCTGTACTTGTTTCAATTAAAGACATGAACAATTCTGCACATACATATACAATCCCGGACTCACTACGTACCAACATTCACGATTTTCTCATCGCTGATATGGAAAAAGAACGCCAACGAAAAATAGCTTTAAATAGAGAGTATTTACAAAGTAAAAAGGATCAGAAAGCTGCAGATAAATTAATTTTGGATTCCTACGTATTTATGGCTCGTGGAGAAGGAACCACGTCAACAAAGACCAAAAAGGGGAGCATCGCTCCGAAGGCTCAATCCCTGGGAAAGGAGGAAGCGCCTAAGGAATCTGCCAAAATCGAGGTTCCAGAAGCACCCAAACGCACCAGGGTGCCAGATGCCGTCCAGAGGAAATTGGCATCCGAGAGACAGAAGGGCCCGCAACCCGGCAGACTGGCGCAGGAATTGCGCGACTACCAGGCCGAAAGGAGGAGACATTCGATGGACGTATATGTCCAGATCACGGGTCTGGACTCAGGGAAAACGCGCGGAGTCAAGGCGCTGCTCGATAGCGGCTGCAGTACCTGTTGCATCGATACCGACTACGCACGGGCAGAGAAGTTGGATATTCAAGAACTTCCCCAACCCATTGTGGCCCGTAACGCCGACAACACCGAGAACATCAGCGGTCGGATCACGCATTACGTTGACCTAAGGATGAGAATCGGCCCTCACATGGAGACACGCACGTTCCTTCTGACGTGTTTAGAGAAAGCTCGGATCTTCATTGGTCTTGATTGGCTGACGGAACACAACCCCGAGGTAGATTGGCAGGAGCAGACCATGAGATTCAGCCGATGCCCAGAGCGATGTCACATGAGTGGTCACGAGGAACATCAAGCAATGATTGACATGGATGCAATCGACCTGGACACGGGCACACCGGATCTGGAAGAGGGAGAATCGATCCTGTTGGTCGATTTTGGGAAGGAAGTGGATCTGCGGCTGAAGGAAACGCCGGCGCAGAAATTCGCAGAAGAAGCGGAAAAAGAGAAGGAGAGGATGACCGAGGGGAAGATTCCGGATCAATATCGGGAATTTGTCAAAGTATTCGCCAAGGAATCGTTCGACTCACTACCAGACCGAAGGGCATGGGATCACGCAATCGAGCTCAAACCTGGCTCGAAGGCAGTGGACTGCAAGGTGTACCCATTATCACGCAATGAACAAGTCAAACTTGACGAATTCTTACAAGAGAACCTGGCCAGTGGACGGATCAGGCCATCAAAATCACCCATGGCATCAGCATTCTTCTTTGTCAAGAAGAAGGATGGCTCGCTACGCCCCGTCCAAGACTATCGGAAGCTGAATGAGATGACGATTCGGAATCGATACCCGCTGCCGCTGATATCCGAACTAGTCCATAATCTATGTGGCGCCAAGTTCTTCACAAAACTTGACATCCGGTGGGGGTACAACAATGTACGAATCAAAGAGGGCGACGAGTGGAAGGCTGCGTTCCGCACAAACCGCGGACTGTACGAGCCCCTAGTTATGTTCTTCGGTCTCACAAATTCCCCGGCAACATTCCAAAACATGATGAACGACATACTCCGAGAGTTGATCAACGAGGGTCACGTGGTAGTCTATCTAGACGATATACTGATCTCCACAGAAAACTTGGACGAACATTGGCGGATCACGAAACGAGTGCTCGAATAGCTCCAGAAACACAAGCTATACCTGAAACCCGAAAAGTGCGAGTTCGAACGCACGGAAATCGAATATTTGGATGTAATTATTGGACACAATTCGATGCGGATGGACCCAGTCAAGATCAAGGGCGTGATGGAATGGCCTGAACCAAAGAGTGTCAAACAGGTCCAAGCTTTCCTCGGATTCACAAACTTCTATCGGCGCTTTGTCCGGGGATACGCGGAGGTTGCCAAGCCATTGACACGGCTGACAGGGAAGGCAGGATGGTCATGGGGTGCAGATGAGCATGCGGCATTTGATGGATTGAAGAAGAGAATCGCGGAGGATGCGGTCCTAGCACTGCCAAATGACACTGGCCAATATCGTCTGGAAGCCGATGCTTCGGAAGGGGCAACAGGATCAGTTTTGAGCCAAAACCAAGACGGCATTTGGCGCCCAATCGCATTTATTTCGCACGCACTGACCGAAACCGAGCGAAATTACGAGATCTACGACAAGGAAATGCTTGCAATCATGCTATCATTGGACGAATGGAGACAGCTACTACTGGGAGCCACGGAGACGTTCGAGATCTTCACCGATCATCAGAATCTTGAGTACTTCCGGAAGCCACAGAAGCTCAATCGACGGCAAGCACGATGGATCACGGAGTTGGCGGAGTTTGATTTCACCTTACGACACCGACCCGGCGCACTCAACCGCAAGGCGGACCTCCTGTCTCGACGAGCAGATCACGATCAGGGCAAGAACGACAACAAGGACGTCACGCTACTGAAGCCCGAGTTCTTCCGATCACAAGAAGTCACATTCGAGGGACAGGATCAGCAGCTAATCAATGAAATCAAGGCCATTCGATCAATTGATGGAAGCGTCAAGGCGGCCTTAGAGAAGTCACTCGTCGGATGGAAGAAGGAAGAGGGGCTTATCACGTATCATGGGAAGCTCTACGTACCAAGGGACGAGGAGCTGCGAGACAAGATCATCGGGCTACACCACGACACACCCTTGGTCGGACACGCTGGGATCAATCGAACGCAGGAAATGGTGGAAAGGAACTACTGGTGGCCAAGGATGGGAAACCAAATTCGGAAATACATCCAGACGTGCGAAGCGTGCCAACGGACCAAGACCAGAAGAGCCAGGACAGGGAGTTTGCACCCGCATGCAGTTCCAAACGCGCCGTGGGAAATCATCTCCATGGATCAGATCGGACCCTTGCCGGTCAGTAACGGGTATGACGCAATTCATGTGTGGTGTGACACCTTCACCAAAATGATCCATGTCGAACCAATTAGTACTGACATCAGCAGCGAAGGAGTGGCACGATTAACCAGGGACCGAGTCTTCCGCTACCACGGGATCCCTCGCAAGATCATCACCGACAGGGATTCGCGTTACATCAAGGGCTTCATGAGGGAGATGAATCGGATGTTGGGCGTGGAAATGAACCCGGGGACCGCATATCACCCGATCACGGATGGGCAGACAGAACGCATGAATCAGGAGATCGAGCATTATCTCCGCATCTACGTCAATTACCATCAGACGGACTGGTCGGAGTGGCTGGGAATGGCGGAGTTTGCATACAACGACAAGATGAACACGTCTACCAAAATATCGCCATTCTATGCGAATCACGGATATCACCCGTGGAAGGGAGTGGAGCAACGAATGGAGTCAAGGAACGAGTCGGCGGAGGAATTTGTAAAAAGAATCAAAGAAATACAAGACGAAGCAAAAGCAGCACTAGAAAAAGCAAAAGAAAAAATGAAAAAATACTACGATAAACAAAGAAAAGAAGTTCCGGAGTTGAAGGTTGGGATGAAGGTGTACATAGAAGGGGAAAATATCGAGACGGATAGACCATCAAAGAAGATGAGCGACAAGAGATTGGGACCATACGAGATACTGGAGAAGGTTGGAGCGGCCGCATGGAAGCTGGATTTGCCGGACACGGACCGAAGACACCCGGTGTTCAACGAGTCACTATTGACACCTTATCATGAACCACCCCCCCATCGCCGAGAGAAGAGACCCGTAGCCAAGATGATCGGAGGAGCAGAGGAGTGGGAAGTCGAAGAAATTGTGAAAGAACGAAAAGTCGGCCGAGGAAAACAGTACTTGGTCAAATGGAAGGGATGGTTGCACAGCGAGAACACCTGGGAACCATCACGACACCTTACCCACGCGAAGAAGGTCCTGAGAGATTGGCAGAGGAAACAATCCAACCCAGACACACGCATTCGCCTCCTGCCAACTTTCGAAGCCGGACATTGGGATTATCTCATCCATCGCTACAAACCCAAAGATGAGCGCCTTCCATATCCCCAGCGACAACTCTTCAATCCCTACGAAAACGTCTTCACGCCCATCAGCCTAGTCGATGAGGACATCGACCCTAGAGAGGGGGTAATGTCATAACTCGACTCTTTTTCATCTTATCATCAGCAATCTTATCTTATCTTGGCACGACTTATCTTATCACGGATCACGGCATCAGACGGTCCGGGCTAGGGGTTCCAGGAGTTATCTCTATCGATTCGAGGCTGCGCGACATATGCTCCGGAAGGTTCTACTACAACCCATGACCAGTGCTCCATGCGGTACATAGCCCTATGACTCATTAGTTGTAGATATGACTCAGACTGGATTTGGGTATAAATACTGTAGCTACTTGGTTGTATTCTCCAGTCTTCGAATTCAGTTCTCTTTTCGACATTCTTTCTTGTTGATTATCACATGTAGAGGTGAAAATGACAGAATGTGGTCAGCCAGGAGAATATATATCTGTTACATTGTCATCTCATTCAGACTCTTCAAGTGATAACCTGTGGAGGCAGCGGAGGCCAGTTCTGCCATTTGCTCCAGCATCTGATTCATGTGGTGAGACATTTAACTAAAGGACCCTCATAATTATAATGAAGACCTTCAACATCATGGACATGGTTTATGTGGCTGAACCCAAAAAACCGCTTTTGGTCACTGGCTGTGGAGGCCATGGAGGCCAGTTCTGCTATTGGTGCTAGCATCTGATCTATGTAGCCACCTGTCTCTCTTGAATACCCAGACATTCTGACTAGGACAAACAAGATCAGAAATATGGTTTATGTGGCTGAATCTACAATAACCGCTTTTGGTCCCCAGCCCTGGAGGCGGTGGAGGCTTGTTCTGTCACTGCTCCAGCATCCAATTTATATCCTGGGCTGTTGTTTTGACAAAGCATAAGCGTCAAATTGATCTATTGAAGCAGAATTCAAGGGCCTGTGGGCTACCCAACACCTTTTTTTCTGCCCCTGGGAGGTTGTGGAGGCCATAAACCATCCCTTCAGCAACATCTCATTTTTGCGTGTGGGCACAGCTACCTCATGCTCAATCTCGAATTAATATATATACTGCTGCTCTATGCACCTGAGGAGTGCTCATGTGCTCAAATCCCAAATTTTGTGTGCCCAGTGGTCTGCCATTTGCAAGCAAGAAATACAAGCTTTTGTGAGCTAAGACATTGTATGAGGCTTTATACTGACTACTACAGCACATATAAACACTCGGGTCAATGCCTAGCCTACCATGCTGGCTGTGGATGAATGGCTGGGCAGAGTACCAATTAGGAAGGCGCCTCCAGGATGGCCTCCGATCAGGGGGGGTAGGGGGTGGTTTGATGGCCTCCGGAGGGGGCCTCGAAGCCATTTTACGTAATAATTGGAGGTCCCTGGGGTGGCACTTTACGCTGCGTGCGTTCTAAATCAATGCGCATATGGCTTCGAAGCATTTGAGTCATGAAAGGTCATGAAGGGAGAAACACATGTTCAAGCCTTGTCATATGTATTACTCGGCGGAAATCAGACAAATTTCTGCTGTCGGATACTGAGTAGAGATGAAGCAATGTCAATATGGCATGTCAGCCTGCTTGACGTCCATGACAGATGGTGCTTACGATCGTCTCAGTCACACTCGTCACGGCGTAAGTGTGACCCCCAAAATGTCTGCAGCAACGCCATCCCGGACCCCACGATCCAACTTTACTCTCCAGGACGTATTCCTCGTGTCACACAGAACTCTTCGTCGCAGTCGGGGACCCCTCGTGCGCGCACAATGACAAATCGCCCTCCGCATGCCTGGCCGTCTTACGTCCAGTCGTTCGCTCGCTCTCCTTATCGACCTCCATCTGCGCCAGGGCTCCATCGCGCGGTCTCTTCCCCTCGCAAGCGACGATTTCTGCTGATTCGACAAACATGGAGCGCACCGGCTGTACTCGATCCCTCTAATACATACGTCTTCTGAACTTTTGACGGTCCGTTCCAGCCGATGAAACGAAACATGAGACACGGGCCCCGGTCGACTCTTTGAAGTAGGTTCCGTGCATTAATCGGTGACGAACACACTTATCTATCGGTTCTTGACGCTTCCAGGACTTTGGATCCAGGTGCCCGGTTGCCGCTCCCACGGAAGAACTCGCCGTTCAAGCTCTGGTCTAAGGCGAGTCGGCTGGCTGCGATATCGAGGCCCTTGAAGGACGTCGTCGACAAGTTGGCTGCGGATCCGGGAAGAGCGCATACAGTGCCTATCCAGGGCGAACTGGGGATAAACCTCCGCGTCGTAAGTGTCCAGATTCTGTGCGAGGCGACCCGGCTGCTCATCCTTTTCTCGGATCGTGTATCAGGAACTCTGTGGGGCGAGTGAGGTTTTGCAACGGAGTAGGGAAGCGGTCCTGAGGCGCAAGAGAATCTTGGATCGCCTCGGGAAGTCGCAAGCGGCATTCGAACATCTGGCTCAACTGGCGCTGCCTTTCTGTGAAGTGTGTCACCCTCAATTACAGTGATTTCGTTCAGCTCTTGAGTTGACCATCCCAAAAGTTGAATCCGATAACAAAAGCAATCTCTGGTGCACTAGGTGTCATATATACTGCGCGTCGATTGCCACCCCGCCTTCTCGTTCCTTTTCCGAGGGATGCAAACCCCGCAGAACCTCAAAGACCTGCAAGACTGGGACGCCAACCTAGTCCAGCTTATAGACGACATGACCCAAGCTCTCGCTTACGTCCAAGACCTGCGGGCGATGGAATCGACGGCCCATCTCAAGCAGACTCTGATCGAATTCGACCACTCGGTCCAAGACTGTGCGGCTCTCATCGCAGATCAGGCCAAAACCGGTGCGTCCTGAAATTTCACTGACCTTGTCGAGATGCGAACTGACTTTTTTCTGCTGTAAGGCTGGAAGGACGCGCTGACCGGCGCACATGTGACAGCGATGCAGGCTCTGTGCCGTCGCTTTGAGCGCTGGCGTGTTCAGTTTCACGTCAGTCTGCAGGTCGACATACGGTCCACGTTGAACGACATCACCGAACAACAAAAGAAGTTCTGTACGTACGATCCGCACACGCCAAAGTGACACACACATGCTGACGGAATGTGCATTGCATTGTGCTGCCAGTCGAGAGGGAGCGCTGGAAGATTCTCGACATGATCCGGCCCCCGGAAGGCACAGACGAGTGCCTCGTCTCCGGATGCATGGCAGGCACGCGCGAAGGTGTGCTCGCCCGCGTCGACGCCTGGGCCCGGCGCACCGACGAGAAGAACATCCTCTGGATCACGGGCCACCCCGGCTCCGGCAAGAGCTGCGTCGCGCGCTCCGTCGCCGACCGGCTCGACGCAGATCACTCTGGAGCGGCCGGCTGCTTCTTCTTCTCCCGTGGGACTAGCTGCAATCCCATCACCGCGACGCGGGCGCTGTGCGCTGATCTCGCGCAGTCGCAGTCGGCCTTTGCGGATATCCTCAGCGCCCAGTTCACAGATCAGCGCCCGTCCACGATCAATTTCCGACTGGCCAAGGCTCCCGAGACGTGGCGCAGACTGATCCACACTCCGCTGGGTCGGTATGCGGAGAATACAGTGGACGACGGGCAGCGCACGCTCGTTCTTATCATCGATGCCCTGGACGAGTCTGACGGCGTTGCGAATACACCCTCGGCGACTCCAGCGACTGGGTTCCTGGACGCATTGGCGACGTGGGCCACCCTGTCCACGTCGTTGCGACTCATCGTGACGAGCCGCACGCAGCACCCGATTCCCGAGGCACTAGAAGCGATCAGCGAGCGCCTGGATCTTTCGGCTACCACGGCCGACGAGACGTGGCGCGATATTTACCACTTCTTGACGGCGAGCCTCCAGCGGATCCGCGCGGAGTTCCTGCTCCCCCGCTCGTGGCCGCGCGAGGCTGACATCGACCGGCTCGTGGATCTGGCCGGCGGGCTGTGGGTCTGGGCACACACGGTCGTGCAGCTGCTGTGGACGGTCGAGGCCGAGTCCGTACTGCGCCGCATTCTGTCTGTAGGCATCGCAAAGGGGGGGCAGATATGGGAGCTGTACCGCACCGTGCTGCTGATCGCGTTTCCCCGACAGCAGGAGGACGGCGACTGGGGCCCCGCGTTTCTGGAGGACTACGCGCGCCTCGTCGGCGCCCTCGCGTGCTTCCCCGGCCGCGTGGCCCGCCGCGGCTCGCCGTTGCTCCACATCCTACGTGTCAACCGGCCCACGCGCAAGTGGATCGTCCAGCAGCTGCGCCCGGTACTCAAGGACCACGCGCAGTATCTGGCATTCGAGCACCGCACCTTCGTCGAGTTCCTGACTCGCTCTGAGCGGTGTCCGGAGGAATTGCGCATCGACAGCGCTGTTGCAGCTAGGATGATCGCGTGCGCGATGCTGGATGAGCTCAGAGCGAGTCTGCGATTCGATGAAACATGCTTCAAGTCTTCGAGGAGGGAGAACAGTCCCCGAAGTACGGATATTTCCGAGGAGTTGAAATTCGCAAGCTTGTACTGGGCTGAGGGGTTACCCGCTTTGCTTGATCCGGATGATGAAGATCAGTTCTCGGGACTGATCCGCGATTTCTTGATGACGAAGTTCCTCTTTTGGTTGGAGGTGCTGAGCTTGTGCGGGCGGATGGAGAGAGCGCTTGTTCAATTAGAGAGTCTGAAGCAGGCTTTACGGGTGTGCATTTCTCACTATGGTACTCGCCAGTCGGTGATTCCCCTGCAGAAAACTCGATGGCGACTCGACGCTCCCACGGTTCCACCAAGCACGTGGTCAATGTTGGATTTCATCGACGATGCGCTATCGTTCGTCGAATGCTTCATGCCATGCGTGAAGCGCAGTGCCCCGCATATCTACCTCTCCTCCATCTCCCTATGCGATTTGACCTCAAGGATACACCAAACTTACGCGCCCTCGCTGGCGCGCTATGCCCACGTGACAGTCCAAACCGCGCACGATCTCCGAGATGGCCGTGACGAGACATTGCAGGATGTGATCCACGTCCCAGACGTGTCGGACGACGTGCTGTTGCTCGAGGGCCACGCGGACCGCGTCATCGGTGTCGCGTTCACCGCCGCGGACGAACACGTGGTATCCTGCTCGGCGGACGGGTCCGTGCGGTTCTGGGACCCGCTCACGGGCAGGCCGATATTCACGCCGTTCGTCGAGGAGGGTGCGGCACGGGTGTGCGCGGTATCGCCGTGCGCGGTGTTTCTTGCTGCAGGCTTCGTGAATGGAAAGGTGAGGGTCTGGGATTTGGACGCCCACGCGCCAATCGCCTCGCTCGACGTGCATGCGTCGCCTGTGGTAGCCTGCGCTCTGTCCGCGGCGGGCGGGCGCGCCGCCGTGGGGCATAGAGACGGCACGGTCCGGTTCTGGAACGTCAGAGAGCAGTCCGAGTATCGGCGGCCTTTCAACTCCGATTCGAGCGTGTGCATCTCCGCCGTGGTGTTCGTGGACACGCTCACGTGCCTTTCTGCACAGGGTCACGTCGTCACGCTGCATCGCGCTGACGGCGACAGCCACGTGATCCTGCAGCACGAGAAGAGTCTCCGCGCAGCCTCCCTCACGCACGATCCGCGCCGACTCATTGCTACGACGTCGACGAACCAAGTCGTCGTCTGGGACATATCGGATTTAGACAGCCCGAGCGACGGGATGGAGCTGCCGGCCGGGATCCCGAACGACATCCACTGCGTCGCCGCGCACGCCGATCTCCTCGCACTCGGCATCAGGGACACGATCCAAGTGTGGGACATCCGCCTGCAAAAGCCCGTCCTGGGCTCCCTGGCGGGCCATTCCGGGCGCGTGACCGCCCTAGCTTTCTCACGTGACGGCGGGCTCCTGCTGTCCGGCTCCCAGGACCGGTCGATCCGGGTCTGGGACATCAGCACGCCAGATGCGACGAGCGTGCAGGGCATCCCGAACGACGCGAGGATGGACTCGGAGGGGTGGATCGTTTCGGGGAGTGATCTGATCGTGTGGGTGCCGCCCCATCTGCGACGACGACTCTGCTGGGGCCGCACGAAGGCGGTGCTCGGCGGCCGGCCGGCCGCAGTGATCGAAGTCGTCCCGGAGCTGATTGGGAGCAGATGGCACAAATGCTGGCTGGGCAAGAATAAATAAATAGACGACGGGGTATCATTATATTGAACTGCCATGGGATCGGCAGGGAGTATGTATTCGATTCGAGCGTTTAGAGTCCCAGTGTGAGAGCGACGGTGTGCGCCGCGCCGGGCAACGTGACGCGGAACACCATGAACTGATTATCGACGTCCTCTCCGGCGTCGTACGGCACACCCAGCGAGACACCCTGGGTCGTCAGGAAATCGTTGTCGCTCTGGTAGTAGTAGTTTATGCACGTCAGCGTTTCCTCCATGAACCAGCTACCCAGGGACGCACAGCAGTGAACAAAAAGTAGTCGTCCGGGGCCAGCGGATCGCCGACCGGCGCCAGCGCGAGACTCTCCCACTTGGAGTCCGGCAGCGTGTTGTCGTCGGGGTCGCCCGTATGCAGCCCGAAGCGCGCGAGGTCTGTCGCGTTCACGTAGTTGACGAACCCGACGTACGTAACGGGCGTGATCGCGGGATCGAGCACGCCGCCGGGCGCGACGGGGAACGCGGGCGAGTCGAAGCGCGTGCCGTGGATGTCCGTCGCGTTCGCGATGCTGAACAGATCCGCTTGTCTGGATTTTCACCCCAGTCAGGTGTGTGCACGATACATCGACTCGGACGCACTTGTACTTGAATTTCGTCCCGCTGCCCCCATGCCCGTTCCCATCCCTGGACAAACACAGGAACACGCCGTCGCTGACGAGATGGATCTCGCTCGTTGCCTCGACTTTCCCGTTGCTGATCACAGGCAGCAGAAGCACCCATTCGCCCACCAGCGGGATCGTCCCGGCAGCAGCATTCGTCAGGTCGTATGCAAATAGCCGGGTGACCTGCCCTGCGCCATCCTGTACAGTTCCCGATTGGAGTACAGCGTAGAGAATGCGCTTGGCGAAATCGAGCGTTAGACCCTCGAAGCCTGGATACTTGTCGCACACAAACCCAAAAAGATAACCAAGACAGATACGTGCCTTGATTGCCTTGCCGCCCCGTATCCGGATTCGTCTCTGACGTAAAGTTGAGCGTTCCATTGATCATCGGGAGGATCGCCGCAGGGGGTTGGATCGTCTGGATGAGGCTGCCATTCGCCGCAAAGTGGTAGATGTACGGGCCGTACTCGTCGCTCGTCCAGAACCTGCCGCAGTTCTACATCACACCTCACATTGAAACTCAACAAAGCGGGCGACGTACGTCCCATCCACATCCTGCACCAGCCCCTCCGCGTCGACGACGAGGTGCGGCTCCGCCAGACTGGCGATCGGCATGACGGGATCCGCCAAGGGGAGCGTGGGCGACCGCGTCTGCGCCGCGCGCGTCGCGAGCGGGTCGAGGCCGCTCGTGCGGGTGTGGTTGCGCTCGAAGTGGAGCGTCGTGTTCACGTACGTCAGCACGAGCGTCTGCGCCACGGCCTGCGCGAACGTCAGCGGCGCGGGGGCGTAGTACGGCGTCAGCACGAAGGCGATCTCGTGCCGCCGCGCCTGGTAGTCGATCGGCGCGATCCTGCGTGGGGGTGGCGTCGGTTGATGATCCAATTAGCAGCAGAAGGAGCAGCAGCACGCACACGTTGAACCCCCGGTCCGGCTGCATGACGAGTGTGCCGGTGTAGCTCCCGTTCGCGTGCTGCGCCCAGGTCCCCCGCTTGAGCACCATCGCACTGCCGATCCCGCCGATCGTGTCGCCCGTCGACTCGGTCGCGTTTGGCAGGATGCGCCCGAACGCCACGAGGCCCTGCCGTGCGTGGTGAGTCGGTCCCTATGCGCGGGGCAGGGCAGGGGGGCGGCAGCACACACCTTGTTGACGTACTTCACCCCGCCTAGCACGGCGGAGGTACCCGTGGCCATGACCGCGACGCTCGTCGTGGTGGCCGCAGCGCCGCCTGCCTGTGCCGCATTTGCAAACGCAGCGAGGGTAAAGAGTCGCAGATAGACTGCACGCATATTCTAATCACCGCATGCGAGCGGCCCTGCGTCCTATTTATACCGCTCCCCCCCAGCTATTCTGAACGCGCCCTGCGAGCAGCTGAGCACGGCTTTTCTCACAGTCAGTCGAACCCGGGGGCACGAACGTGCGCACAGATCACACGAAGAAGTGTGTGCGGGTTGTCGCAAATGACATGCGCGTAGACAGGTATCTGCAGGTGTAAGATGGACGTAGCGTGCTCTGCTCAGATGTCGAGAAAAATGAGGTGGCTTCGGAAACAGTCTGAGAGCGGAGACAGAAGGAGTCTAATGATGGGATCACTGGTGTGATTGAGGAAGTCTCATGATCAGTTTGTCTATTTACAGTATAATATCACGATGAACGCCATTTATGGACACACTGTGGAACCAATATAGCACCGAAAGATTATTTTATCTCGTTCAAACAATCAGGTGTAAAAGGCAGAAGCGATATGTTACGGGTTTGGTATCCGTGCGGTCTCGGCTGAACACACTATGAAGTTTGGATGCAGCGCCACGTGAGCAACGATGACGACATTGCCTTGCTAGCCCTATCTGGGTGCTATATTCGTTACGATGCCATTGGTGCACGCACGGTATGGGACTACTCAAGAACTGGCTAGGAGCCTTTGCATCAACGCTAATTCGAATGTTCTCAGCATTTCTCGGTTACTTCTCTTCGTTGTAATCCGTGAACGGTAGCGGCAATTCACCTTCGATAATCCCGGGACAGTCATACTACAAGTCCAGATCCATCCTAGGATATCAACTTCGGGTATACTTACTAGTAGTACTACAGATTAATCAATATACGGTCCGCATTCCGGTCTACTGATAGGATGCTCCATTGCCAGCGCCGGCCTCCCTCCGCGCCTCGTACTCGCTCTCGCCCACATCGTTCTGCGGGCGGTTTCCCATCTGCGTGGGGCTGGTGTATCCCATCGCACCACCGTCGGCGGACTTGTAGTCGTGCACGGGCGGCCCGCCAGCGGGGTAGGTCGGCGGCTGGTTCGTGTTGTTCCCGCTGTAAGCGTTGGGCCCCCGACCAAGGTCTGACGGTGCGTTGGTTGTAGAGTCTGGAGCAGCAAGTCAGTCAGGTAGAGGGTGCACAGAGTGACGGGGTCGACTTACTCTGAGCATACTCAGCGCCCTTGGGCGGGGCGAATCCCGTCGCGTTCGTCGTGGCCTCCGGGTTAGCGCCATTGATGCCGCTTCCCCACCCTGCCCACCAATCAGTCCTCGATCCAAGTCCTCTCTGTCCGGAGAAGAACTTACCTTGGAGCGACTCCCCCGGCCCGTTGTTCACCCGCGCTCCAGCAAGACCCTGCTGGCCGGCGTAAGCACGGCCCTTGATCATGGAGATACCCTCCTCGATCTCCATGCGGCCCTTGCGCACCATCTCGTCGTTCGCCGCAGAGTCCCGGCGCTCGACGGCGTCGATCGCGCCCATCGTCGTGCCGCGGATGGTGTCACCCAGTCCCTGCGCGACTTTGGCGCCGCCTCTGAACAGATGTGAGCATGACGAACGACAGCGGTGGGTGGATGGATGCGTACTTGAACTTGGTGCCGATGCTGACTTTGGTGTTGGGTGCATCGGAGTTGTTGTTGGTCATGTTCGTATTCGTGGTGGCAGACATGATTTGATCGTGAAAAGTTATGAGAGTGTGAGAGTGTGATGTAGGTATGAATCTCGCTGAGATGCAGCGACAGGTTTTATAGTCCCATTCACTCTGCGGCGCAGCATGCTATGACGATCGATGACGACGTCACGACAGGCGGAGCAGGTCTTGGCGTGTGACGCCACAAACGGAAATTCCCGGACTCCTCCGGCGGCTTCCGGGGGCCTTCACGTGCCAGGGTTAACGCCGTCGCCGCGGAATCAAATTGAACTTCACCATAAGTCGGAGGTAATCACAGTGGCACACGAGGAAAATGCGTTCGATGGAGTGTGTCCCAGCTGTGGTGTCCTCACGCCTTCGGCCCTCCCACACCCTTCACTCTATTTAGGTAAGGGGCGTCCAGGGTATATAATAAACGTCCGCTTCGAATATCGCGTCTGCCGAACAAGCGTCTGCTTCTCGACCCCTCATGCTCGCTCTGCTGCACAGGTCCGAATTTTTGTTGCTCGACTCCTGCCGCGGTCCATCGAGCTGATCTGTCCGGCCAGCTGCTTCATTCCCTTGGCTTTCAGCTTACTGGTTCATGCCACCGTCTCTAATCTACAAGCCCCGATCGCTGCCGTCTCTGGCGGCAGTATAACCGTGACTTGGGCGAACGACGGCACCGAGAGGTGGGCCGCAGTCGATTTGTTTCTCATCACTCACCTCCGCAGCCAGCCGCTGACCTTGGCGCTCTTTGGCGCATTTGTACGTGTTGCTTCTTTGTCTTGCCCCCGCCCCCCTCCCGCCACTACGGGGTATATTCTGATAATTTGGATCCAATGCAGAACGGTCCTTTTGCTATTGCCAACGATGTCGACCCGCTACAAGACACCATGACTGTCGCGCTGCCCCCTGTCCCTCCGGGGTACGCACTCGATCTCCCGCGGCATGAGGAGATGCAGCTAACGCATCCGCAGTTCGCAGTACACCCTCGGCCTAATCAGCATGTCGAACACCGCCAATGTCCTGGCGACCAGCCCTGCGTTCGAGATCTATTCTCCGGGATCAACGCCGACAGGCGCCAAAGTCGCTCCGTGCGTTTTGCGTTCTCTGAGAGAGACTGAACCGGGGCTGATTTCCAGCAAAGATCTCCGACAGTGATTCCGACACCGGTCCTGACCACTTCCACTACTGCTGCCGCCACTACTGCTGCTACCGCCACAATGGTCACGACTGGCGGCGCGGCTGCATCGTCCGCTACGGGCAAGCACTCGTTCTCGGTCATCTCTTTCACGGAAACGCAGCGTGTGACTGTTACTAGCTTCGGACCTCAGCCTAGCACGAGCCAGGGAGACCGAATGCGGGTTTTTCCAACGGTATGGATGGCTGCGCTGGTCATTTGGCGCGGGCTAGCACTAGCGTACGCTGTAGTTTAGATGAGAAATCATGTGTGCACGAGATGAGGCAGCTATGACGTCATTGCCCTCAGCCCTTATTCTAAGCGAGGCTCTTGTTCTCGCACCCTAAGAGGACTTTCCGACCAGTAATTCACAGGTTGCTCAGACGCAAGATCACCTCTGGTCACGATGTACCATCGAGTAGCGACTGACTTCCAGTCGCCAAAGTCTCCCCTCTAAGCCCGCGAAGTCGCGGTCCCTTATAATTACGGAATCGGCACTCAGGCTATCCAGTCTTCCCTCTCCCACCCACGGTACTCACACAACGATGCCACACGCACTCCTCCGCGCCCTCCGCGCCAAAACCCCCGCGTTCGGTCTCTGGCTGACCGCCCCCGGCTTCCTGCACACCCGCACAGCCGTGCACGCCGCCCCGCGCGGCGTTCTCTCCTGGGTCGCCCTCGACTGCGAGCACGGCGTCGTCCCCGGCTCGGGTGCCCAGCTCGCTGAATCGATCGCTGCGGTGCACCTCGACGACGGCTCGGGCGGAGTGCGGCCGAGTGCGGTGGTGCGCGTTGCGGCTTTGGGGAGCGATGCACGTCAGGGCGGCGTGGGGTGGCAGGTGAAGCACGCGCTGGATGTGGGTGCGAGGGGCGTCATAGTGCCCATGGTGTGTCCCACTGTCGCCTACCCGTTCTACCTCCCCCGAATCGCGAATGACGCCGCTGCCAGGTGTCCACGGCCGACGAGGCGCACGCGATCGCCAGATGCGCGCGGTACCCACCCCGCGGCCGGCGCGGCTTCGGCAGCCCCTACACGCATCTCATGTGGGGCCAGCCCTCCGCGGCGGACTACCTCGCAGGGGCGGACGGCGCGGTGCTGGTGATGGCGCAGATCGAGACGCGCGAGGGCGCGCAGAACGTGCGTGACATTGCGCGTGTCGATGGGATTGGTGGGTGCCCGTCCGTTCCTGTGCCGGCGATGTCGGCTCACTTGCGTTCCACGTTGTAGATGTGCTGTTCGTTGGCCCGTACGATCTGTCGATGGCGTTGGGATTCCCGCCGCCGAACCCGGACCCGCATCCCGAGGTCGAGAAGGTCATCCAGCAGATTCTCGCAACCAGTCGCCGGGAAGGAAAGAAGTGGTGCGTTGCTCACCAACCAGCCTCTGCTCGTGCTAAGCCTTGTCTTCCGCAGTGCTATTTACTGCACGAACGGAGCGCAAGCTGCACAGCGTGCGAAGGAAGGATTCGACATGGTCTGTGCTAAGTCTGCTGTTTCGCGTCTGTTTCTCATCGGAGAACATGTGCATTTTACGCAGATCAACGTTCTGAACGACGTTCGAGCCTTGTCGAGCGCTATCGAGCAGGAATTGCTGGTCGCAAGTGGCAGCAAGAGTGGAGGGACCATCTGAAATGTCCGGTCTCTAAAAATGGTCCTGTTTAGCTCGCAAACCCATGATCGTGCTCGACATGTCGTACCAATACTGACCAATGGCTGAGTATCTGTAACACTGCCGAGTATGACTTGTTTGGAACATCTTTAGTGCACGGCAGTCTCAGCTGGGTTGCCACTTGGAGATTGACACCCAAGTTCTAACTTTTACAGTTACACATACATGAAACGAGGCGGCCACGAGAATTTGCAGAATGTCGCCGGACCAGTGGGTGAGCGGCATGCAGAGCAGAAAACAACCGGCAGCATCAATGCATTGAGACAGGCTATCAATCCTGACTTGGAAGTCGGACTTCCCGCGCCGAGGATAAAAGCCATACCCTCGTTCCTGGAAAGGATGAAAAATTAACCAGCGTGCCCCAGAGCACAATCGTGTTTTTGCATTAAGGGGGAATCGAACCCCCGGCGGGTCGATACGATGTACTTATGGCAACGACCCAGGTTACCACTACCCCATTAATGCGGTGACAGATAGTACCGGGAGGAAAATATATCCGTGCGGGCTCTGAATGCTGCAGCCGAAACCCTTAATTATTATACAATTGGATCAACAAAGTCGGCCACCAAAAATCCCGGAGCACTCGTTGAGTCGGCTGAACGAAACCCGCGGCAAATCCGATTCTCAGTGCTCGACAGAAAAGTCGAGAACAGGACATCCGTCCTTTCTCCGCTGAGCGTCTCGGAATCGTATTCGGACGAGCCGCTCAATGCGGGGTCCCGGATGTTCAGCATGAGGCGCGAGATCATGACTGAGGAGATGCTATCGGCAGGGCAATATGAGCGTCGCGAAGAATTTGAAGGAAAGGCATCTGCATACACGTTCATGAAGGTCGTTGCTACACCGCGGGTGTAGTCCTGCAGGGCGATAAGAATGCATGGGACGCTCAGTTTGGGTTATCGGATCCCACCTTTCCTACCTGGGGGACAAGTTTAGAGTATGAGCAGCTGGCCTACAAATGCTACGCACGATGTACGTCATGATATTACACAGATTCGTGATGACCATGACCCTAGTACAAGATTAGCTCGGCGACGGAGAGCCATCGGCGACGCGCACCCGAAATAGATCGACCCGTCTCGGAGTAAAACAGAAAGCAGCGAAAGAGCACCCCCGTTCGATCGGCGCCTAAACTGCAGCGCGCGGTGAACCGTCAGAAAGAAGATAATGATGTCGAACACGCCCATGGATCCCCACGCGTAAATCAGTCCGATACCCCTGTCAGAGAAGCGGAGCTCAATTATACTTGGGTCGCATAGATCGAGGTCGCACAGTGATACGCACTGCTTATGGTCGATTTGATAGTTGCAGCCAATCAGCAGTGGCAGATTCGGCTGGCGCTCCTTGGGGCTGCCGAGGAAGACCGTGCCGTACTGGGGGGAGGGAGCGGGGTGAGATGGGTATCATCAGCAATGTAGTAGTCGAGCAATGCGCACCACACCGCAGACGATGACGCCCACGCCGATGAGCAGGAGGAAGCACAGCACCAGGCGGTTGCGTTCGTACAGCGCGTACGTCCGAAGGATGAGCAGGACTGGGGACCGGGCTGATATAAGCAACGTGGGAACCCAGCGACGCAGTGTATGGAACGCACCTCCGACAATGATCTGCGAGACGACGATGAAGTACTCGTGGTACGTCTCCAGCGCCTGACATCTTGGTTTCTCCGTGCGTCAGCCCGGACATCCCTTCGATAAACGCGAAATCGGCCGACGTACATCTGCATCGTCGGGCAAGTGAGTGAGTAAGTCATTAGCGCATGAAGAAAGGCGAGACGCACTGATTCTTTGCCCTCAGTCGGCTCGGTCGTCCAGAAATACTGGATCACCACGGGGATGTTGCCCAGGAGCGTGAGGTAGCGGTTCGCGAAGAACAGAATCGATGCCCCGTTCCATCGCCTCTGCCCGCGCGTAAGCAGGGTCCAGTACCGCGCGACTTCAGCCGGGAGCGTCAGAAAGTAATCGTAGAAAAGGATCGCTGGGCAAAGCAGGTGAGATCGTGCAAAGCAACGATAAACACGGGCGCGCAGACGCACTAAATGAGATGGCGTTCAAGTAGTAGCTCGAGTTCCTGTGAGGCTGCGTTCACTGAGGGACCCTGCCATCAGAAGACGACGACGCACAGCTCGATCTGAATTTGTGTGGCACTCATAGAGCGAGGCCAGACACACACATCGGCCGTGCCAGGCGAAGTCGTGGAAGAGAAGCAAGAAAGAAGGTGGAGGGAACGCACCGGCTGATGTGTCCCCTAACAGCAGCCTTCCCAGGGGCTCGATTCAGTCCCCACCAGACCCCGAGTCCGCCGCCCAAAATTGCAAATCATGATGGAAGGAGGCAGTCTGACAGACAGACAGACGCCAAAACGTCAAGGTTCAGCATGCATTCTGACAGATGGCTGGAGCTCGACTGACGGAATCAGAGCGATCTCTGCCACGCGAGGTGTATGATAGGCGGGAGCTCTACATCCAAGGAGGACGAGGGAATGCCTGGGAATGCGCGGCTTCGACTGAGGCAATTATCGTGGAAGAAAGTCACATGTTGATGTGACTGTGGCAGGGCACTGTCCATCGCAAGTGTCACGTTATCCTCAGTTTGCTGAGACGATATTCTCTTCCGCTGGGAATCTCAGTTGGGTAGAAGATTAGTTAGATCGTCTCAACCGCAGTCACCAGCACTAGGAATCCCCTCAAGATTTCACTCTATTTCATAAATGCGCAAGGGTCATAATTTGGAACTTGACTACTTGCAAGGATCAAGCTCATCCAGTCAGATCCAGCCCGGGTTCCTCCGCACCTGACGATCAATGATCTGCCGTTTTTCTCACATCTGCCACCATCAATTGCCGGGTGAAAAGTTCAGGCTGTGCGTTTGAACACAGATTTATCATATTCCTTTCCTTCCTCTGCGGAATTCGATCCGACATGATTTAAGATTGAGAACTTGGTCATAATCCATCCACAAGGCGTGCTTTAAAACTGGTAATTCTGCCCAAGCGGCAATCACCCGCTGAACCGTCGTCAGTATGCGTGATCGTTCGTGGGCGTCTCGTCTGATTCTGCACTCTGCATCCAATTATTTCTTCTCTTCATTCGAGGCAGCCTCCTTAGCCCGGATCCACATTCCATCCTGCCATCCGGTCCATTTTCAGCGCCGTACAAAAGAGCATATGAAAGCACACCACTTACAGCAGCATACATCGTCAGGTGTACTTTCGGCCGGAACCGGTCCGTGCCCCTGCGTCGTGCGGTGCCCCGGCTGGCCGTCTTCCACTCAGTAGGCACGTGCGCCTCGGGGGCCCACGCATCTTCCTCCGCGAGCGCGAAGCTCTCGAAGGCCTGCAGCAGGCGCACGAGGACGAAGGACATCTCGTTGTACGCGAACTGCTGCCCGAGGCAGATGCGCGGGCCCGCGTTGAACGGGAGGAACGCGAAGGTGTTTGCGAGGAGGGAGGATTTGAGCCGCGCGGGGTCGATGAAGCGGTCGGGGTCAAATTCTTCCGCTGCGAGGAGAGTTTGGACCAGTCAAGTGAGGAGAGGAGAGGCAGACTGACCGTCGTTGCCCCACAGATCTTTGCGGCGATGCATCAGAAATACGGAGTACGGGCATCTGTGGGCCGTTCAGCAGACTGGATGAGCCATGTTGGAAGACCGATGCGCACTTGGTTTGGGCCGGGATATAGAGCGGTTTCTCATTTGGATCGGGTGATGGCCAGGTCGTCGCGTTGACCGAATCCCTGTTAAAGGGCCATCAATTTTACGACGGGACTTTGATAATCGTCCAGGTGAGTCACCTGATGTTAAACGGCCTGTCGGTGATGCGCCATCAAAAAGAGTTTTGTTCGAGTGTCAGGTTGACTCACACAGAGGGATATAGCCGCATCGACTCTGTTCGGTCATGGTCACACGATATCCAGCAGCAGCAGAGAGTGGCACACCGTTGATCACGGCACGGAGATACTTCATATTCTTAACGTCATCGTAGGTCGGCCGCCGCGTCGGGCCGACGTATTCCAGGACCTCTGCTCGCAAACGAGCACAGACATCAGGATACATCGAGAGGCTAATCGGCACCGGCTATCAGATTGCTCGAGGATAGAGAGAAGGCGTTTGCGTACAAGTAGATGACCATCGTCGTGACGTGCATTGTCGTGTCGCGTCCAGCTGGATACTGCGTCAGAGGGGGGTCGGACACGAAGGGCTTGTGACTTCACCGAGCAGGATGTTCAAGGTTTCGTCTTTGAGAACCTTGGGATCTGTTGCACCACTCATCAGCGTTCTATTCAGGAGCTAAGTTCGAGCAGATCCGCACCGTCAGTTGACACCAAAAGCTCATCGAGAAGGGTCGAATCTTCATTCTGTTCGCCATCCACGGCCTCCCCCGCCCCTCGCATCTGCTTTTTCATCCTCTTCCGCTCCACAGCAGCCTCAATGATAGGATCCAGGAACGCGCTGACGACCGCCATGGGCGCCGCCGTCTTGTCCTCCCACATCTCGAACAGCGGCCACACATTCCCAAGGACCTCGCGCTCGGAAATCGCGTGCATCGCGGCAGCAAACGCGTCCAGGAAAGTATTCGCGACCTGTGCAGCCTCGGACGGCCGCGGGAATGCACCCACGTTGTGCGCGAACGGCACGTCGGCCTGCAGCGAGTTGACGCACGTGCCGAAGAGGAACTCCGTCGCGGAGTCCATCGTGAACCGCCCGATGAGGTCTTGGAAGTCCACCGCATAGCCCGCGCGCAGCCGCGTTTTGAGGATGGAGATGACGCTGTTGGCGTGGGCGTCGAAGATCTCGAAGTGGCTGATGCGATCCCGCGAGAAGTAGGGCTGTGAGCGTGTGTAAATGGTTTACGTGATCTGATAAGCCAGGAGACGAAGCGCGGGACGTACGCGGGTAAGCGTCCGGTGGAACTTCCACATTTCGCCGTCGGAGTTGAATACCCCGGACCCGAGGACACTGTTCATCTCCTGCTGGAATCGCTCGCCTGCAAATGAATTGATGGGCAATGAGATGCGCTCGGCCTCCGCGGGACACACGACAGACGCGCCTTTCTCGTAGTTGTTGAAATCTGTGGCCAGAATCTGCTTGATGTGGTCCGGGCTTGTCTGCATTGACGAGTGGGACGCTGTGTCATCGAGCCATTCATTCAACGAGGACGACTCACCGTCAGGATGTTGTCCACCCAGAGCACTCGCACGTTGATTACCGGGCCGAGCTCTTCGACCCATTCTGCGAAGCCGTCACCTGCGCGGCGTCTCCTTAGCGCCTACCTAATCCAATACTGGGAGAGGGCACTGACCGGGATACCCGTGCACCCGGGCATGGCGCAGCATGGTGAGCAAGTCCAAGTTCGCGAAACGCTTCCCTTTGACCACAGGAACCGGCCGCGCGCCGAGCGCCCGCGCCTCCCGCCGCTGCCGCCACATCTTGCGCTGCACGAGAAACACCATCGACAGCGGGTACGCAAGAAGCGTCAGCAATATCGTCGTGGGAGCGCGGAGCCGGAGGCCCGTGAAACGATTGACGGCGTAGTGCACAGCGAGAATGAGCAGGATGGGTCGGCCCACGAACCGGGCGAGGAGGTGGGCGAGGAATCTGACTCCGGGAGTCGGCATTGTTATTCGGTGTAAGGTAGAGTGGTGGGTCTGCAAACGAGAGTTAATGCTCGTGGGAACTTGTGGGCCCGGGAAGTCATCTTCTCGTTGCCCGGATACGCGGAAATGCGGAGTACGGAAGTCGTAAACCGTTTGACGAAAAACAGGCCGGACCCATCGTCAAGTGACCCCCCGGGATCTCCATTACCAAGGCACGAGATGTGTTCCTGTGAGCCTCGGGCGGCCGGAGTCGAGACGGGTATCGATCGGAAGGTCAATCGTGGGCTAACGAGGACGATTGAAGCCAGACATGAGTGATCTGCGTGATCGGGTTGATCCGACCCTGTTCAGGTAAGATTGAATCCGCTCAGGTGATAATACCAACTGCGATATCAGTGTCCGCTAGTTCTTGCTCCCGGTCACTTTCGAAATGGGCTTCTTAGCAGTGTTCTAGATGTGCTAAGAAATCTTGTTCCTCGGTCTTCCTGGTTTCTATTTTAGCTGGTATGCGCAGCTACTTCAGATCCTCTAACAGTACTAGCCGAGGCGCCCAGTATCACGTGCGACAGTTTCAGGGAAGTTGAACGGGATCACAGTTGAGCAGAGACTCGAATGTCCACGACGGAGTGACTGTCAAAATTTTCATGACAGCCTGAAATCTGAAATGAATCAGTTCATTCTACAATTATAAGGTAAATAGTTGGGATGCATCAAGTATTCGAAAGTCGGAGCCCAGAGATGACGTTTCTTCCGACTCCGACAAAGAACTTCTTCCACTGATCACCGCCCCGCAGCCAGTAGATAGATTCTGAAGGTATCTCAGACATGAAGTACTGAGAAGATGAGATGGCGAGCGCTTACCGGAGACGCGCCGGAGTTTCTTGAGCGCAATAAACATCTCCGCTCTCAGCCAGTAGTCCCAATCTCCCCGCACACCGCGCTCCCATTCCTCCTTCAAGTCATACACCTCCAACACCACGAAACGAGCATCGCAGATCTCGAGGGAGCGAACGTACTCTGCAGGGTTGAGCGCCCCGAACTCGCGCCACTGATTCGCAACGACACGCAGCTGATTGCACTCCCTAGTGATGCCACCCACCAGAGCGGGTGACAGCGGCCCAAAGAACGACAGATGCGTCAGATTGCCCAAGTGGCGTATCTCGCTCCACCCGCCATCAGCACCCGCCTCCCACGCGGCTGCCGACACGTCGTCCATGACCATGAGGTGCGTGAGCGCCCAGAACACCGGCCCGCTCGTGAGGGTCTCGAACGCAAACGCCTCGGTCAGCTGCCCGACGTGCGTCGCGAGGCGCCGCAGCTGCGGCATCGCCTCGAAGTACACAAGGAAGTCCCACCGCGCGGGGTACACGAGGACGCTCGCCGCGCGCGTGCACGTGTCGAAGATAGCCTGCGGCGAGCGCGGCTCGTACAGGAACAGATGCCGCATCGTCGCGCGCGTCGCGGCCGGGCCCAGGTCGCGCAGCTTCTCCCACGCCGCGGTGAACTGCTCGGCTGCCTGGCGTGCGTCGGTCGCCAGCTGCGGCGCGATGACCAGCGCGAGAGACGGGAACCATTCCGTCCTGGTTGTTCTGTTTCAGCAGTGGGAGCGGGAATTTGGGGCGAGCGGCAGGTACGCACTCCTGTAGCTCGCGTCCGGCGTATGCCTCCGCGAGGCTGTCCAAGCATAGATGTCCCCGGCCGTCCAGCGGCATGCGGTATGCGTTATTGAAGGCTTGTCGGCAGTATAGAAGAGGGGTCCGGCCCGCCATTTCGGTTCGCTCAACACCGGGGATCAAGTGGGAACGAGGTTCGGCGACGGTGTGCCATTTATGCGACAGCTATCCGAACAAAGGCGGCGGTGGCATGAGGAAAGCGCGGTGGCAAAGGAAGGGAATGATCGGGCAAGGCCCCGTACGGGTTATATTCAGAAAGCGTGGTATCATTCTGAACAATGGAGAGACAGGTGCGCTTTGTCGTAAACGTGGAAGTCAGCACGAGGAGACTCACGTGAATATCACGCGCTGCTGCTTCATAGTTGATGGGGCACGTGGCATTCATGCAGATTCTCACCGACGTTGTGATCGCTGCAGCGGTACATCCCGGCACCCTGGGCCGCCCAACCGCGTTTCTCATCTCTTCCCACTTGTTCTGAAGCCCGGCGTTAATGGAGGTCTCTTGCACGTCTCTTGGCTGGTCAAAGTACGCCGAGATCACCTTTCATGTCTGCATCCCCATGGTGACGCGTGGTGAGCAGGTGGGCGGAGCGCATTCGAGCTGGATCCACTCGCTGTCAGTCGAGATGTGGGCTCGCAAGTGTTGTGACTTGAGATTGCCTGTATTGCTGGTTGAATCACCATGCAGATGGGTCTTGTGCATGAACTATGACCGATTTGAGACCCTTTCGCATACATATAGACCAAACCCATGAGTTGTGTCTTCGATCTTCGCCTCCCCACGGACATTTACGGGCCCATGCATCACTCTCCTCCATCCTTCCAGACGTGCAAAACCTCGCTATCCGCCGAAGGGCGCACAATCTCGGGATCCTCCGAGCATCCAGCCTCAGGACCCGTCCGATCAGCTCTCCCAAACGCGAAAAACACGGTGCAGAGACGGGCTGCACATAATGCTGTCGAACGTTCTCGCAGGAAATCACTGAATGCACAGTTTCAAGTCCGTTCAGATGTTTTCTTTTTGTTCAATCCAAGGAAACCTCTGACCGATGTTTCAGGATCTCGCGGAGCTCCTCCCGAACCTACGCCAGCTGCGACGCCCGACCAAGTCAGCCATCGTGGACTCGTCCATCGCACACGTGCGCGCGTATCGCCGCTATCGAACGAACGCAGCGCACCAGGTCCGCATGCTCAGTGCCGAGCGCGACGAGCTGCGCCGGGAGCTGGAGGGCTGGCGCTCACGGGCCGGCGTGAACTGCGTCGAATCTCCGGACAGGGAAGCCGAGTGGGTGGAGAGATTCGACGAAGGGTTTGGATCCCAGGTGTTGGTCCACAGAGATGATCGCGACGATAAGATGACCGGCTACATTCATTCATGAAGAGAGAAACTCCACACATTTGCTAGCCCTCGGAGACGGCTGTCTCGACGCAAGTGGACCGAGTCTCCCATGAATCTTGAGAGGGCGCATTATATACCCCATACTCTTACGCACCGATTTATATACCCCATACACGTCAAACCCTACTACATTAACAATATTATACATCCAGAATCGATTTCCCCCACCCATAGTCAGCGTATGTGGTCCTCGCAGTCCAACTTTTGCCGTCTTCGGAAGAAAGTCCGAGAAGGTACAGATTATTCAATGCCGATGTACGCACATTCTCCTCAATGTTCTTGCACAACCACCACTCGCGAGGTTCTACGTGATGATTAGCCCGTGCTCGCAGTTCCTAGGGATTTCAACGTCGAATTTACTCGAGCCAATCTGATAAGCTCGTCAGACAAAGGCGCGCAGGACAGCTAGCGGTCTAGGCACGTGTATTGAGACCTCCAGATCGCCATGACCTGAACTCCGCAGCGCCGGGGTTCCCGCACTGTCGACCACGTCCGCGAACGCGAGCACCGCTAGCACGTTGACGCCCCCCTGCCCGGGCTCGGACGACCGGAAGCGGACTGTGCTGGGACCCGGAGTGGTGCGGATCGGCGAGGGTGTCGATATTCCTACAGACTTTGATCGCGCCTGTGCGACGATGGCGTCGGCGTAGCATTGGTTGCAATGTACCGCATTGACCTGTACCGGGGTGAATACATTGATTGAGGGCGCAATGAGGCAGTTAGTAGCGGTGCGGAACGTCAGGAAGCTGTACGTCGCAGATGAGTTGCATTCCGGACACCGGGTCGTAGTTCTTGACAGCCTTCAGCATCATCAGTCCTTAGATCTTGAAGATGAGCTGCTTTTGATTCACCTGTTGGCTATGTCGCAGAAGCTTCGTCATAATAAGGTCCGGGAAAAGGCCAGAACCCAAACGCTCTTTATATCATTGCCAAGCACACAGCAAAGCGCAGGCCGCATTGTGTACTTTGAGGATTTTGTTTCTTGTCAAAGGTTACAATTCGTCCGGGATCATTGTTTTCTAATGACTCGCTTTCCCTGGTGATCATGATCGTGTCAGGGCGCACGGATCCTAGAAATGAACGAGGGACATAGTGCGGTCAGAGATGACCAATCTGATCCAATTTGGTCCGGCTTGGTTTTTGTGACCATGATGTCACACTGACCGCGGCATCTCAAGGCATGCGATTTTGGTCAGGGTCCGCATCGCATGTAAACACAGATAGGATTCTCTTCCATCAACCATCTCCAATTTCCAAATGGGTGACTCTACCGATGCTCCTCACGCTCTGCCTCTCGCGGAATCTTCGCTATGTACGCATGGGCTGATCCTCCGTGCGCATCACTCACATCGCGCCCGCAGTTAATGCCTCCGATGCGGATGTTTCCTTCATCTCCTCCGATCGCATCCTCTTCCGCGTCCATCGAAAGAATCTAGAGGTGTGCGCTGAGGGATTCCCGCCGTGCGAGGTTGCGTCGCCGGGCTCGCAGGAGCTCATCCCGCTGGAGGAGTCGTCTATGACACTTGAGTTGCTGTTCCAGTTCGTCTACCCCCGCCGCCACCCTGGGCTCGACACAGTCAAGTTTGAGGTTCTTGCCCCACTCGCCGAGGCGGCGGAGAAGTACCAAGTGTTCCCTGCGATGAACATTTGTCATTTTCGACTCCGGTACGTGTCCAAGCACACGCCCTGCGACCGTCCACACTCAAAAGATCCTCAACAGTGATATGGGGAAGGATCACCCTGTTGAGGTGGCCGCATACGCTGCTAAACACGACTACCCGTACCTACTCGGCGAGATAGGCCCGATGATGATCAGCATGCCAGCTATTGACGTCGCCGACCTGCTCCCGCCGAACTTGTTTCGGCCCTGGGTGTGTGGCTGACGATCGTGTGATGGTCTGACCACCGATGCTTGCAGTCAGACGCGTTACGTGCAGGAGTGGGCTCGGATCCATCAGTCTGTCGCACTCAAGCTGCCCACGGGCTACAACCCCCAATCGGATGGTGGATGGTCGGGACACTCCTCGCAGGCAAAGCACGCACAGAATCATAGTTGTAGATCTTGCAGCCGCAACGGGTACAACAACAGCACCTCTTGCAGCTGGCCGCAGCTCATCGCGGCTGTGCTCCAGAATTTGGCAGCCGGCGTGCACACGCTTCGTGCGCTAGATCATGTCTTCAACATTCCCGTGGTTCCAAAGGAGAGTATTCCTGCATGCTGTCAGTGGGACCTAGCGGACTGGCGGCGCAAGATCGAAGCCGGAATCGAGACTATTCCGAAGTTCGGTACTTTTCTGTAGCTGTTCTCTTTTCACGTTCTGCGTTGCAAACACTTCTTTGAAGGCGCGCAAGTGCGATGTGAAATTGCCCAAAAAGCACGCGGCTGGACCACTCGAGCGCATAACTCTTCTTTGTCATCGTTCCTCAGTCGTTTCACATTGATCGCCAGGGGCTTTTTGCAGAACCCGCCAGATCTTCGTCCAGTAACATGAACGGCACCGCAAACGAAGATTATTGAGTACCTGAGTGCTATGAAGTGTGCAACTCTAAACTAGGCCGAAACCCCAATGCAGAACTTGACCCTGTCATCAAACTTGGATTCATAGGTTTCGATCTCCGGGTAAAATGCAGGGTAACAGAAGACGGAATGACTCCCTTACTAGTGGTCAATGGACCAAGTATGGCGTCATCCAAACTAGGCCAGAAAGCTGTTAACTCCTAGATTCCTCAGCTTCTGTGATACTTCCTCAATCATCGGATCAACAAGCACTTTGCCAGAATTCCAAAGAATCAAGTAGCAGAAGTTCAGGTGAATATGAGACGTTGTGCTCGACATGCACTTCAGATGATGGGGACTGAACTTTGCAAGAAAACCTTGTGGATGCCAAAGATAGTGTTCCGCAATAAAATTGTATGGACCAGGGAAATCTGTGACAAGTGCTGTACATTCTTTTTCATCAAGGAATATCATATCATTCCACATCATCGAAATTCACGGCATAGCGACTCGCTGGGAGACGCTTCTCAACTCACATGTTCCCCGAGTGATGCGGAAAGCGGCTCACCATCAACTGCGCCAGATAATCGGTTGGCGATCCTTCGAGCTGCCCTGGCCCAATAGTCGTTCCGACCCAATACCCCATCTTGCCAGTCTTCAATGTAATCAGGAACAGACACCAGAACAATTCGTTTGTCCGTCATCAAAATCCGGCGGTCGTCTTCCGAGAGGGAGTTCGGAGAGACGACGCGATAAGCGCTTACGATGACGAGACTCTCCAACCTCTGCAAGTGCGGAATGACCTCGGGCAAGGAGCGGATAACGGCTGTTGCGCTTATCGCAAGATGTGCCAAATGTGGAAAGTGCTCTTCGCTCAGCAGGCCGAGGAGAGTTTGGGTCACACCGCCGTGGGATGGGCTGTCAACGTTGAACAGCTCCAGATGAGTCAAAGATGGGAAATTAAACCCTAGCACTGCATTTTCAAAAGGATTGACAGCAGAAACAATCTTTCTTGCGTACCTTCTGGTTTCCACGAGAGCAGTTCCAAGGTCTCCGCGGTGCAATGTAATCTTCGAAGGGAGGGAAAAAGCTGAGACAAATCCAGCCCGTCAGTGGTGCATCCAGCGAGGAACACATTCTCCGCCCCGTTGCAGCTGCTCAGCACCCGCCCCACAGTATCCCGCGGCTCCCCGATCAGCATAATATTCTTCACAACTGTATCCAAGGCGCCCGGATAAGCAGAAGATACGCGCTCGATCGCGTCTATCTCGCAGGAGGGCAGTCTCTGCTCGTCGGATCCGTCGTTGAATATGAGTGTGCGGTACAGTGCTGGCTCGAGCCTTCTCAGCATCCGTCAGATTGTCTCGCGGGCTGCCCGGGGGAATGGAATATATGCACCATGCTCGCATTCGATGGCAGACGGGAAGCAGCTGAAGAATGCGCTCCGGGCCGGGACATTCGAGTGCATACATCTCGACGATGTACCGTTCCAGCTCGGGTGGGACTCTAGGGGTCATTGTCTTGGTGTGAGTCATGCTTGTCCTAAGGAACCAGCACATAGTTTGAAGGCAATTTCTTCGGCTCAGCGAGTATATAGTCGCTCGGTGAGACGGGACAGAAATGGGAAGCAAGAATTCCGGGGGGTTGGGGTACCGGAATTGACTGACGAGCAAGGTTATATGTAAGTGCAGTGATTCGGTTCTGACGTGATACCATCGTGTGTGGCGATTGTCAAGGCGTCCTGTCCTCAGGTGTCTTTATGCGGAACGCGTACCTCCGAGAGACCTGCGATGCCGCTGTTCTGTATTCCGTCAGTGGCTGATATTTTGTATATCTGTCGCAATTTGTTTTTGGAGTGATGATTATCCAGGCAGTGGGCATTCTGCTCCCCTTTGCTCAAATTCACACTTCGGTGTTCATCCCCGGTGTAAACTCCCGTCATTCACGTTGCGTGATCGCCCTCGGTATCATTGGCTTGTAATCGCACTTTGTCACTTCGGTGAAACCGCCAGCCATGTGCCGCTACGTGCTTCCCTCCTCAGACTGTTGAATGATTGTGTTCATGCTGCTCGAGCCCAGTCTGGACCTCAAGTCTCATGCCAATCCCACCTTCTGAGAGCTTTCGAAAGTTCAGGTCCGAGGCCAAGCCCAAACACAGGGCCGGACTTCCCCGAGACTTGCATGGAGAATTTAGGCGGCACATCAAATGTAGCGCGCTGCAGTCCGTAAGAGTCTGGAGTTTGCTCCGAAGCGAGGGGAGTGACAAGAATGGTAGAAATAAACAACCCCTAACAAAGGTCGAACTGCCTAAGTGCGAGCTGACATGGCTATATGAGGACGAGCAGAGATGAACATCTTCTAGAGCAGTCCTTATTATTCATGTATGTATGTATATATGTATGTATGGCCGAGGAATGGCTGCGAAAAACTCCCAATCTGCTGAACCCCCGAGTAAAGTTTCTTTATGTGATCCTCCACATGCACACAAATGAGGGGGTCCCAACTACTAGCCAAGAGTTTGGCGTTACAGCAGCCTCCATTGAGCTCATCGTTTGCGACAGACCAGGCTCTGAAAGCTCGATGCGTGGTCTCCGGGACTTCGGGCCTAAACCCCGAGCTCGCACAACAGAATGCACACAAAAAAGAAAAGTGCCAGACTCTCTGTACATTTTTTTTTTTGCGCTTCCCGATGCCATGACTCCACTTGGGCGGTGAAAAATTTGCTGAGTGGGTTTCCTTGCACCGTGTGGTACCCGAGACCAGCATTTCCGTGCCGGACGATAACCTCAGATTCCAGAAGTTTCGCCCGGCACCTCTCTGCCTCCGATACTGTCTTCCTGGCGCTTCTGTCTTCTCGCATGATTTTTTATGGGTGGCTGGGCATAGGAGCATTTTCTCCATGCATCTCCTCGCTGGAATGACAACTGCAGATGGTGATGATCGGCCCGTTTGAGTGATTTTTTGACTGACATCCGGAAAGAAGCATATTCATGCTGACGACGATGCTATTTATCCACTGGAGCACTAGTCGTCCATTTTGCTTTGGCACGGATGCGATCCTTAGAGTCGGCTGGAGCCCAAAGGGGACCATATACGCACGACGGTGCTCGCGCGGTAACTCGTAAGGCCCTGAAACTAAAATGGTGCGTTTCGCGCGCAGCACGTGGGTTGCGGTTTCACCAAAGTGACAAACTGCTGTCACAAGACAAGGTTGCGGAGGGCGATCACGCAACGTAAATTACGGAAGTATAGACCAGGGATGAACACCGCAGTGTGTAATGGAGCAAAAGCGATAAAACAAAATGCTCCTGAGTTATTCTTACTTCAGAGTCTCCGAATTCTTTCGGCTGCAAATACCAAATATCAAGCAAAAGTGGAACATAGAGCAGCAGCATCACAGGTCTTGCGCAGGTACAGTTTCCGCATTAAGATATGAAAGGACGGGCCGCCTTAACAATCGCCACACAAGATGGTATCACGTCAGCTCCAACTCACTGCACTTACATATAACCTACTTGTCAGTCCATCTCGGTCCTCCAGCACTCGCAATTTTTGCTTCCTGTCTCTGTCCCATTTCAGATCACCCCCATATACGCCTTAGGCTGAAGAAATCCTCATCGAGCGATGTCCTGGTTTTCAAGGAAAAGCACCCCTCAAATCCAGACATCGGACCCCAGACTACCCCCCGAATTGGAACGGTACATTTTCGAGATGTATGCACTCGAATATGCCGACCCGGAGCGCATCCTGCAGCTCCTTCCCGTCTGCCATCGGGTACGAGTTCAGTGCCTTCATTCCATTTCGCCGGGCAGCCTTCGAGACGATCTGACGGTTGCTCACAAGGCTCGAACCAGCACTCTGCCGCACACGCATATTCAACGACGGATCCGATGAGCAGAGACTTCCCACCTGCGAGATAGATGTGATTGACCGTCTGTCTACTGCCTATCCAGGCGCCCTCCAGAACATTGTGAAGAACATCATGCTGATCGGCGAAAGGCGAGATACTGTGGAGCGGATGCTGAGGAGCTGCAATGGGGCAGAGAATGTGTTCCTCGCTGGATGCGCCACTCGTGGGCTTGATCTATCGCTAATTTCGCCGTCCCTCCGGCATTTTCATTGTACTGCGGAGACCTTGGAACTGCTCAATTGGAAACCAGAAGGTGCGATCGACTATTTTCGCTGTGGACTCTTGTCACAACGAACAATCAGGTTGTACCTTCCCAGCTCTGACGCATCTCGAACTGTTCAACATTGACGGTCATTCCCACGGCCGCGTACCTCAGACCCTTCTCCGCCTGCTGAGCAGAAAGCACTTTCCACGTCTGGCACATCTTGCCATAAGCGCCACGTCTGTAATCCGCTACCAGCCCGAGGTCATTCCGCACTTGCAAAACCTGGAGAGCATCTTCATCGTGAGCGCTTACCGGATTGTCTCCTCGACCCCTCTGAATCTTAAGGGGAGACCAGAGACTAGTTCTGGTCTCTGTTTCTGATTACGTCGAAGACTGGCAAGATGGGGTGTTGACTGCGAACGACTTCTGGGCAAGGGCAGCACGAAGAATCGCGAATCGATTATCCGGCGCAGTGGATGGTGAGTTCACTTTCGCATGACTTGGCAACGCATCGATTGAGAGTTATGTCCCAGCGAGTCACTATGCCGTGAATTTCGACGACACGGAATGACGTGTTTCTCACAGATTGAAACATAATGTACACTCTTTTTTTTTTTGTAGAACTATCCACTCATACCGCATAAAGTTTCATTGACGCTGTTCCGGGGAAAGATATATTTGAATCCCTATCTAGCTCTGAGGGTACCCAGTAGGGCCCCCGCGGGGGTGCACCCACGTGATGGCGGTGGTAACTGATGTCGGGGTGACCAAGGTGAGCCTGGGAGACAGGGGATGCAATTCATGGTGTCCAACGCCCTCTTTGCATAAGATCGGTGGCGCTCAGATGTGAGACGGAGGACGTTCCCGCAAGGTAGCGATGATCGACAGACGAAAGTCAGTGTTACAGACCGACACAGGGCCACAGAACCGCCCATTGAGAGGAAACTTCCATGAAGATCATTGCACCCAGAACGATCTAGCAGCGAGATTTGAAAAATGGAACGTCTTAGCGGAATAAAGATACTCGTACCATGGTACCCGGGCCATAAAGAATCAATTATATTCTATATATTGGGGCATAAAAAATGAAGTGATCTGATATGTGACATATCGGGCACCCGGATCATACCCGGCACCCGATATCTGTGGTACCAGGTCGTTTTTGCGCTGATATGTGACATATCAGGTCAGCTTCTTTTTGGGGTCACAATATATGGAATATAATTTATTCCTTATGGGCCGTGTTATGTGTGATCCCCCGGTGTGAGACGAGAACGAAGGCGTGATCGATTAGCTACCCGACCCGGCGATTCGATCAGTCTTCTTCTGCCAAGTAGGGCTGTGTAGAAAACTCAGATGCGGATTCGTCACAAGTTAAGAACGCACTGGCCTGGAGGGCCAGTTGTTTACGGAGTAAATAACGTAAAAAACCGGCCGCGCAGCGCGAAAATTTGTAGAGTTTGTCACGTAAATTACTTGTAAAATACCCCATAATTTACTTGTGACTTACTCAGTGGTCAGATAAAATTACTATAGTCCCAGCCTCCACCTGCCTCGTCCTCATCATTGCCATCCGAGCTCAACTCTGGCTCAAAAGCGTCACCTTCCACCATTCCTCCTGACGCAATCAAGCTCACAAGCTTGCCGTCATCAGGTTTGATGATGTCGAAGATAGCGAAGCGGTCGTTCGTCCGAACGACAGTGGGAGCAGGAACGCGTTCGGCCTCGTCGAGGTCATACGGGTCCGGTCGGTTGAACCAGGTGTCCTCGAGGCTTTCCAGATCTACCGGAGCTGCTTCTGTTGGGTCAACGGGATTCAAGAGATCGGCAAGCGTAGGAACGGATCGGATGGCTTTTCCGTCATCGGGGGCAGTGACGGGCGATGGAACATGGATAAATGCCTGGGATACCCTACCCTTCGGAGAATCGTTGTTATAGCCATGAGTGTAATAGTCATGGAGTCGGGCGCTGTTGATTAAATTCTGCGGTGTCATTGAGCTCCGACGAGCAGAGTTGAACCACCCGAGTCGGGATGCTGTACGCTCGTCACAAATCTCGGATGGAACAATTGAAAAGACTTTGATGCCGATAACCTACCAGAGAACATCAGATAAACATGAACATGTGAGCAAAGAGAGACCGACACCAAGGATCCTTGCACTCGAATCTTCTCCAACGCACTTCCAGTACTCGAGAGGTGTTGCAAATTGTGCCCATTGCCGGCTACGAAACGGTTCTCGGTTATATGCCCACGCTATGAGTTGCGCCACCAAGGCTTCCGCAGCTGCCGATGACTTGTATTTTTGAGTTCGTTTGCGTTCTCCCATCAAAAGCTTCAAAGCGACTGTGATCAATCGGGAGAAGAGAGGTGAATATTGTTCCTTGCTGAGGGTGGCACCATCGGCGAGGGCAGGCATGTCGAGCCGCAGTCCACCATGAATATGGTACTCTGGGAGTCAATGATCAGTGTCGTTGCAGGTTAAGAGACGTCAGATTGACACTGACTAGGATGGATGAAGTAGCCGAATAAAAAGATGTCCTCTGTCGACTCGATCATCATCTGAGTGAATCGTGCATTGTACTTCTCAATTACTGCACGCCGGTGGGGTTGGAGCGACACTTTTGATCCAAGGAGGTTGTCGAGAGAGCATGCAATGCAGACCCACGCATAGAAGACGTCGGCACAGTTGACATATAGTCCTTCGAGAGACAAAATTGCGTTCGCAATTGACTCGGTCAGATCAATAAAAGCGCCGAGATTGGCCATGAACATATAGTGATCTGTTCCTTCAGTAACAAAAGGAAGCAGCTTCTTTGTCTGATAATCACGGTTAGTAACGTCGGATTTGAGTCAGCAGGTGAACATACCGCTTTCGTTTTGAAAGTGATGAGCTCAAGGTCCATGCATCGCCGGATCGCAGGCATACATTCCTTGACCGAGACGGATTGAACCCGCAATGATGAGAATCTTGTGTCCGTTGCAGATGCAATGCCGTGTGTAATCTTGAGAACCTTGCGACACTTGGCAAGTTGAGCCGTTCCGAGGTTTGATTTCCCAAAGTAATTTGCGATCATGGAGACATTTACGAGAACCTTACATCAATAATGAGAAACGGATCACTCCATGAGCTTGTGTACTGTACCGTGTCTTTGAAGATCGCACCAACATCCTTCATGTACAAGCTCAGATTGTGGCATGGGTCATAGATGTTGAGAATCCATGGGTATCTTGCCACAAAGAGCTGCTTGGTCCGACGCACATTCGGTCCGCCATCACCCGCAACCGAAGACAATTGAGTGGGCTTGAGCAATGGGGGCAGCACGGGAACTTCGTCTGAGTCCTCGTCTGAGTCCTTGGTCTTGGGCTGCCGCTGCGTGCCCAATGGTGTATCTAAAGTCGCATCATCTGCGTCCTGGGTGGGCTGAGGGATCGGAATATCAAACAACTAGAATTGGACGATTAGATATGACTTTTTCGATCAGGAAATTACTCGTCACCTTGTTTAGAATGACATCAAGTAACAAGTTCCCGGTCACACTGTCTGTGAAGACATGCCCGTCAATAAAGATGGATCGCCGGCCCGGGGTGGTGATATGCAACGTGTAGATCTCCTCGTGCTTCAGAGTACTCCAACCATCGAAGGAGAGCGACAAATTCTCGCGGTCCGCAAGAAAACCACGAAGGACCTTGTTGACAACTGCAATCTCCGAGCTGAGGTATTTTGAGAAAAAGCTCGAACGCGTTGGGACCACGTAAGATGCTGCCAGCGCATAAACAAAAGTACGGAACCAAATGTTGTCAAGGAGGGTCCAGGAAAGGGCACAGCAGATGAAGAACCGGAACATTGCGAGGTCAACAAAAGTTTGGACCTTGGGCGTGATTTTAGCGACATTAAAGTGCTCCAAGATAGACCCCGGTGCGCGGAGAGCCCTCTTCTCCTCGAGGTCTCGCTCGTTGGCAGAACGAACAGCTGGCAGGCCAGCTTCGGTACCCGAGATAACTCGGAAGTAAATTACCTATGGGTTATTCACATGTAAATAACCGGTAAATTACGTAAATTATGCAGACCATCGTGTTTCCCATGTAAATAATGTGAATAACTCCCTGAGAGTCTATGGTGGTCGGCCCCACTCAAAGAGTTCCAGGAGACATGGTAGAAGACTAAGGACAAAATCCGCGATATTGATATCTGGCAGGTGGCTGTGGTTTAGTCATCAGCATCATTCACGCTACGTGGCATCGACCTCACCCACGTATGGACGCGCTGCGCAAAGCCCACAATGAATTCATCAACCAAGGCATTGGTGACGTCCCAGGCCTGATAAATCTTGGAGAAGATGCTTTCCCCGACGCAAAGGATCCATGAAGGGCGACTTGGAGCGCACATGTAGATGCGCTGATGGATAGATGGAGATCTGGGCAGGATTCGGATGGCTTCTCTACGGAAACGTGGCCGGACGTGAGAACTACTTGTATGGCGGCTGTGAACACCTCATTGACAAGCGACAGTTCCCGGACTTCGGAACGGCTTCGAATAATCATGTTACCTCATCCATCACTCCTCCAGGTGGATCAGGATCCGAGCAAGGCGGGAGAGCGAAAGCTAAATCCTCGGCTTCCTTCTTAAATGCGCCGTTGGGGAATCCAAAGAAGCGGAAGCAGGCCGAGGATGAGATCGAGGCTGGAGACAAAGCAAAACAACCGAAAGGCTACCTCGACAAAGCCGCCCGAGACCACCATCGCGCTGAAGTGAAGAAAGCACATGATAGGTTTCATGCTGCTGGGAAGAAGCTTGGGACCCCGCTCGTTCGGCCCAACAAGTCGGCGGAGACCAAGCGCGGTGGTCGACCGCAGAATCCGCTCATGGAATGGGTCGCGATCATCAACCATGAGACCAACAGCAATGGCAAGGAGGCTGTGAAGCTGTACTGCATGGCTTGTGGCATCGCTAGCTGGGCTGGGCGCGATCTCAATCGCGTTCTATCCCATCTCCAGGACACATCCGGCACGGGATGCCAGGCTCGTTTCCGTTTTCAATGCCAGTCTCTTCCTGTGCTCACTCGAGTTACATTTTCAGGAGATCAAACACTGGCCGCTACTCAACGCTACCATCAACGACAAGATGGTCGAATCAGCTCCCTCCCAATTGCTTCTATCGGGTACCGAAGCTGGCCTGCCAGCTGTTCGTTCTGCCAACGAGCGAGACCTCGAGGAGAAGAGGGCTCTCCGCGCACCGGGGTCTATCTTGGAGCACTTTAATGTCGCTAAAATCACGCCCAAGGTCCAAACTTTTGTTGACCTCGCAATGTTCCGGTTCTTCATCTGCTGTGCCCTTTCCTGGACCCTCCTTGACAACATTTGGTTCCGTACTTTTGTTTATGCGCTGGCAGCATCTTACGTGGTCCCAACGCGTTCGAGCTTTTTCTCAAAATACCTCAGCTCGGAGATTGCAGTTGTCAACAAGGTCCTTCGTGGTTTTCTTGCGGACCGCGAGAATTTGTCGCTCTCCTTCGATGGTTGGAGTACTCTGAAGCACGAGGAGATCTACACGTTGCATATCACCACCCCGGGCCGGCGATCCATCTTTATTGACGGGCATGTCTTCACAGACAGTGTGACCGGGAACTTGTTACTTGATGTCATTCTAAACAAGGTGACGAGTAATTTCCTGATCGAAAAAGTCATATCTAATCGTCCAATTCTAGTTGTTTGATATTCCGATCCCTCAGCCCACCCAGGACGCAGATGATGCGACTTTAGATACACCATTGGGCACGCAGCGGCAGCCCAAGACCAAGGACTCAGACGAGGACTCAGACGAAGTTCCCGTGCTGCCCCCATTGCTCAAGCCCACTCAATTGTCTTCGGTTGCGGGTGATGGCGGACCGAATGTGCGTCGGACCAAGCAGCTCTTTGTGGCAAGATACCCATGGATTCTCAACATCTATGACCCATGCCACAATCTGAGCTTGTACATGAAGGATGTTGGTGCGATCTTCAAAGACACGGTACAGTACACAAGCTCATGGAGTGATCCGTTTCTCATTATTGATGTAAGGTTCTCGTAAATGTCTCCATGATCGCAAATTACTTTGGGAAATCAAACCTCGGAACGGCTCAACTTGCCAAGTGTCGCAAGGTTCTCAAGATTACACACGGCATTGCATCTGCAACGGACACAAGATTCTCATCATTGCGGGTTCAATCCGTCTCGGTCAAGGAATGTATGCCTGCGATCCGGCGATGCATGGACCTTGAGCTCATCACTTTCAAAACGAAAGCGGTATGTTCACCTGCTGACTCAAATCCGACGTTACTAACCGTGATTATCAGACAAAGAAGCTGCTTCCTTTTGTTACTGAAGGAACAGATCACTATATGTTCATGGCCAATCTCGGCGCTTTTATTGATCTGACCGAGTCAATTGCGAACGCAATTTTGTCTCTCGAAGGACTATATGTCAACTGTGCCGACGTCTTCTATGCGTGGGTCTGCATTGCATGCTCTCTCGACAACCTCCTTGGATCAAAAGTGTCGCTCCAACCCCACCGGCGTGCAGTAATTGAGAAGTACAATGCACGATTCACTCAGATGATGATCGAGTCGACAGAGGACATCTTTTTATTCGGCTACTTCATCCATCCTAGTCAGTGTCAATCTGACGTCTCTTAACCTGCAACGACACTGATCATTGACTCCCAGAGTACCATATTCATGGTGGACTGCGGCTCGACATGCCTGCCCTCGCCGATGGTGCCACCCTCAGCAAGGAACAATATTCACCTCTCTTCTCCCGATTGATCACAGTCGCTTTGAAGCTTTTGATGGGAGAACGCAAACGAACTCAAAAATACAAGTCATCGGCAGCTGCGGAAGCCTTGGTGGCGCAACTCATAGCGTGGGCATATAACCGAGAACCGTTTCGTAGCCGGCAATGGGCACAATTTGCAACACCTCTCGAGTACTGGAAGTGCGTTGGAGAAGATTCGAGTGCAAGGATCCTTGGTGTCGGTCTCTCTTTGCTCACATGTTCATGTTTATCTGATGTTCTCTGGTAGGTTATCGGCATCAAAGTCTTTTCAATTGTTCCATCCGAGATTTGTGACGAGCGTACAGCATCCCGACTCGGGTGGTTCAACTCTGCTCGTCGGAGCTCAATGACACCGCAGAATTTAATCAACAGCGCCCGACTCCATGACTATTACACTCATGGCTATAACAACGATTCTCCGAAGGGTAGGGTATCCCAGGCATTTATCCATGTTCCATCGCCCGTCACTGCCCCCGATGACGGAAAAGCCATCCGATCCGTTCCTACGCTTGCCGATCTCTTGAATCCCGTTGACCCAACAGAAGCAGCTCCGGTAGATCTGGAAAGCCTCGAGGACACCTGGTTCAACCGACCGGACCCGTATGACCTCGACGAGGCCGAACGCGTTCCTGCTCCCACTGTCGTTCGGACGAACGACCGCTTCGCTATCTTCGACATCATCAAACCTGATGACGGCAAGCTTGTGAGCTTGATTGCGTCAGGAGGAATGGTGGAAGGTGACGCTTTTGAGCCAGAGTTGAGCTCGGATGGCAATGATGAGGACGAGGCAGGTGGAGGCTGGGACTATAGTAATTTTATCTGACCACTGAGTAAGTCACAAGTAAATTATGGGGTATTTTACAAGTAATTTACGTGACAAACTCTACAAATTTTCGCGCTGCGCGGCCGGTTTTTTACGTTATTTACTCCGTAAACAACTGGCCCTCCAGGCCAGTGCGTTCTTAACTTGTGACGAATCCGCATCTGAGTTTTCTACACAGCCCTACCTGCTGCGTCCAAGTGCCGTGACAACTTGATCGTCCAGTATAACATTCGACTCGCCCATGGAAACTGATGTCGGCTGCTCGTCGACAGGATCACGCCGTGACCGAGCCCAGTACCCGTGCGAATCGCCTTTAGGTGTCTTCCGGAACAGTCTTCATGCTGGTGCAGTTGACCTCCTTCAGGTCCTCGGGCGAGCTATGCTTGCACCGTCAGAACACAAGGATATGAAAGGATGCGAGCATATCGATCGATCGAGCACTGCTTCTAGAAGCTCAGGCACTGAGGTCACATTGCCATGTCAAGCTGGGGTCAGGTTTACTACGGTCTCCTGAACCCTCCAGGCTGTAACTGTCTGTGATGAGCTCATTGGCCAATTACGACATCGTGGACTCGATCCAGGGCTGGAACTCTCGTGTCACCAGCATCGAGACTGGCCACGCATCCATCCTTGCTACCCTTGCCAGTCTCAAGACTGTGCCGGAAGCCGCTCTCGAGCAAGGAGTGGAACGGTCTGTCCCCTCAGACTGTTATCACGCCGACCTCACCGATGGCATTCCCCATATCAAACGGCAAGCGGACCTCGTCCTCCACCCTCACCTGTGAGCGTGACCACCTCACTCACCGAGTCACCTCCATCATCGATCATGATCCACACTGCCTCTCAACACCCCCAGGCCAACCAGCGGTCACTCTCCCTGGGGAGCGGGTATCAAGTGGTTCTTGTTATACCTACGAGCACACTGTATTTCTACTCTGTGACGACAGATAGTCATACAACGTGCTGCTACTTCGTGACAACGAGGCAGCGCACACCAACTGCCCCCTTCTTGCTTACTCCTTGATAGACGTTCGGAGTTATGTGCTGAAAAGCTCGTCGGATAAGCAGCTGGGGGTCCAAGACGAAGGCGCGTATTTAGCTCGTACCTAGCGCTAGGATAATCTTGGGAACACAGTGTTCAGTGATTGGACCATGCCGTGTATAATACTATCACTATCACGACCGCGTCTGGTTCCCGGCACGTTGGCGGAGGGATCATCCATGCAGTACGCCACCGCGCGGCGCAGCGAAGTGCAGACCGTGTCCATTTCAAAGCTACATTGATTTCGAGTCCAAATGCTCCGTGCGCTACAGATACAGTGTGTGCCTACATAGTGATGTCCGCGATCATCATCTGTCCAGAAGTTGTTGACTGTACTCGTTTAACAAAGATTCAGGAGCCAAACAGCGCCATCGAATCCCACAGAACCATCGTTTTTCTGAACAAGTCCACCGAAGCGGGTATATCCCTCCAGCAAGTCCAAGCGGGTCATCCCGAGCTGCCAGGGCCGTGGCTTCGTCCCCTTCCCCGAGCGCCAACGGAGAGAATTTCCGAGAACTTCTTCCTCCCACTCCCTACGCGAGACCAGCATCCCAAGATCACGGGATATTGCAGACAAAACGTCCATCACGCTGACACCAAGCGCCAGCGACGACGCATGCGCGACGACGAGCCACGGCAGCCGGGGGACGGCGATCGTGAGTGACGGCAGGGCCGGGATCGTCGCTGATTGCCGCACGGATATCATCTGATCCCAACAGTGATCGTCAGTTGTGGGAGGCAGAAACGCGAAATCGACAACGAGAGCGGTGGGAGGAAGATCAGAGGATCGGCGCCGCAGCGCCAGGGCGGGATGGAGCGATACTAGGCCAGGGCAGCAAGTCTGTGGAGGGAGCGGGATGGTCGTGCGACGGCTCGGTGCGGGCGGCGAAGCTGCAGCGGTCTCAGCCCACATCCAGAATAAGCGGGGGAGATAGAGTTGAGTTTGTAGGGGAAAGAGAAGCGTCGACTGCAAGGCACGTTTGCAAGGCACGTTTTCAGCCAAGATTGGGCAGCCGCACTATTCGAACCCGCGCATGGGCACCTCAGTTACCACCGCCATCACCCGGTTGCACCCCCGCGGGGGTCCTCCTGGGTACCCTCAGACGTAGCTCTGAGGGTACCTAACAGGTACCCCCCTGCGGGGCCCGCGGGGGGGATTTGGTCCATTTGGGGGCGGGGGCATATGCGGGGGTCAGCAGGGGGGGGTCTGTACATGTCATGTGATTTATCATTGGGAGCGGGCAGGTGGGCGCGAAAAAAAAAATGAATCACATGACACATCCAATGGGCGGGATGGCGGCTGATGGCGGGGTAAAAAAATCACGTGATGCACCGCATGAAAACTATCAAAAATGGCTAGCAGGGGTTGGCGGGGGCGCTACTGGCCCCCCGCACACCATGGCGGGCAGTGGGCGCATTATCACGTGACTTTTGGGGCACCTTTTGTGCACCATTCGGCATGATTTCGGAGGTGTTGCTTGATCCATTGCATGCTGTGGCAGACAATGGGCGCATAATCACGTGATTTTCCGCCCAAAAAAATGGAAGCCTTCCCCAAATCATCCTGGTATCATTTCTATCGGTAAATACACTAGTTAAGCATGAATTTGAGCTTAGAAAGCCCAAAATGCACCCTGCACAATGGGACTGGTGATGCACTTGATCCCATCATTTGGCGGGGTCTGCTGCGGGGGGTGCCACGGGGGGTGCTGCGGGGGGTGCTGCGGGGGGTGCCGCAGGGGGTGCCACAAGGGGTGCCGCAGGGGGTGCCGCAGGGCCCGCTGTGGGGTCAACCACAGGAGCAGGGGTAGGGGTGCATTGCATCATATTTTGATCTATCTATTCTCGCTGTGGTCATAGCATGCAGCATAATTATCCTTCATTTTGCCAGGAGTTTGGAGGCTGTGTCTGGGGTTGGTCTGCAGCTACAGCCATGTGACTCCCTGATGCTTCGGCAGGGGCTGGGATATCAAAACTGTGCAAATTTACCTAAATCTTTTGGCTTGGCTTGGGGCACTGATATATATGACTTGGTTCATTTTAGCATGGTCTGCTCAAGCTGTCAGGTCAAACTAAAAATTTGAAAAATGTGCAACTTGATTTGTTAGGCAAATCTCCCAAGTACATGCTCCAGGGACAGCCAACATCATCAACAAGAAATGGCTAATGTTTCTTTTCTCTGTCTGTTTGCTTCAGGTAGTCTGTCTGCACTCAAATTTTTCTCTCCATTTGCAGCATATTCCGTGGAGGTGTCATAATTGTTCATTTCCGGATTTCATACTTCTTGTCTACACACCATTTGGGCCCTTTACTGAATCCAATAATACTGTAGACTCTTACAATGGATTGAGCAGGACATTTGTCAATTAAATCCTTGCAGGGGTTGGGGGGGGGGGTCGACCACAGGGGGTGCCGCGGGGGGTGCCACGGGGGGTGCCGTGGGGGTGCACAAGCATCTGCCAGCCTACCAAATGTGGATCAACTACAAAATCACTTTCCAAAGCTTCTGTACTGCAACCCAAGTGACTTCTAGGTAACCTTTACCCAATCCCAGTGAAACAACTTCACTGCTCTTGTTTCTGGGTGACAATTGATTTTATGAGCTTGAGTGTGTATGTGCGCTTCTTAGTCGGAAATGAGGCCATGTGATGAGAGGTAGGGCACCGAAACATTGTAAAATACTATATTCAACATGACCGGTGGCCCATGTCTCTTCAAACCAGCCCATATCTCGTGTTTATCAAGACCCTATTTTTCGGACTCATTTCAAGTTTTTGAATAGTTCCAGGGTCCAGGGCTCTCAGAATTTGTTTCAGACACTGCCAAAGAGTATATCATTCAGCTGTATTGAATTGCTTGTGTGTAGAAAAAATATTTTTTGCCATACCCAAAGTGAACCATGTTGAACCATTGTCTACATAGGAACCTTGAGCAATGGTGAACTCTTTTCATGTTTCGAATTTTAGGTGGACAAATGATATGAAGTATCTACATATTCAATAAGAATAGCAGAAGGAGACCTTATTCCGATGGTTTTCAGCTGCATAACTGTAGGAACAGTGTTAGAAGAGCAGTAAACACTTAGGTACGACGTTTATACAGGTTCTGATTGGCTAGTGACTTGACGTGTTCCGAGCTGTCAGTTTACATAATCTTACATATAAGAAAATCACGGGGACAAGGCACCGGTGCAGCGGGGGGTGCTAGACTGGCGGGGGTGCCAGCGGGGGTGCCGGCGGGGGTGCCAACAGGGGTGCCGGCGGGGGTGCCAATGGGGGTACCAGCAGGGGTGCAGGCAGTGGGTCATGGCAAGGATGTGTGCAGCCCAGAGGTAGTAAAAGTAACCATCTATGTCTCTACAGTCTATCTTGCAAATATACGAGCTCTGAGTGCACAGAGTGTTGTATAGGAAATTTGAAATTCAAATATTACCAATCTCTGACTATTGTGAGGCAACTTGCTGGTGAATCCATTGTCTCATATTCCACCTAGGAATCAATTCAGGGCATGTCAAATCCACTCTATTACATCTGTTCATGTTGCAACTAAAGCAAACTGCTTGTAAAGTAACACAGAACAGATGAACTTCAATGAGTCCCAGACAGGAAGTGTGACATTAGGTGCATAATTAACGTGTGGTATTATCCACTGGGTAAGATTAGACTGTGCCTACAGCATGATCAGTTTACCAATGGGCATGTGTATAGAATGAGCAGACGAAACAATCAATGAGTTGACAGTGGACCCGATGCAGCCTATGATGTCAGCCCACCTACCCTGCCAGCCAAAAAATGAACAAATCACACTTTCTTTTTAACCCTACATGCCTGGATTATGCAGACAATATTGCATAGTTTTGATATCCCAGCCCCTGCCGAAGCATCAGGGAGTCACATGGCTGTAGCTGCAGACCAACCCCAGACACAGCCTCCAAACTCCTGGCAAAATGAAGGATAATTATGCTGCATGCTATGACCACAGCGAGAATAGATAGATCAAAATATGATGCAATGCACCCCTACCCCTGCTCCTGTGGTTGACCCCACAGCGGGCCCTGCGGCACCCCCTGCGGCACCCCTTGTGGCACCCCCTGCGGCACCCCCCGCAGCACCCCCCGCAGCACCCCCCGTGGCACCCCCCGCAGCAGACCCCGCCAAATGATGGGATCAAGTGCATCACCAGTCCCATTGTGCAGGGTGCATTTTGGGCTTTCTAAGCTCAAATTCATGCTTAACTAGTGTATTTACCGATAGAAATGATACCAGGATGATTTGGGGAAGGCTTCCATTTTTTTGGGCGGAAAATCACGTGATTATGCGCCCATTGTCTGCCACAGCATGCAATGGATCAAGCAACACCTCCGAAATCATGCCGAATGGTGCACAAAAGGTGCCCCAAAAGTCACGTGATAATGCGCCCACTGCCCGCCATGGTGTGCGGGGGGCCAGTAGCGCCCCCGCCAACCCCTGCTAGCCATTTTTGATAGTTTTCATGCGGTGCATCACGTGATTTTTTTACCCCGCCATCAGCCGCCATCCCGCCCATTGGATGTGTCATGTGATTCATTTTTTTTTTCGCGCCCACCTGCCCGCTCCCAATGATAAATCACATGACATGTACAGACCCCCCCCTGCTGACCCCCGCATATGCCCCCGCCCCCAAATGGACCAAATCCCCCCCGCGGGCCCCGCAGGGGGGTACCTGTTAGGTACCCTCAGAGCTACGTCTGAGGGTACCCAGGAGGACCCCCGCGGGGGTGCAACCGGGTGATGGCGGTGGTAACTGAGGTGCGCATGGGACCGTGTACAGGGGGAAGCAAGGAGAGGGTCGAGGGCAAGTGAGGGTGGAGGCAGTCTGCGTTGCTGGGCATCATATATCACTCATTTCTCGTTCCCACTCCGGCGACACCAGCCCGCACAGTACTTACTGGGCTTTGTTCGACGTTCGAGACGGACCGATCAGTATCATCCGGCTGCGTGCAATCACGTGACACATTCTGAATCACATTTTGATACGGACAGAGATGTTAGCTACGCCAGCGAGAGAATGTAAGTATAATACTGGGACTCCGAGCCCGATCCGCCCAGACAGCATAAGACCCCGTAGCACAAAAATCAAACGCTCTCGCCGCTCCACCCCAGTGGCTGCGCCGCCGGCATAAGCTGGGTGGCCGATTCCGCCTGCTTTCCGAATCCAAATTCAAGATCGCGCGATTGAGCCTGCTTTTTCGCCTCCCGAGCAGCCTTCTTCTGAGCGCGCGACATCTTGATCTTCTTGGGGAACTCGCTGTCGGGGCCGACGAGCACGCGCCCTGGGTGCACGGCGTTCCACGCGACGATGACGGAGAGCATAGGCAGGGCGTCGAGGACGTAGAAGAAGGCTTCGTGTTCTGTGATGGGGGAGTCGAGCCCGGAAGAGAACTCGACGAGGCGATAAATGATGCGGATCTGTTGTGGTAGGATAAGATATGTTGAGCAAATCAGGTGTGCCATTACCCCGGTCACGTACCGTGATGAGTGAGAGAGACATGTAAGTGAGGTAGAGGGGCCATTTCCAGAATGCAGCAGCCCTTCCACTGTCTGTGAGTCGCTTCATAACAACGTGGAAGCGGATGACGAGGCCCGTGAAACCAAGAACGAAGATCTCCTGCAGCCCAATGCCTCCCATGTAGATGTGGATACCGAGGAGAGCACTCGAAGGATCGCTGCCACTGATCATCGATCCTCCGGTAGCCTGCATGAGAAAAGCTCTGATGTGCGCACGGATTGGTCAGCAACCACAGATGGTGGGCGAACAAGAACCGCACGCACGTAATGTCTAGTAGCACGAAGATCAGCGACAAGCGCCTCGCGCTCACGCCCGCGATCTTCTTCTCCGGCATGTAGAAGTGGACGAAGCGCGCCATGAGCATGTACAGGAACGCGTTCACCCACAGCGGCGCGAGCAGGATCAGCAGCTGCGACGGCAGGCCGAACGCGAGCGACGTCGTCGCGACCACGTTGAACACGCGCAGAACGAGCCCCGCGGTCTCCCATGCGCCCGCCATGATGAGCACCCAGCAGAACGCCTTGCGGTGCCGGATCGCTTGCACCACGTGCACGAGAGTCGTCAGGCCGAAGAGAACCGAGAAGAGGATCGCGGCGGGGAGCGAAGGGCAGTACATGAAGCTGTAGTTCGCATTGCTGTTAGGGTCTGGGGTATATAGAGTCAGCGGTGGCACTCTGATAGCCTGGAGGAAACCACCACGAACCCATGCATACTTCCTTGAGCTGCATATTTGCCTGAGTGATTCGGGAAGAGAAGAGGATGATAAAGGGTAAAATGAGAAGAGAAGGTGAATAACGAGCCTCAAACGTGCATGGGCAAGACTTTATACGCAAGTATTGCCCCTGCAGGAACTGTCATTACCCGCTGCGCAGCCCAATCCATTGGGCATACAAGAGTGAATCCCCCATACGTACAACGAGACCGCAGTCCCCCGCAGCACCCACAAAGGGCATTTTTGACCGTAGATACCGTGCACAGGGCCAGGGATGTGATTGATGTCAATCCTGTGTCCACATCAACAATCGGTTTCATACACAAAGCGCACACTAAGGAGTCTGAAGCCCCAGAAACGCGGGGGGAGGGGAGCGGCGCGATCAGGAAATCTCCTCGAGCTGGTGCTTTGTCGATCCGCAAGTCTATCGATTAGTGATAGATGCTCTTGCAGACTCGAGGTGGAACACTGTCACGTGAGCTGAGGCGTGAGCTGACGGATGGCTAGTTGCTGATCGATCAAGCCCGAGCACAGCTACGAATTAAGGGTGATGCAGGCTTCATGTGGAGCAGCAGGGATCGAATGAATTGTATAAATAAGATCAAGATCTGGATAGTCGAATGCATCGCATGTGCACCCTAGTCCACGTCGGAAGGGAGATTTCCCCGTGCTAATAGAAATGTAATGTTGCGGGAATCTTGGGAAACACTGAACAAGAAACGGGACCGAAAAAGATCAAACCAGATGGCTGGTCCTGCCAACATAACCAGGGAAGAAGAAAACCCAACCCTAGTCCGAGACAGTGGACCCCTGGACGATGAGGCCGAAATTGGGGCGTTTGACGTGAGCACTGAGCACTATTCGCCACAGACCCCGCGTCCGCTGAGAAATAACTTACGAGACAGCGTCCGGACCGCTCCACAAAACCGGCCCTAGACACGCATGCCGGCACAAGTCATCAGTACAGCGAGCGGGCGTGTTTCTAACATGACGCGTGATATCACAGATCCTTCTTCCTGAAAACCCATCTCGGTACCCCGTCCTCCTGCACGACCCACTCGCGCTCGAGCGCATACCCGCCCCTCCGTGGGAGCCAGACGCTCCAGACGTACCAATACGCGACCCCGACGAGCCCCAGAGACATCGCGACCACCGCATGGAGCTAGTCGGTTCGTTCGCTCAGTTCAACGCAGAGATCAACGGCAGCGAGTGGACGTTACGTACGTAATAAGGGAGAGCCTCGTAGACCTGCTTCCCGAGCGGCGGCGGGACGAGCGGGACGACGATGAGGAACACGTTCGTGAGGCAGAACGCGGCTGTGATGGCCCAAGGCGCGCGGAAGGGCGGGGACCAGTTGAAGTCCCTGTATGCGGGCGTGTAGAGCAGCAGCAGCCCGAACGAGACGAAGGTGTTGACGAGGGCGAGGGAGTACGACGAGGCTGGTCAGATCGGGGTGAGCGTACTCGTGGTGTGGGAAAGGGGATCGCGAGGCACGTACTGCTGATCATGAACAGATACACATCGCCGGGCGGAGGACCCAGAACAAATGCACAGGATACAAGGTACTGCGTGAACAGCCCAGCAAGCGGCGCGCCGAACGGCTTGTTGCTGGCGAAGAAGCCAGAGTACGGGAGGATGCCCTCGCGACCGAGTTCCTGGATGACTAGCCAGGGAGATTCAACCCCTGCGCATGTGCCCGAATATAATGCAACTACCTCTGCCTTGTGTGAATTGCCCGGAAAGCAGATTGCCGAGCGTTGACAGAGCGACGAAGACACTCAGAGCCTAGGCAGATTTAGATGCATCCTTCCGTCTGCAACACTGAGACACTAACCCGCTCAGTCGCTGGTCCGAACAGATTCCGGAAAAACAGTGCTCTGTGTTTGATCGTATCAAGGGCCCAATAACAAATTGAAAGACCCACGCGACGATGCGTTTGCTCTCCAAAATATCACCCTTCGAAACGACTGCAAAGTACGCGATGTTCACCAACAAATAGGCGATCGTGACCGCGGCCATGGCCAGCGGTGCAGCGCGCTTGATCGTCCGCACCGGATCGCGCACTTCGGACAGCGCGTAGTTGGCGTTCGCATATCCGATAAACGACCTACACAACGTTCAAGTTGCCTGAAACACGAATAATCACGTACCAAATGATGCTGTACAGCGCCGTCACCAGCCCATTGGCCCCAGTGCTCCCCGTCCCGTCCCATATCTGTGACCAGCCCGCGAAGTTGTCCGGCTTGTCGTACCCGTCGCGCACGGCGAAGCCCGGGACTCCGAGGAGCGAAAGTAGACCCAGCAGCGCAATTGAGGCCAGGATGATCAGTTTGAAGACGCCGAGCGCGTTCTGCAGGCGGACGCCGGTCTGGAGGAGTGTGCCGTGCATCCCGAGCACGAATGTAAGGACCAGCACGGCCAGGAGTCGGGTCAGGAATCGTGTGGGTGTGATTGCAAGCGCGTTCAGCAGGTCTGATTGTGGTTGATTTCTTCCGTAAGATATGCAGACTAATACTCACATTCTCCGAAGACAATGCTGTTGGCTGCGGCCGTGCCCTGTCGCGAAGTCTGAAAATAGACCAATCAAACTGAGGCTGACGAACGCACTATGATCAGGGTATACACAACAAACGAGCAGCTGACGAGAAAACGCGGCTTCCGGTAGATGAACTCCAAGTAATTCTTCTCCCCACCATTACGCGGGAGCCCAGTCCCCAACTCGACGTAGACGGCGGTGCCGAATGCGGCGATCAGCGCGCCCAGAAGCCACATCAGCAGAGCTACTCCTACGGAGCCTGAGTTGCGCAGGATGACCGACGGTGTGGCGTAGATGCTGTGATGAATCAGATGTAGGCAAACAGGCTTTTATTGCGCCGCTAAGCACGCACCCAGTCCCAATGACGCGATTGAAGACTAGGAAGGCCGCACTGGTGAGTCCTGGCTCTTCTCAGTAGTGCACTACATTCAGAAAGATCAAAAACACACCCAGCTGTCTTTTCTCCTTCGGAACGTTGTCGAAACCCTCCCCCGTCTCTATCCGAGCGCGTCAACAGCTTATCGGTAGGTACGGGGCTAACTCGCACCGTCGTCGCTTCCCGCTCGCGTGACCGACACGACCTGGTCGCGGTGGTCGGACTCAGTCGTTGTAGTCCCGCAGTATCCTGGATCTTCTGCAGCCGGCAGCAGCGGCGCGGTCTCCGACATAACGGGGTAGAAGGAAGACGTGAAGCTGTGCACGTACATCAGCGGTCACGTGTCATGTCTCAGGGTGGCAATGCGCCGCTCAGACCCTTCTTCGCTACCACCACCACTACCACCATCAAGAGCCCCACTCATCAAGGCGACTGCTCACTCTAACCCCCGTGAAAACCACCCATACTACATCTGACGACGCGATGGTCGTGCTCCTGAGCCCCTTTGAGAGCAAGCTCCGCTCGCATGGGCACATCATGTTCTTCGCGTACCTCGTCGCCCTGCCACTGGGCATCCTCCTCGCGCGCTATTTGCGCACCTTCACCAAGTCGTGCGTCCTTTCGTCCCTTGCTCCCCAATCTCATCCCACGGCGTGGCGTGGTTCTCGCACCGCATTTGGTAGCCCGGCTCTCAGTCCAACGCTAAACATAATTCCGCAGCTGGTTTTGGCCGCACGCGATCGTCAACTTCCTCGTCACCGGTCCGCTCATCTTCGCCGGCTTTGCGCTCGGGTATCAGGCTGTCGAGGAGACCGCGCCCGGGACGCATTTCAACGATCCGCATAAGGTTCGTGCTCCTGTTTTTACGCTGCGCTATTTTCGGTCGTACTCACACGCGGGCGTAGAAAGCCGGCCTTGCTCTGCTCATTCTTTACCTCCTGCAAGTCCTCCTCGGCGCGTTCATCCACTACGTCAAGCCTAACGCGACGCGCAATACCCCCGGCGGACGAACCCCGCAGAACTACCTGCACGCGATCTTGGGCCTGTCGATCGTCGCGCTGGCCTCATGGCAGGTCTGTGCCCCGCTCCTATCTACACATGATCACATGCTGATTCCGTGCGGCAGACGCACTATGGGCTGTGGACCGAGTGGGCGCTGGCGACGGGCAACGCGAACCCCGTCAACTGGAAGTGCAAGCATTTCTGGCTTGGAATCGTTGTGGTGCGCACGTTTGTCATGCAAAGCGAAACTTTCATTGGCTGACGGCCGACAGGGGATATGGGCGCTCTATGCTGTTGGACTTGGACTGCTGCCTCGGCAGTTGAGGCAGGAAGCCAAGGGTCGCAGGGAAAGCAAGACTTATAAATAAGTTCTCCTTCCTTGTTTACGAATGTGTGTCTCCCTAGGAACTTGTATGCATGTACTGCTAACGATCAGCTTTGTATTCGCACGTGGTGACAACTTCAGCTCCGGGGCCGATTCAGGAGTGAATTGCGAGGATCGATAATTGCTAGCACTGATTCGATTCGGACGAAATTTGTATGGCGCGTATTACAGGACATGTTCTCTGACATAATATTCGACTGCTCCATCGCGCCCCGAAACCATAGAGTGTGCGCCCCGAGCGCTTGAGCGCATAAAAAGCATCGAGCGACGGAAGGTTTTGACTGCACAACGCAGTCAATACCGTATATTTATCTGTCTGTACTCGTGTGTGCTAGGTGCTAAATGACTAGATGAGATGTCGAAGGCAGACGGGGGAGGAAGTCTCCCAGATAGTGCTGGTGTGAGGGAGCGAGATTTAAGCACAGGAATCCGCCTTTTATACCGTCGCGATTTCTCGTTACTTGTATTTGGCTGATGGACGGTGGGCGATAGAGCACTTAGAGGATGGTCGGAAGATTAGATTAGATTGCGTCATGATCCTGCAGTGAGCTCGTGAGAATCAGGATGCCGCTGCTGCACAGCCACTAGGATCCACGTGAAAGAAATTTCAGGGGAACCGAGAGAAGTCGTATTTTTTGGACGAAATCGAAATGGATGCCTCTCGATCGATCGGGCAAACTCCTTGCTCTTCCTTGTTGCAAATTAGTAGCCCTTCCTGTGAAAGCATCCCTTACTGCGGTCGTAATGATCCTCAGCGCTCCGGTGACCTGATCCGAATTTGCACATGCAAAATCACCCATTACAAACAACACCCGTGGTATTCAAACAGTCCAATCATCCCCCTGACTCCGTCTCTGCTCGACCACGGCCGGCTCGTGCACGAACGTCGCCGTCGTGGGGGTCTCGATTTCCCCCATCAGTCGTCGCCCGCTTGCCAGTGCGATGGCATCCGCCTCCACGTCCTGCCCCGCCGCGTCTTGCTCGTCTGCGCCAGCGATGGGGGGTATGGATATGTGACTGAGGTGGATCGTGCCGTCGAAGACACCCGCGTCGGCCTTGCGGTGCAGGTTGAGCATCAGCCGCGCCATCAGTGACACCGAGACGCTGGAATATCACATGTTTAGTTCGCTCGTGTAGAGATCGATGCGGTTGCATGCGCACCAGCTGGCGAAGGTCGACATCGAGCCGCGAAGGAGGGGCTGGAAGTAGCTTGTCAACTCGGAAGCAATGAGATGCAGTGATTCATACCCCGCCCAGCTGATGGACCATCAGCCCAGCGAAACAAACAGAATAAAAGACAATGGAACGCACGTAAAACGTGATGATGTTGGAGAAGTTGATTAAGGCGAGAGCACTGGAGAACATTGAATGACGTCCCATCGCTGTACAATGACGACGGGATTCACCCGAAATAGAGCACGCCTGTAGAATCACACATCTCATTTCAGCTTTGAGGGCTCACACACACACACACAAAACATCTCACCGTCGCGGAAGATGAGAGCATGAATCGGAAGGTGTTCGGGAGATCCCGCCCTCCGCCACGTCGAGTACGTTTTGTAGATCGTCAACCCGAAGATCACCGAGTCGTACATGAAGAGGGCGAACCACGCCCCGACGACGTCTGCCGTCACCAGCCCCATCAGCAAGTTGCTTCAAAAAGCACCGGGTGAATGGGACACGCACGATTTGACGTTCGACGGGACATCAGCAGATTGCACCCGCCGGAGAGCATCGGCGCGGGCCGCGTCTTCTGCCCGACAAGCGACCACGCAATGAGCGCGACGAGGGGGATGCACACCGCGATGAGCCCGGCGAGCACGCGGCGGGAGCGGTTGTACAGTGCGTAGATGCGGAGGAACATGACCACTGTGACGCGGCCCCATCAATATGCCGCCGATCGCCGCACAGAGAAGAGACGCCGGACGCACTGGCTACGAGCGCCTGCATGAACACGAGCACGAGCTGGTGCAGGATGTGGTACGCATAGCACCTGTCGATCGATCATTCAGCCACACACACCCGGTCTTCCATCGATCCAGGACCCACCACTGCCAACCCATGACCAGTCAGCACGGAGCAAGTAGACAGACAACAGGGAGGTACCGCGGACGCACCTCGGGAGAAACAGTCGGGTAGAACATGCCCAACGTGATGAGTAGATTCCCGACGAACGCAGTGTACCGGATTGCGAAGAACCAGTACGCGCTCTTGGACCGCCGCGCAGGGCGTAACCACAGGATGTGGATCTCGTCCCCAAGCATGAGGATATGATCCCAGTACAGAATCACTGCAAAGCAGCTCTCAGATGGCCGTCCAGGATACGAGGACAGGGGGACGGGAGGAAGAGCACGCACCGATGCCCACGATGTGCAGCACGTTGCGAATCCCGACATCCCATGTCAGCTGCGGCTGCGCGGCTTCGACCATGCGGCATGGAACGGACTAGGAAACGGGGGTCAGCAGGCGGCCGTCGAAAGATGTGGAAGAGGGGTGAGGGGAGGGGAGGGAGAAGGGTGCGGCTCTCTGGAGATGAGGCCGACGACGGTCTGTCATCGGAGAAAGCGAAGTCGTGATCGGGACCTTGGATTTGGCATTGTGTCATCCCCCGCTCCACTTTGGCGTGTGATCGCTTCCTGTGGCCATAAGGTTTCCGAAGCGTTCTCGAGATAGGGGTAACGCCCAGGAGTAGGTTGCTGGAAGAGAGACGAAATGTGCGACCAGCCAGAGTCGTTCATGACCTGTGTTTCTCCAGCTGAGAGCTGTTTTCCTTCGCCGAATATGTGTATCACAAGTGTCTACTTGTTTTTTTTGACCGATTCACACGGCAAAAAACAGCGGGAATCGGGATATAACATGCTGCTGTAATTTACTCTGTCAAAACAAACACAGGGCTAAGCGCAAGGCCAGGGGCGATGAGATTTGATTTTCATCGGCTAGAAATACATCTATAAGACCCGTCCACCGACCTTACTCCTCGTGCTCAAAGTCCCATGGACTGACTGAGTCCAGTTCCACGCTCGGCCGGCCCGTGCCATACCGCCAGTGGTCGATCGTCGCATTGGACGAGAATATGCCCTTGACGGCGTCCGCCTTGTGGAGGTTGATCATGAGACGGGACATCATTGTCACCGAGAGGCTGGACGTGGGTGTGTTAAGTAATAGGATATTTGAAGAGAGGGGAGGTGGCGCACCAGCTGGCAAGCGTGGATACACATCCCTTAATGATAGACTACGAAGCCAATCAATGGAAGCCGTGGCCATTCAGGTGTGATTGACTTACTCGTGTAAACTGCGGGAAACGTGTGAGCAGGCGAGCAGGAGGAATGGAGGAAACGTACATAAAAAGTCAGAATGTTGGCCAGATTGGTGAGCGCCATCACGCTATCCAAATTCAGGCCCGTGGATCGGAGACCCTCGTCATCACTCACACGAAGTATATCGCACCTGGATCCTCAACGTCAACACAAGATCTACTGTATCATGCCCAAGGACACGAACCATCACGGATCAACAAACTGAACAGCGGAAACTCTCCATCCCTTGGTGCGATCTGTAGCCGGACGTTCTCTTCCCTCCGGGCTCGGATAGATCGTGCAAAGAGGGCAGCAAAGATGAGCCAGTCGTAGACGAATAACGCCTCCCAGGGTACCACGAGGTCTGTTGGGCAAGCTTCAGCGCCCTGGATACCTACGAGATGACTGAACGAAGCGACGCACGGACGGCCACTTTCTCCGATACACCGGTATGGCAGCCACCCGCAGTGTCGTCCGGAAGAGGTGTGCCTCGACTGCCGCTGACGGCCCACTGTGCGTGGTATCGGATCAGAGCGAGATGGAGGCGAGAGAAGAGACTCGGAACTCACCACCGAGATGGCTAGCAAGCATAGGCCTGTCACGATAAGATATTTCCACAGATGGCTCCCCCGACCGTAGATCGCGTATATTCTCAGCGTAAGCAGGACTGGCGTATCGTGTGAGCCAACTCAAGCTGCGATGAGGAGACAGGCCCCACCACAGATCACGATCTGATTGAGAAGGAGAAGCAGCTGACGAAACAGGTTCGCGCCGTTGCACCTGCGCTCGAGTTCAGCGAAGCTGTCAATGCGACAGCAGCGTGTTGGGGATTCTCACAACTGCGAGACGGTGAGATCAAGTGTGTGAGACTTGAGCGGAGCGCACGCACCGTTGAGGGGAGTGGTGTGAAGTGAAACACCAACACAACTAGGTTGCCGAACGACGCGAGGTAGCGGTTGAGCAAGAACGCATAGGTGCTCGCCGTCCTCGCCCGCTGCCACAGGTACTTCACCTCGTCCTCTGTCCGCACCGTCACGATCGGATGACTCCGGCACCGACTGCAGACGCACCGAATGTGACCAGGTGCTCCCAATACAACACCACTGCGTCCATAATAGGCTGAGCCTGCGACAGGAGGCCGGGCAAAGACACGCACCGATGCCAGCGAGGAAGAGATCGTTGTGAATCCGCCTGCGTGCGAGCTGCCAGTTAGCGAGCGACAACGACACGCGCAGACAGCACGCCGCACGCACACATCATGGAGGATCGTCTGAGCGTCCGGGACTCCGTCGTCGCGCATGCGGAGCCAGGGCGTCGGGAGGAGCGCCGCTGCGGGGAGGAGGGAGACGGGAGATGGAGGAAAAGAGCGCCCGGGTATAGGAACATACGATGCTCGCTATCCGGCCAGGCACCTTGATACGCGCCGGCATGATCCGGACCGCCTTCGTCTTGGTGGTGATCGTATCTTGGAAAGCGTACAAGAAGTTAGAACAGCATCTACTCGCACGATGAAGCCAATCCGAGTACTAACAAGCGTAATTGAGCTCATAGTCAAATTGGATGTTCACAGTTCATTTCCATCTCAACCTGCCTCGGAGGATGACTGTAGCCGTGGATGCGGCAAGCATGATGATCATCGTCAAGTTAATCTTGACAAGTCCTGCAGGTGGCTGTGCTAAGAATTTGTTGATCGATGCTGTTCACATCACATGACTGAAAATGTGTCACAGCCATCAGTCGACCTCATGCGACTCATGTGATGCGAGCCCCATGAATGACGCAGCTTGTACTCTCATTTCCAACGCCTCAACCACCACCTGCCTGAGAATCACAGAACTGCCGGCACCTCGCTTGGGTCTCTTCTGATGGCTACTTCGGAGCCGTGGATTCAGCTGCACCGCGGGCAGGCTCACTCAGGCTCCCCGGTCCTCACTGGGAAGGAAACTAGCTGCCTTCCTGCGGTCGATTCTCCATGGCCCCGGCGCGTTCATGCTTGCCCTTCGATCGGATGGAGAAGCGCTATGAATAGTCTGTGCCCGGAAGCACAAGCGTAGTCGCATGAAGCCACGAACATCACGCACGACGTCATATCTGCGCCGCACCCAGCCCACGTTGCCCGCGTGTCCAATTCTTGCGTGGGAGCGGGCGGTGGCGCATGAGGGGCTAAGGTTGTCTGCCTGTCTCTTTGTTTGTCTGGCAGGCTGTCTTTCCGCTTCCTTTGAGTGCATTACGTCTGTCTTACGAGCGTATAAAAGCCAAATGACTGTACGTTTGTCTTTTGCCACCCAACCACGACGATGCACGCCGCCGCTACGATGTGCGTACCCCCGCTGCTTAAGTGCCCTTGTGCCCCGCCGCTGACACCTACGCAGCACGACCCTCCTCTCGCTCTTTGCCAGCACCTACGCGGTCTCCAATCTCCAGGGCCCCACCAACGCTGCCCCCGGGTCGAATGTCACCGCGACCTGGTCCTCAGGCTCCTCTGACACCCAGACGATGACCCTGGCGTTGCTCAGCGCTGACACCAACGTCACCTACGTGCGTCATGGCGATGCTTGTCGGGTGGAGCCCTCTGTCTGACTGACTCCGCTGCATTGCAGCCGGGTGGATTGGCTGTTGCCAACACTGTGGTTCCTGGCGACAACAAGGCCACGTTCCTGTTCCCCCCAACTGACCCTGGGTGCGTGTTTTCGTGGCGCAGCTCTATCTGGTCTCATATGTTGGACCCTTCATAGCACGTACAAGCTCGTCCTGTACTCTTCGTCCAACACGAGCGACGTCCTCGCGACGAGTGGATCCTTCTCCGTTGGCGCCGCTGCCCCAGCCTCGACGGCGTCTGGCTCCACCGCCCCGCCGGCATCGTCTGCATCCAGCAAGCCGGCGACCTCCTCGGGGTGCGTGTTGCTTCCATCTGTTCATCTCGGAGCGTTCGGTTGGGGGGGCTTCATCTGCACTCTAACTCGGAATGCAGCCCCACCGCCACGGATCCACCTCTCCACTGCTCCCTGCTCCATTGCTGCTCCTAGCCTGGTGCTTACCCTTTTCGCAGGTCCGTGAGCCACAGCGTCACCGCGCCCATCGCCTCGATCACATCGTCCGCCGCGGCCGCCGCGTCGTCCATCGCCTCCGGCGCGGTCTCCCAGATCTCGAGCGTCGTGTCAGTAGCCTCGGCTGGCGCATCGTCCGTCGCCGTCAGCGCCGCCAGCGCCGCGAGTGCCGCCAGTGTGAGTGCCGCCAGTGCCGCCAGTGCAGCGAGCGCAAGCGCCTCGGGAGCCAGGCCCAGCTCCTCTTCCAACGCCGCAGTACCCACGCACGCCGGCTCCGGGATGGGCTTGGCTGCGTTCGTTCTGGGCCTCTTCATGCTCTGAGTGGGTGTGCGGGAGCTAGATAGACGGACGGACGGACGACGGACTGCTCGCACTCTCTTCCAAAAGCCATTCACGTCTTACTTGCGGTCTCTGTTTTGCATCTGGGTGTACTGGACACTAGTTCTTTCGTCGTTGTTGTTGTTGTTCGTGCACGTGCGTGCTACATAGGTGTATGTAACTCTGTATGTGCCTTCTTGCTTGTGATACATATACCCTGGGTCGTTTTCATCTCCACCGTGATGGCTGATGGCTAGGGGACGCCCGTGTATGGACATGTGTGATGTCCTGGGGAGAGATAATGGCACAGATGGCTGCCCAGATCTTCCTTGGCCCGTCGTGTGAATTGTGGGCCAGCCCGGGAGGACAATGTCAAAAATATGATGTCTCAAAAAGGAAATCGATCAGCCCCGACATCAATTCATTGTCGTCGCGCTTGGGAGGAAGGGCCCTACGGTATATAAGACCAGGCTGATCCGCCGAGAGACCCCATATCACCCGGAATCTCTCATCTCTTGCACGAATCTGGTCCGGCACCAGCAACAACGAAACACTCTCTCATACATCTATTTCATTGTCATCATCAACCATGCCTCGTATGACCAAGCGCGCACGCCAGCCTACACCTCTGTCCAACGTGACGAACTTTCAAGACGTCGAGTTCGAAGAATCCTCGCGCATGATGGTCGAAGATGAATGCAGCGCCATGTACGGTATCGATGGGACGGGCCCGACGACCCCGCCCCGCCGCCCACCCGGCATCGACTCCAAGGACCCAGAGCGCGTCGAGCAGCCGGAGTTCGCCACCATCGAGGTGGAGGAAATGGAGGATGTGGATGAAGAGCCCAAGCGTACGACGCCCGAGCCGATCAACCTGCTGTATCGCCACTTCCACAAGCAGCTCAAGCGCAGCACCGACACGCGGCGCGTCATCTCGAAGCTCCTGCGGCAGGGGGCCCAGGACGACGCCTTCACGGAGCCCATAGCCACCGTGACACGCATGCTCGGCGTGGACGCCTACTGCGGGGAGCAAACCTGGGGAGAGCGCGTCGGAGACTTGCTGAGCGATGTCTTCACCGCGTACTGGCATGTGCGTCCACCTTGAGTCACAGATACCGAGCCGATGCTGACCCACACAACAGGCGGAGGGCCCGTGGTTCGCCGAAGAATGGGAGGCCGCCGTCGACCCCGACGGCCAGGCAGAGAAGGGCGCCTACCGGCGCTCGCGCGGGATCAACCTCGCGCGCCTCACCGGGGCCTTCCTCGCCGAGGGTCTGCCGGCGCGCGTCATGCCCGCCCTCCAGCTTCTCCTCGCCGCGCCCCCCGCGCGCTTCCGCCTCGCCGCCATCCACCAGATCGTCTTCTGCGCCGCACACGCTGCGCACGCGCCGGAGATCCGCGCGGTGTTGGTAGGCAAGGACGGGCTCGCGGCGCTCGAGAGCGTCCGGGACTGGGACCTCGAGATCGGGTCGCCCAGGAAGCGCAGGGTCCGGCGCCGGTTCGTATGGGGCTGGGACGAGTGGTCCCAGCTTCTGGTTCTGGTGAGTCTCGGGTCTGGTGTCGAGTATGCGGTCGCTGACCCCGTCTGTAGGATGTCTTCCGCATGCTCGGCGAGCCCGAGAGTACCACCGCAGTCTCGTTCTAGCGATCCATCCTCCACTCACGACCACACTCCTTGTATCTCTTTCAAAACTGATTCCGACCTCGACTGTATCGATAGCTTACGACCAGCGTTATAATCCCCCTATGTTCGTTTTAGTCTACATTTCGGTAGCGCATGTACTTGTGTTCACCTTTCCCCGAATACATCTGCGACTGGAAGAAAAAGAGAGAGTAGTGGGAGCGACTTGCGTACGGATCTCGCTGCATGCTGGACCAGGGAGGAAGCAGAGCAGCTGATGCACGACGTTGGGGCGCAGGCGTATGTCGAGACCTCGGCCAAGACTGGAGAGAACGTTCCTGAGGCGTTCAGGCAGGCGCTGAAAGCGGTGTTCAAGAGCAGGCACGGCGTAGAAAGGAAGATACATAAGAGGCCTCTCTGTAGGATCCTTTAAACGGACCCTCTCTTGATTACCTGCACCTTGACTTTCATGGAATTGAGGACAAGTCGATGTGAGTCAATCATGCAGCGCCAACCCTATTTATTTTCATTGCCTCACCCTGTTGCCACTTGAACACACTGTTCTGATGCAAGAGAGCAATCTGTCTCGCCGCAATAAAACTCTGGCAATTAGTTCACCCTGGAAACATCAATCGGAATTGGACAATTTTTAAATTCGTCCAAGCTGGTCAAATGGCTCTTTCCAGATTGTTCGCGACGCTTTTGGGTTCCTTTTCTAGGAGTCTTCAAGGCGCGATCTCGTCTCCGTGACTCTCACCGCAGCACCGGCGAGACAATGCTTCCATCCCTGGATTGTTACGCGTTGAAGATGAGGATGGACGCATCTGACCCGCTCTAGCGAGCTTCAGGAGTGTTGTGTTGGTTCGTAAGGTTAGTCGGGCTACCTTGTCTCAGTCCCGAGGGCATAGACCTTGGCATCGCAACGCAGGTGAGCCCCGAGATGAGCACAGGTCTCCGTTCGTCGGGTTGTTGTCCTCCGGTCCGAGACTTCACAATCGACAGACGTTCATGAAATAGAAGGCCGGATTGGTGTACGTGATCAGCCGCGGAGACTGTCCGAGCTGCCCTCCTGCCTCGTGTGAATTCCGGATGTTGGAAGCAATAGTCGTTCCGGATCAGAGCAGTCCCTTGTACCCGACTTGCTTCCGTAGTATTCTATACATTCCTCCTCCCTGTGCTTGGCCGTTTTCCCGACAGGCGGAACATTCGAAACTTGGGCCGTGAGACACTGCAACAACAGGAAAAGAACATCAAGCAGAGATCGGCGTGGCGCCGATAATTAAGGTCAGCGGACATCTCCCTATTTACGTTTTGCTCGACTCTAGCCGGAAGTTGCCACCTTCGCGCATTTGTTGCACAATGAGGCATGCCAAGTCGGATGCCGCAAATGATGCTCCAGCCGATCGTGTCTCGGTTGGTATGGGTGGAGCGTCTGCCTCAACAGCCGTAATTGACATAATGGTCAAGGTTGAGTATAGCAGAATGCTATTCTGTGCTTGTGTGGCCAGCCCATACAGGATTGTGCGCAGGAGTCGAACTCGGGAATCTCTAGAGCGCTGCTGGGAGAGTTTCTGTGGGCTACTTGGCAAAATGGGCGCACGGAGATGTATACCGGAGAGAATGGGCGTTTGTTTAGGCGACAGAAGTGGAAGCTCTCGACTTCCGTGTTTCATGATAACTCCACTGACACGGCGAACGGCAGGCGCAAGCCGGATGTGAAACGTCCATAAGAATAGGCCAGGCTCGCATTCTAGTCCTCATACCTCTTTTCCCTCCTCATCCACGTTACTCACCCCCCTTCCCTTCACGACACCTTGCTCAACATCCCAACGCTCTTTCATCCTACTAGTACCATGCAAATCACTGCCCTCGTCGCCCTGACTCTGTCTGCTATCGCCAGCGTGAGCGCTGTGCCGCAGAAATCCACGAAATCTGTGAAAGTTACGAAGCCACACGCGGACGTCGTCTGGTCGCCAAAGTTCACGAGCCCCAAGGGGGGAGAGCTGTGGCCGAGCAAGAGCGTGCAGAATATCACATGGTGCGGCATCCGCTCCCTCTCCCCATCATCCCAAGCACTGCTGACACGTTTTGACAGGGACGCGAGTGGCGCGCCGGCGAACATCTCCAGCCGTGCGCTACTGATGCTTCGCAAGGGCGATGAGACTGCGCCGTGTGAGTGCTTGACAATTTGTGTGTCCTCCTCGTGCTCGATCTCATCTCTCGTTCTTCTCTAGTCGTGCTCGCGAAGGGCTTCGACATCCGCTCCGGATTCCTCAGCGTCACTGTGCCCTATGTACTCGGTGACGATGATTACTCCTGGGTCTGTGAGTACACCGATGGCGCTGCTTCATTCTCCAGTTATATTCTGACCGTTTGGGATAGTGTTCGGTGACTCGGGCAACTTCAGCCCGTTTTTCGCCATCTCGAGCGATGCTCTGAATTAGCATGGCCTCGCGCCGACTCGATGAGTTCTCGGACTTCTATTCCACACCATCTTTATTCCACACCATCGTTTTGGACAACTTACCGATATAATACGTCGCCTGTACCACGGACTCTCTTCTATACCGAAATCCCATCATGACGTACCTCCCGTAATGCTGCGCGTGGCCGAGATGATCGTAAGGACCCCCAGTGTCGGTTAAGGGTCACAATCGAGAAGCTGGGAGAGATCCCGCAGAGATTCTCTGAGCCATTCCCGAGAAAACACCTGTTGCGACGAGACGGCTAGTCTTCGCGTCGAAAACCTACAATCGAATTGGGGCCGACGGAATTACACATCGGGCATCGATCAAGCCACCCACCTCGCATGTACAGTTCGTCACACCGCCGACGGATGGCCGTGCTGTGCAGATGAAGCGGAGAACGGAGCCTCTGAAAAGATCCGGGTTTGAGCCGAGTTGTGGGTGTTTTGATAGAAGCCACGGAACACACACAGGTATGCAGGGTTGTGGAAAGACGTGTTGAGATATAAAGAGACGCCGGAGACGGCGTCAGGTCCGCGGGACGCGAAGTCGATTGCAGTGACTGCGGACGATGTAGCTCTGTAGGCGCGAGCTTAGCCGCGGCACGGGGTGGAGACTGTCTTAGACCGACTCGTCTATAACGGAGAACAGAAATGAGTTGGCGGCCTTGCCCTCAGCGTCCAACATCTCTGGTCACCGCATGTCAACAGGCTCGTCAATGCGGACAGGGAAGGGCGCACCTGCTGTGACCTCGACCTCGCACTCCATCACAAGCTCAACCGAATCTGTAAGCTCCACCCGCGTGACGACGCTCTCGCTCGCCATGGGCATCGCAAAGCACGAGTTGCCCGGCGCGTGGTAGATATCGAGCCATTTCACGGCGTATTCTTTCACGGCCTGCGGCGCTGAGCCAGCGATACGTGCAAGGCGGTGGGGGGCGACGGGCGTGTTGAGAATACGGCGTGAGTTGCGCACGAATGACTCTACAGGAGCATGCACCATGGAGCTTGGAGCTTAGAGGTGGTCGTCGTCGGCTAAGAAGGAGATAGACGCGGGGTAGCCGAGCCGAAGCCTCGATCGAAAACACGTGCGAGTACGCCTGTGAAGCTCAGTCCATGTGGCTTGGCGGAACGCAGCAAACTCCGACTGGCATTTACAGAATGATACAAACAGGTGTCCTGTATATCTTCCTTTTCGCACCCCTCCGGCTCTTGAAAATCTCCTTCAGCGCCGCCTGGAATGCTTTGGGAACATTATTTCCATTCTTGGCAGACGTCTCGATGTATGCTCTAGCACCCACGTCGTGCATGAGCTGCTATGCTTCCTCCCTGGTCCAGAACGCAGCCTCTTCCTTGACATCCGTACGCAAGTCGCTCTTCGTGCCCACCAGCACAACGACTGCCGAAGGCATATGATACCTGATCTCAGGGATCCACCTGTTCCGGACCCGCGCCAGCGCCTCTCTATCGTCCACCGCGAAACACAGCGCGAAGATGTCCGTCATGGGATACGACAAGGGACGCAGCCGGTCCCCTTCCTCCGCTCCGATGGAGTCCCACATCTCCATCCGCACTGTCTGCGGGACTCCGAGAGCTGACTCAGCCGCAGTTGGGTGGAGGTCCACGGCGTTTGCCCAGTTGCTGTAGGTTCGGGGCATGTAATCCGGCCAGGACAGCTCCGGATCGCTGAAACGTGAGGCGAGGGAGGTCTTCCCCGCTCCGGAGTCGCCGACGAGCACTAGCTTGAGGTTCTCTATGCCTTACACAGGGCAGGAGGTAAAAAGATTTGCTGTGCAACTGACAGCACTCCAGCTGGCGTCTTGGTACTTAGCATGAGAAGGATTTCAGGCGCACAGCCCTTGGCAGTCGTGATTGCTATCATGTGACGAGCGATCTTGCTTAGTCTTCCCCGTGACTTTCCCGACTTACTTGCGACCAAATTGACCCTTCTTCTTCAGTACCCTGAAGGATATATGTGACCATGCGGAACGGGAAGGCAAAGGCTCAAATCGACAGGTCAGCAACCGTTTAACTTCGAGCTCTGGGTCCGCCGCCGATGACCAATCGACAGTGACCCAGGTCTCTTTGCGAACCTTGTGGACGCGTGTCACTGCCGTGGATCGGTCGAGATCACGCCTGAACATGTGTGGCTCGCGATTACATCGCAGATATCGTTCTATCTCGGATCTTCTCCGCTACCGCACGACGACAAGCTACGCCGGACGCTCGCTGACTGGAAAAGTATCCACATCTTCTCTTCCGCGGTGCGCGGTGGAGTAGTCACGAGTGACAGCGCCCTGCCAGAGATTCGCGTCCAGGGGACAGCGGAGGAATACGCAAAAATCCTGTCGCTGCTCGACACTCTCCGCACGCCGGGTGCGCCTCTCGTGTTGATAGCGTGGTACCACCTCCTTCACATCGTCGTGTCGCGCCTTCTCGAACGCACAGCCGGATCACCGGCCCCTCAAGACGACGAATTCTGGGACAAAGCCATTCGCGCACGGACAAGCAACGATGACGTCAGGTTTGTCTCCGGTTGGACCGCAGCACTGCGTGTCTTCGACGAGGACGGGCGGTGGATCGGCTATCCGCTCGATGAGGTGTGTGTCAGGCTTCCATTGATGGCGAAGTGCTGACTGACTGGGGACGGTCAGAGCGCCGGTTCGACACAGCCTCCCGAGACGCTGACTGGCGCGCGTTTCTGGGCGACGTATGGTGGTGATAGACTGCGATATTGTGGGGATTTGGTCATCGACGGAGTTCCGTTTCATCGGGTCTACGAAGCTGATTGGGAGTGAGAGTGAAGCTGATTCAATACGAGTATACTACAGCACGATCATGGAGACAAAGATGGAGGTATCCTGTTTCAGGAATCTGATCTTGTACCTGTTGAAAGCATCCCCTTCTGCGTCTGGGATTCTTGCACTTGAAGGTGACGGACGTGTTCGAGTGACCATTCATATGCCTTCTGAAGGAAAGATGAAGTGCTGTATAAATAGAATCAGGTGTGCCGTGACACCGAAACAAAAGCCCCAAACACGAAAACTACTTTTAGTATTTATTCCCCATCAAACTCTGCTCCTCCAACTCGATCTCACGCGATACCTGTGTGATATCGCATGACGCGCACCAGAAGGAAGCGCAACAGTCGCCGCATCCTCCGCCCTCGATCCCGTAACGCTCGCGCGTGTCTCCCCGGTTGAGGCACTGCAGGATGAAACCCCATCCGCCAAACGACTATTGATCCGGGGTAGATTCAGACACAGATCAGTCGCGTGGGCAGCAGATGAAACGCACCGTCAGACAACAGTGGGCCCAGCACATGCCCGAGCAGCAGGAGCCTCCGTCGGGGTGCGGGGTCCCCTTGTTTGTCAGATGCGCGAGTCGTTGGCGGTTCTTGCCGTAGTAGATGCAGGGACAAAAGCATGCGCCGCAGACTTATCATCGCAGGGAAGTGTCAGCACGCGCGCGACGGCGGAGATACTCGGGTGCATCACTCACACGTTCCACATGCCCCGAAGCATCCGCACAACCCTTCACTCCACTCACGCTTGCCGCTGCTGTTCAGCGGCTTGTTCGCGGCGTTGCGGTTTCCACCCGCGCCGACCTGCATTCCCATCGTGGGCATCGGCTGCTGCGACATGTACGGTTGCTGGTTCTGGTACGCCATTCCTGTGGCGGCTTGTTCGTAGAGACGGTAGAGAGGTGGATGGGTGCGAGTGAAGCAGGGAAGAGATAAAATAAAAGAAGTGCGGTGGGAGAGAAGGGATTTATGCAAAAGGGTCCCGGAGAATGGAAAGGCAAGGGGAACGAAGGAAGAATGGTCCGCACGAGCATCCCGTCCGACCTTTATCGAATCCGGTGCTCAGACTCCCGGCAAGCAATCGAAGGCGCCGGGTGTGCGCCTCTCATCTGCAGATCTTTGCTCGGGAACTGCTACGTTGTCACTTCGCGTGGACAGATGATGGATGGTTGTTAGGGAGCGGTACCGTGGACCTGTTCGAGACATGAGTAACCATCGTCTCGCCGACCGTGCTGAACGCCAGCACTCCGATCCATATTGAGCGCTTTGATCTCGTGAGACAGTATTTTTTACAGAGAACGGAGGAGGGAGTTCAGCGGTAACGGTCGGTGGCAGGGTGACGGTGCGTAAATATGCGCGCTTATGGATTGTGGCATGTGATTGGTGATGATATGGACATGGAGGATCACACGGTTGACCCTGGAATGAAAGTAGAGAGCGGTGAAATCAGGACCTGCGAAGTTACCTTCAAATGTTGGCCACCGCGTTGGACAACTTTTGGTGCGGAGGGGTCAAAAGACTTGGCCTAAGTTAGTAAGGAGTTGGACAAAAATCCCGGCTAGATTCAGCCGGACTTAGGTCATGGTGGGACAAAATTTGGCCTCAGTCTGGTGCCCGATAGGTAACTTTCGTGGGTTGGGCTGGGCCACTGGTTCGATTCTTGCCCGTAGTTAGAATAGGTCAGAACAGTGTACAGAGCTCCTTCGACCGTAGGTTTGACAGGTTGACCGGCGATGCCGCTAATTCGGAAATTGATTCATTCGGCGGCCTGGTGACCAGTGACACCCATGGTAGGCGACAAAAGCTGTACTGATTTGTGGCAAAATTTTGCCTGTTGAAGGCCCAATTGTGGCCGAACCTCAGAGTTTTGGGGCTCATTCTTACCCAAAATGAGCAAAGAGACCTCAAAATGGCTGTAAATGGGTAGGTCGAGCAAAATTGGAAAATGTCACCAGTTCGGCCCTTGGTTCGAGCCCCTCCGTGACCGGGCCTGGTGACGGGACGCGATCTAATGGTCGAGATGTAGGTCATAGGTCACTCGAGTTCTTGAAAACACTGTGACGTAATAATTAGATAGACCATATTTTTTCGGGTTCTATGAAGATTCACTTCTACAAGCATGCCTCCCACAGTCCAAAGGTGTGCCTACAGACATAACAGTAGCTATTACCAATATCACTCGACCAAACCAAATAGGCACTGGATGTAAGTACATCGGGTGAACTAAATACTTCGGGTAGTGGTCGCAGGTCACTGGGTCAAATGACCAGTTCGGTTTCAAACACTTGAGGTCACTGTTTGCAAGGTCTGAACAGTCGGTCGTAATAGTACAGTACACAATGTATTGTCTCTATCTATATCCAAATTGGGAGACGGAATCATTTGCCGCACGGATCGATCACAGGCTGAGGATGCCCAATAGTTACCCTTTTGGGACGTGTGGTCAGGCCACGATTCCCACCCGAGGATGATAACACTGGGGAGTGAAAATGATCGGAAAACAAGATATGTTTCGCTCACGATCGGAGAGCCAAATAGTCCGTTACACTGTACCCCATCGTACCAAGGCACTCTCTCATCAACCCGGTAGTCCTTCAGCCCGTCCTCCGTCCTCCAAAGTTCTATCCAGCGAGCCGCTGGTCCATCGACCTCGATCTTAGGTAAAATTCCCCTGACTGGGCGCTAGCCTAATCAGCGCTGATTCGAGGTCCTGTGCGGCCTTCAGATGTAAGCCGCGAAGAAGCGCGGCGGCCCTTCTTCGCCGCTTGCAATCGTTATTCTAGCGAGGTGCTAGAAGGAGAATGCTCTTGCGCCCGTTCCGGAACGGAGAAGCGAGGAGAAGAAAGCCTTGGGAATAGAACGGTGCAGAGCACACTTGCTGAGGTGAGATTTGAAGGGTTACAAAACTGCAGGCCTCAAAGACGAGGCGATGTCACGGCCACCGGTCCTTGGTGAACCTTCACAATTCCAACGGAGCAGAGCCGGGGGATTGGCGAAATTTAATAAACGTCGAGTCATTCCGACGACTTCCTTTCTTCGTGAGGACTGATCCAAAGCAGTTTGAAGGAGGGCAGCACCTGGAAGTATGTAGCACATGCGAGGCGGGGGTTTAACCGAATTGACACATTGTGATCACGACGAGCGAATGATACGGAGTGAGATGACGCATAGAGCGTGACGAGAGTGGGCATCTGCTCGAACAACGCCACTTAGATCCTATTCTCATATAATCGCAGGCCGGGTTATCTCCACGTTCCGCAGTGGCAGGATGCCAAGGCAGCGAGGCTCGTGCGAGGAGGGACCCTTTACTGGAGTCATCCTCCGCTCCATATGATTCGGACGTACGAAACATCACATCACTTGTGGAATGCAGGGCCAGCGGCAATACAACACCTTCCATCGGCATCACGGAAGAATGACTTCCATATATGGACACTAGGGGACACGATACCTGAACGGTCGCCGCAAACGCAGATCCTCCCGTCAGATCAGATTCCTTTCACCTACGTATAAAATGCTTAGCTCTTTGCCTCGGTTCCCCGCGAATCTTGGTGTCTCACTCACAGCCATCTGTGCATTTTACACAGTCACATACTATCTTCGCTTTGAGATCCTCCCCGAACTATGTTCTGGTCCTCTAGCAAAGGCAAGACCCGAGCGCGGTTCTCGGCACCCAGAATGCCCTGCGAATTGGAACGGTACATCGTCGAGATGTATGCACTCGAATGCGCCGGCCCGGAGCGGATCCTGCAGCTGCTTCCCGTCTGCCATCGGGTTCGAGTTTGGTGCCTTCATTTCATTTCGTCGTGCAGCCTTCGAGACGATCTGACGATTGTTGACAAGGCTTGAGCCAGCACTCTACCGCACACTCATATTCAACGACGGATCCGATGAGCAGAGACTTCCAACCTGCGAGATAGATGTGATCGACCGTCTGTCTACTGCCTATCCAGGCGCCCTCCAGAACATTGTGAAGAATATCATGCTAATCGGTGAAAGGCGGGATACTGTGGAGCGGGTGTTGAGGAGCTGCAATGCGGCGGAGAATGTGTTCCTCGCTGGATGCGCCACTCGTGGGCTTGATCTATCGCTAATTTCGCCGTCCCTCCGACATTTGCATTGCACTGCGGAGACCTTAGAACTGCTCAACTGGAAACCAGAAGGTGCGATCGACTATTTTCGCTGTGGACTCTTGTCACAACGAACAATCAGGTTATACTTTCCCAGCTCTGACGCATCTCGAACTGTTCAACATTGACGGTCATTCCCACGGCCGCGTACCTCAGACCCTTCTCCGCCTGCTGAGCAGAAAGCACTTTCCATATCTGGCACATCTTGCCATAAGCGCAACATCTGTAATCCGCTACCTGCCCGAGGTCATTCCGCACTTGCAAAACCTGGAGAGCATCGTCATCGTGAGCGCTTACCGCATTGTCTCCTCGACTCCTCTGCCAGAGAGTGACCGTCGAATATTAATGGGAGACCAGAGACTAGTTCTGGTCTCTGTTCCTGATTACGTCGAAGACTGGCAAGATGGGGTGTTGACTGCGAACGACTTCTGGGCAAGGGCAGCACGAAGAATCGCGAATCGATTATCCGGCGCAGTCGATGGTGAGTCGACTTCCGCATGACTTGGCGAATGCATCGATTGAGAAGTATATCCCAGCGAATCACTATGCCGTGAATTTCGACGACATGGAATGACGTGATTCTCACAGATGAAAACATAATGTACACTATGTCTTTGTAGAACTCTTCAGCCATACTGCATATGGTTTCATTGACGCTGTCCCGGGCGAAGACATATTAGTATCCTTGTAGCACTACTGCGCACGGGACCCCCAAATTCTCACAGGTCGGGATTTCGTTGTACCATACATCAACATGGAGTACCGAGCTCATTTCAAATAGCTGAAGCAAAAACCTTGCGTGTATTTATTCCAGAAGTTGGTACCATAATGGAAGTCGATCCAAGTCGATACAAATCCCGCACCAGTCTGTGTCCGCTGCGATCGCCGTCGTGTCTCCCTCAAGCGGGATCGGACGCAGCCGATAGGATAAATAGAAGAGTGTGATCAGTGTCGGATTTCCCCAGCAAGACAATAAGGTACCAAAGTTAACCTGCTAACACGCAAGTTGATGACTGCATTGCCACCCGTTCTGTCAGGCAGTCCGGCCCGGTACCTCGAAAAGTGCTTCAGTCACGTTGATTCCCAGAGACACACCCAGTCCGCTCAATGATTGGTGGTCAAGCCGCAGTCGTCTAACTCGATGGAGGATGCCCACCGTTAGGTGCTCACTTGGTCGCGTACAATAGTGGTAAAGACCGCCGTAACCTCCGATCACCAGCAAATGGATTCTAGGTTCAGCCTGAGTTTTGCAGAAAGCCTCTCAGGGAGCAGGCTACTGTAAGACAATGATACTACTTTCATGTGCAGTCACTGGAGGATAGATGATCCAGAAAACAAAACGCGAGCGCTTCATCAGAAAATGCTTTTCAAGGACAGTCTGCTCGGTCGACGCAACGAGTGAGGTCGCTTGTGAAATAGGGCTACGATTTCCAGTCGGCTCTGGAGAGGGAAGACGCGACGGGGCATAAACCGAAGATTTTTTGAACAAGTATCAAACATGGAAATGAGTTGAGGACTACCATGACGGATGTCTCATCTCACGTAAGAAACGCCGTGCATTGCCAAGCAGATCTTTTTTCAATGAATCGCGTGTCCAATTGGATTTAGTTTCATATTTGAAACGTCATTGCATCTATAGCAACACACTGTACTGTACATTGAAGTTCATGTTATCATCCGGGAGAATCATTTCATTCTAGTTCGTCGAAGTTGACGGCATAGTGAGTGGCTTGCAGATATGCCTCAACCAAAGCATTTCCAAAGCAATGCGGAAGCGACTCACCGTCAACGACGCCGGATAATCGATTTGAAATTCTGCGTTCGGCCCTCGCCCAGTAGTCGTTTCCGCTTAGCACCCCATCTTGCCAGTCTTCAGTGTAGTCGGGCACAGAGACGAGAACAAGGCGCTCATGCTCCATCAAGATCCGCCGGTCCTCTTCCGAGAGAGGAGTCGACGAGACGAGGCGGTAAGCGCTGACGATGACAAGGCTCTTCAAGTTTCGTAATCGTGGCAGGATCTCGGGCAGGGAGCGGATGACCGATGTGGCGCTCAAGGCAAGATGCGCCAGATTTGGAAAGTGCTGCCTGTCCAGCAGGCGGAGAAGTGCATGAGATACCGGTCTGTCGAATCTATTTCCGAGAGTGAAGAGCTCGAGATGAGTCAATGACGCGATGGTATATCCTGAACATCAATGCTCAGTAAACAGCTGTGTCAACTTGTGAAGTGTCATTTAACTCACCTCCAGGTTTCCAGTTTAGCAGGTCAAGGGTCTCCGCAGTGCAGTGCAGTCGTTGAAGAGATGGAGAAAGCAGAGAAAGATCAAGGCCGCCAGTGGCGCATCCTGCGAGAAACACATTCTCCGCACTATTGCAGCTCCTCAACACGCGCTCCACAGTGTCCCGCGTCTCCCCAATTAGCATGACGTTTCTGACGATGGCTTGCAGGGCACCCGGATGATTAGTCCACAGGCGCTCGATGGCATCCATTTGGCAGGAGGGGAGTTTCTGCTCATCAGCTCCGTCGTTCAATATGAGCGTTCGGTACAGCGCAGGTTCTAGCCTGTCCGGGATGGGTTAGTTGATGGGAACGCTAGTTGTGGTGCCACGGACCAGAATCGCACTCGATGGCAGACGGGAAGCAGTTGCAGAATCCTCTCTGGGCCGGCAGACTCGAGTGCGTACATCTCGACAATGTACCGTTCCAATTCACGCGGCATTCTGGGTGGTGCCGGATATTCAGTTTCTGGCGTGCTTTCACGGTGGAACCAGAACATAATCGAACAGGATTTTTGAAGCAGAGGGAAGATGGCGTATGCCTTGGGGGGGACTCGGAAAAGAGAGTGAGTGGAAGCTTGTGAGGAGCCGAAATGGACTGATGAACACACTTTATATGAGAGGGAGTGAATTGGATCTGACGTCAGACCTTGCTGTATGGCGCCGCTCGGGTATCCCGTCTCCCCACGACCTATATCCGGACTTCGAGCGCCCCAATGACCTTTGTAAGGCACGATCCGCTGGCCCTGAATTCCACGACAAAATGATAGGTATCGTGTTCACCCGACACACCGAGTTCGAGGCCTGCGGAGTGCATGGTTTTGATTGTTAAAGAAGTCGATCCAGCCCGGATAGGAAGAGTGGTTGATCCAGCCGTGAGTGTTCCCAGACTAAAGGCGGCCGGTCTTGACTTGGTCACGATGGCAACTCTTCTCTGTGGCAATCCAGACAGGCGCAGAAATAACGAGAGGCGCACGATGATGGCAGGCGCTTTCGGTCTTGGATGTAGAAATAGGCTCATGCGCCTACGGGCCTCAGCAGACAGCCGGCTTCCAACGCTCTGCAGAAGGTCCACCAGATGTCAGAAAGCGTCTTCAGGAATGTGAAATAGAGAGAGGTGCGAGTAAAATGTGCGGCCAAACTTGGAAGATGGAGGGCGCGGCAACTTGAAGCATCTCTTCGGCTGCCATCACAATAGAGAGGGGAAAGAGCGGGGGATGCACAGCGGTCGTGTCGGTTATGCTGGCGCAGGCGTGGGTTAGTGAGCGACGCACTCTTAAAATCCGAAGAAGACCTCAAGGAAATGCTTGGGGTGGTCAGAGTTGCATGCTTCGGGTGTCGACGCTCACCCTCGAGGGTTGACCGGTGAAATTTGTCAGGTGATTGACTACTTGGTACGACAAAACGTTCTTTGATCCCCAGCACTGCCACTCATGAGCGCATCGGGGCATTGTCGCTTTTTCGTTCCTCTGCCACCCACATCTCATCTGCTGCTTAAAGTCGCCAGACCACTCCCATGCTCTATGCCCCAGTCCTCAAGAAAGTTCCCATTGTGTCATATCTGTCTTCTCGTGCAGTGCACTCAAACGCAGCCAATGCCTCGAAACCTCGTGTCGCATGAGCCATGAGCTGGCAAAGAACAATGCAAATCTGCAATCAATACCTTAGCGATAACATCACCTTAAGAGGTCCCAGGGTGGCATAGGCATTGTGGATATTGCACCCCTCTCCTCTTCTTCCTCTCTCTTTCTGTTACCCATCCTCACCGGAGCGACCCAGTCACCACGATGCCTTCAGACCTCAACGTCTTCGCCGATGTGGATCCTGGACACGTCGAGCTTTCGAGCATAATCGAGTCGATGAAGCTTCTCAGGCTGCGCGCGATCGCGCTGTGCCAGCGGGGAGAGATTTGGAACGCAGAGGACACTTGGATGGGGAACCCCGAGATGATCAGCTTCCTCTCCGACGTCGTGCGGTGGTTGCCTGGCCAGGCGGAGGAGTGCTCGATCGCACGGTATGTCTCAAAGGCGCATGCCACCACTGTCTGCATGTGCTCACGGGTATAGGACCGCCATCGCTGCGAATTTGGGCCTGACGACCGCGCGGAACGCGAGGGACGACTACGTGCGCAGCCGCCCAGCCCCTCCCGGCACACTCGATCCTTCGTGTCTTTTCCAGGGCAGCACACCCGAGCCTCAGACGCTGACCACGCATAAACGCACTTGGCAAGAAACGCACCACGATGACGATGACATGGATGGTGATCCGCGTGGGTTTCTTGATTCCCCGACCAAGGCGACTATCCTAAGCACCCCGGGCAGCGGGGAGCCCAATGCCGTATTCCACTCCCGCCCCGCCCTCTCGCCCGATGAGACACTCGATATGCCGCCGTTCGTCCACCAGCTTCTGACTCCCGCTTTCATGGACGGCGTGATGCTGAGCTCGGACGGCAACATCACCACCTTCCCCCTCCTCGATCCGCACCCGGCGCTCATCTTGTCTCAGCCGCCCGTGCCGCCCATGAGCTCCCACCGCGTTGACCGCACGCCCGGGATGTCGGGCCTCAGCCCTTCGTCCCGCACCCTGTGGATCCAGCGTCAGCGCCGTCAAGCGCAGATGCAGCCTCCGCCGATAGAGCCATCGTCGCCGACGCCGGGACCGATGACGGCGAGACGCAGGCGCGCGATAGCCGCTGCTGCTGCCGCTGCCGCCAATCCTGCCGCGCAGCCGAGTGCTCCGGTGTTCGACCCACGGGCTATTGCGGCATCTCGCGGCCCCAGGAGGCTTGGATGAGTACGTTTACGTGCTGGTGTCAGAGGGAACGCTAAGAGAATGGATGATCAACTTGACCAATCTCAAAAGTGGAATTCAATCCTTATCTTGTAGTTTTTGACGAATGTAGTATTATGAACGTATCTATTGTTTTCGACAACGCAGTCCGACTCTGATAGCCTTACTATCCACTTCATGTTATATACACAACCAGGACTTTCCGTCCATCGCATTAATGGGGTAGTGGTAACCTGGGTCGTTGCCATTTGTCAGCGAGTGTCGACCCGCCGGGGGTTCGATTCCCCCTTAATGCATTTTGAGGTTGAAACTTTTCGCTCTTTGTTTTAACGTGTCCAATTTGCTGAACGCCGCCTCCATTGCTGTGATTTAAACTTTATCGGCTTCTTCGTACCCTACAAATGATTCTGCTCTGTTCCTCTCAGTATCCAAAACCGGAAAACTGGACCGGAGGGTTCTTGATTGATGTGCGGAGCTCGCTCCGCCATCACCGTGGCATCGCATGGAACTCGATCGCAGCCGGCGGGAAAAACATGAAGCATTTGATATTCTGGGTGCCTCGCCACGCACGCGGGCGAAGACTTCCTTTACGACGACCACCACGACCCCCCGCATGCCCCGCCTGCGAGCCCAGCGACGCCGTCCTTGAGCCCGAGCGCACCGATTTCGTTTCCGGACGATGGAACACCTCTCAGATAGCCAGATAGCGCGCCAGCTGTGCGTCGGCTGTTCCCGTTCCGCTCCCCCGCCGACCCCTGACGCTCTTTTCGTGTGCCCTAGACGGATTTCCGCGTGGCTTGTATTCAGCCCTTTCAGTGAGTGGCTGCCCCGATCGCGTCGTGCGCCGTGTCCGTGGCCCCGGGCCTTACTCACGCCACGCGACTGCGCAGCGCTTCTTTGTTACGAATATCTGATCACGCTCGACGACGAAATCGCGCGGTACTGGAGCGCGGGGCGCTCGTGGGGCTCGGCGCTGTTCTTCCTCAACCGCTACGTCGCGCTGCTGGGCTCCGTGCCGGTCGTGGTGGAGTTCATGCTCGCGTCCATGAATGCGGACGCGCGGAGGAAGCAGGTGCGTGGGTTCTGCCGGCTGGCGTCATTGGTGGGCTGACGATAGGGCCGGCAGCTGTGCTCTGCGTTTCAGTCGTACCATTCGTATTTTGCACTCTTTTCTCAAGTGCTGGTGTGCGGTGCGTTCCCGCTCTCGCATCGACTCCCGCCTCCACACTGAGCTCATTCCGCCGCGGCCACAGTGATCATTGTCACGCGCACATACGCGCTCTACGGCCGAAACAGGATCGCGCTCACAGCCATGGTCACTGTCGTCGGGGCCCTCGTGACTCTCGCTATCGTCAGTCTTTTTCTTTGAGTCCTGTGCGATAGCTCCCGAGTCAGAACTTGACCTGGTGCGCAGGTTATTCTCGTGCGAGGCGGAGACGACGGGGCTCTGTCCAGGAACCTGCTTGCGATTGGGTGCCCGAGTGCCACCTCACATCCACAGTAAGCGTGCTTCCTACCATCTTCCGACTCTCGTTCCCGAATATTAATATCCCGCTAGATCAATCAGTACGTTTCCCTCCCCACGTACATGTGTGTGTCATCGTTCTGACGGCGATCAGGGACTGCGATTGCTTGGAGCGGGATGGTAAGGAGCACTGCCTTGTATTTCTGACCGAGACAGCCCCGATAACACACCCCACAGCTTATCTTCGACTGCATGATATTCTTCATGACGCTCTGGAAAGCCGTGCGATTCAGTTTCAGAGGCCGAGAGAATTCAGGAACGTTGCTGCACGTGCTGGTCCGGGACGGGTCCATGTATTTCGGGTGCGTTCGATTGCCAAGTGTTGTTTCATTTTTCCGTGTATGCTCAAATGCGCATCCAGCCTTATGGCGATAGCCAATGCGGTCAATATCGGAACATACACGATGGGCGGGGTGCGTTAGCCGGTCTCGGCCTCACCTTTTTGGGCATTGTCTGACCCTCAAGCCAGCCGATAATGAGCGGGGCGGTGACGACCGGTGTCAATATGTCCGTACACAACCCCACCCACCGTCCGTAATTCGCGGTAGATCTGACACATACATACCAGATTATCCTCGGTGCTTGTCTCCCGCCTGATGCTCAACATCCGCGACCCCCGGCTGCCCTTCCGCAGCTCCGGCAGCCGGGGCGGCGCGCGGGACCTTTCGTCGACGTCGACGCACGCCGGAGCCGCGACGCGCACGGCGCTGCGGGGCTCGCTGTCGATGAACATGGAAACAGATATCGCGCTGGACTCGGTGTGGGTCGGCGACGGCGCCCCCGCGGACAGCGGCGCCGATCCGTATGTGGAGGAGTATGAGCTCGTCGAGGCAGGGCTGCCGACGAATATGCTGAGGCGCTGAGCTTACCCTGACTGACGCTTTCGAAATGTATTTTCCTTCCATCGCTGTCGTTTTACCCACTGTATCCCATATCCCTTCCGGTGTGCTTGTCGCGGTGAACTGTTCCGTGGATGTGACATGAGCACGGCAACCCAGAATTTGTACGTAGATGGTCTATGAATTTATACATGTTGCAATCCAGCACAGGCCTTGCACCCACGCACGGACATAGACCGATCACGTGCATGAAACACCCCTGCGTTTGTCCAATCAGCCGGTGATAGACGAAGACGAAGACAAATTCGTGGACAATTCATTTCAGCACTACCCCACCCACACACGTCGTGGGAAATGAAGGACCGGAATCGGGTATGCTTCATGACACGCATTCGGCCAAGACACAACTGACCGGAATTTGCACAGTCCATATTGCAGATAGTACTTAGTCATACACACATTACGTACGCAACAACATTCTAAGTCTCACGCCCACTCGAGCACATCGTCCTCCGTCGGGCCAACCGGATCGTCCGATGCGGCGAGATTGCACTGGTGGAACGCACGTACCGTGTCCGGCCCGAACGCTCCGACCACCGAGTGCAAGACGCCTCTGTTATGGAACAAGACGAGATCGTTCGCCTTCCAGTCGTGCGGGTAGACGAGCTGGAGGGGCAGAATGCATGAGCCACCCGAACGGGCACCGAGTGTGCGAAAGTACTCACGGACGGCGCGATTGCCGGGCGCTGCATCTGGTACAGCAGGTCTCGCACCTCTTGCAAGTCCGTCAGGTGTGCGCCATCGGGGTACAGAGCGCCCTCGCGCGCAGCGCCGGCGGGAAGAGGGCTGATCAGGAGCTCCGCTGCACCGCACGGATGGACTTGGAACGACAGTTCGCCCGTGACCGGGTTCTTCCATAGCTGCCGGCAGCATGAGTAACACATCCTATGCAGCACGGAGAGCGATACTGACCATTGGCAGGACCTTCACTTTGCTCTCCTCCCACGGCGGCAAATCCGCCTCCGACATCTCGAGGCCCTCGCACTCGATCCCTAGCCCAGTCGACTTGGCATGGGCGGGCGACATCCACACGTACGGGTGCGGGTGGTAGCGCACCCGGGTGCGGACCGCGACGCTCTTCAGCGCGGGCGGCAGGATGCCGAACATCGTCTTGCCCGAGACGAACGCGGTCGTGCCGAGGGGGACCGGCAGCTCGTCGCCCGTGCCGTCGTCGTAGCGCACGACCTGCGCGGGGCCTGCGGGCACCTGCAGCGCATAGAGCGTCGTGACGCGCGGCGGGGACAGGTCGTAGAGCGCCGCGTCGATGTGCCAGCGGTAGAAGCGCGTCACGCCGGCGGCGTCGTCCTCGGGGCTCACGACCGTCTTGTGGAACGTCTTGTGCGAGGGGTGCTTGAGCTTCGCCTCCGCCAGGCCCTCGTGGTCGTACACCGTCCCGTTCCCGATCAGCTGCACCTGCGGCACGCGCGGGATCGTCTTGAGATCTGGGTGGAGGATCGACTTCTTGGCGCTGGCGGTCTTGTTGTTGCCGTGCCCGTATGTGCCGGAGGCGGGATCGAATGCCTGTAGTTCAGTTTGTCAGTCGATGTCGTGTCTGGTAGATGTATGCGCGCACCTTGGTCAGTGCGTACTGTTGCTCGGGACTCAACGATGTGTTGCGGAAGAGCAGCGCGTCGTACTGCAGACACCAAGTGAGACACAGGTAAAGATTGGAGACAAACACAAGCCCACCTTGTATAGCGCTTCGCGGACCTCTTCAAACTGCTCAGGCGTCAGATTCCCCGCATCTAGGCCGACAACTTCACGCCCAAGCGCAGCGAGCTTAGACGCGTCGGCCGAGGCCGGTGCAGGCAGCGGGACTAGTTCGATGGCCATGGAAGGAGGAAGAGGAAGAGGACGGGGAGGGGAAAGAGCGATTGAGGTTACGCGACTCTATAGCCCAACCAAGACACCGCCTTTCCAAAGGCCGCGACGCGATCACGTCGAAACCTCGGCAAAAGTGCCGCGGGCGTCCACTTTGAGCATACTCGGTTCAGTTGGGGATGCCGTGCTCTGTGCGGGCATATGGGGGTCTGTGGCAGCACGCGGAGCCGTGCAGCAGCAGCCATCTCTGGCCGCTCAGTTAGTGTGCTCGATTTGATTTCATCTGCATCAATCTAGGAATGATACTCAGCCGCGGTAGATTTGATGCGGAGTGGTTCTTGCATACCTGATTGCACAGTCGCACATAGCAGCAGTCCGATTGTAGTTGTCAGTGTAGTGTAGCAAGGAAGTCAGTCATTCGAGGGTCCAGATGACACATAAACACGTGTTCATGACGTAAGCGATACTGCACAGCATCCCCAGGTTCGGGGCTGCCCCAGTCGAGCAAGATGTCGAGCTCCTTCAATCGTTGCAAGTAGCAGCCCTGGTATGCACCGGAGACATGCTGGGCCCACCCAGGGAAGAACATCTCCCAGGGCCGACTTAGGACCGAACTGACAAGCCAGTGTGGGCTTCTCCCGTGTATCAGCCTTCGAGCCATGTTGATGCCTTCCCTATTGCTGCCGATGCCTGGGGTCAGACAGAACTGGGCCTGTGCAACCATGCAGGCGTGATTGGTTAGGGATCTGACGCCCTATCTATCAGACGCACTCCTAATTGATAGGCAGCTGACAACGGGGGTCCAGACGGAGGGATAACACCATTGGCGCAATGCCCTTCTGGTCCCGTTCTGATGGGAATTGCGTGTGCACTTGGAATCTCTCCGCCGAGACAGTGCGTGAGTATAGTATACTTAGCTGCGTCCGTCTCTTTCTCACTCTCCTTTTGTGGTAACACAGACCATACCAGACCTATTTGAGATGAGCGCGCTCCCCGCCATCCCGCCAGACATTGCCATCATGTCAGTACCGTCCCGGCTCTCCCACTTATCTCTCGCTTCCTGCGTCAGAAGCTGACTTGCGAATGACTGATCGGCGTCTGCAGCACGGGCCCGACGGTGAGTCTAATTAGACGAGGTGCGGGGGTGCGAATGACGAAACAGCGGACAGATGCTCGGGATCTGCCTTACGTGGGGATTCATGGGCCTAACGCTCGTGCAAGTCTGTACGTATACCTCTGGGGCTGTACTCCGAGCTCTCACTCGCATCTAGACATATACTTCACGACCTTCTTCCAAGACCCAAGGGGACTAAAATGGCTGGGTGAGGCGGCCTCCTGGTCGACTAATGCCTTCGCTCATTGAGACTCTCCCACAGTGTTTTCCCTGTTCATCCTCGACGTTCTGCAGACGGTCATGGTCACGGCCGATGCGTTCCACTGGTTTGTGTTCGGGTTCGGCAACATGATCCAGCTCAACGACACGTTCCTCAACTCGTGGGACGTCCCGATGCTCGACGGCATCATCTCGCTCATCGTGCAGCTCTTCTACTGCTGGCGCATATACATCCTACGGGGGAGCATCGTAATCCCTGCAGCGATCGGGCTCGTGTCGCTGACCCAGTGTGTTGCTGGAATCGTTACGGCGGTCAAGGTACGTGGCTTTGTCCGTCATACCCCGAGGCAAGGGTTGGCTCAAAGAAGAATGCAGGCGCACATGCTCGGTCAGCTCTCTCTCATCAGCACGGAAGTCGTCGAGCAGACCGTAGGCTCGCTTCCCACGCTCTCAGACCCTCCGCTTTAACCCTCTGCAGCTCTGGCTCGTCGGGGGTGCCGTGGCTGACGTGGCGATCGCTGCGGTGTTGTGCTATACCGTGCGCATTTCCGGGTCCAAGCTACCCCGAGCCACGCCGATCTGACTGACGGCTCGGCACAGCTGCTGACTGTGCGAAACGCCGGATTCAAGCGTTCGCACAGCATCATCACGCGCATCGTCCAGATGACCGTCGAGACGAATGCGCTGACCGGTGAGCCACCTCCCCGGTGCGGGCTTATTTTGGCGCGTCGCTGATGAATCAACTTCGTGCGCAGCGAGCGTGGCATTGCTGGGACTTGTTCTCTTCTGGGCCGTGCCGGTGAGTTGGATTAGGATACATTGGAATATGTGGTGTTCACGCCGCCACTAATGCTCTAGCAACACTCCACACTCGTCGTGCCACCGTGAGCCTGTCCATCTTCTCCACCCTCCACGAGCACTAATAGCCCATTGCTATCTGGCAGGACTGCCATCATTGGAAAATTGTCAGCCGCTAACCGAATAACGAACTCTCCGGCCGTGTGACGCTGATCTCCGTTCATTTAGGTACACAAACAGCTTGATTGCGGTGCTGAATAACCGAGTTGTGGGCTCCACCGGCGTCTCGGCGTACGGCCACGGCTCCTCGCAGCAGAACGCCGGCAACACCGGCCTCGGCACCACCGCCAGCATGAACCTCCCGGCGTTCAGAGTCCCCGGCGGCGGCGGTGGCGGTGGTGGTGGCGGGCCGCAGAGCCCCGTCGCGGTCGTCGATGTGCATGTCGTGCGCACGCAGACGACGTATCATGACGGGGATGATATGGAGATGAGCGATATGGAGAAGGGCGTGAGTGTGTGAAGCCTGGATTGCGCGATTGTTTGATCTCATCCCGGCTTAGAAACCCCAGGCGGGGTTCATGTGATCAGGGGGCTACTTGGTTGGATGGGATATTTTTATTGTTCAACTCGTTATTGGATGCTGCAACTGTCGTGTATAGATCTCGCTGCAATTTGGTCAAACACGGCGAGAACCTCAAGTGAGCTGCGGACGTGGGTACCTGTCTGTGCCTCCCCAGCCATCATACTACAGAGAAGATGATGCCGGTCGCATGGCGCACGGCAGACCATCACGCCGCGGGTCTCTGCCACGGAGATCCTTCTAAGTTCTCTCCAGGGCCTGTCAGGCAGCGTGTAGACGTCGAGCCGTTGAAGGCTGGACCTCATGCTCAGTCTGCTTCCTTGATCAGCACTAACACCTCACCGTGGGAACGCTCTAGACAGCTGAGGAATCTACAATAGAACGCAGCACTGATGGCCTGTCCCCTCGATTCCTCGTCCCTCCCCCGACACCGACGCCCCGAGCCGCATCGAACGCTCCTCCGGGCCACGAGCAGATCCGACCAAACGCCCCCACATGTCCAGCGACACGAACACCAACAAGGCGAGCGCCGAGTCGCTCGCCCCCGCGCACCCTCCGGCCCTCACCTCAAGCGAGCCCGCCCCGCAACGCACCATGGCGCAGAGCGTCGTGCACAAGGTCGCCACACGCGATGGCTGGCTCGGAGGGTACGACTACGCCTGGCTGTGCCTGCCCTCGCTGCCGTGGTCGAAGGAGTCGCACGCGCCGCCGTTCTACGGGCTCAACGACGAGCTGCCGCTGCTGCTCGCGATGGCCAGTGGGCTGCAGCACGCTCTTGCGATGCTTGCCGGTGCGTTTTGACTGCGTTGATTGCCGATGAGCGACTGACGGTGCGCAGGGCTGATCACGCCGCCGATCATCTTTGCGAACTCACTCAGTCTGGATCCAAAGACCTCGGCATACATGATCTCGGCGTCGTTGATTGGGTGTGGTGCGTGCTGTTGTCATGCTATGAGAGAGGAACGCTGATGATTGCGTAGGTATCTTGAGTCTGCTCCAGATATCGAGAATCCCCATCGGAAAAGGCTACTTCGTCGGCACTGGTCTCATTAGTGGTCAGTACAGCTAGATAATATCGTGGTCATTGGCTAACAACTTCTGCAGTCGTCGGTACCAGTTTCTCTACCTTATCCACGGCGAGCGCAGTGAGTTTCCGTGCCTGTCCTCGCACCCATCTCTTAGACCGTTGCCAAGATCTTCAACGCAATGTACGCCGACGGAACCTGCTCCTCGACGACGAACGCAGACGGCTCGATCACGCGCAACGCCTGCCCGGAGGCCTACGGCAAAGTGCTCGGCACGGCCCTCGTCTGCGCGTTTCTCGAGATGTTCCTCGCCTTCGTCCCGCCCCGCACCCTGAAGCGCATCTTCCCGCCGCTCGTCACCGGCACAGTCGTCGTGCTCATCGGCGCGGCGCTCATCGGCGACTCTGGCGCGCTCAACTGGGGCGGCGGGTCGAACGGGTGCCAGACCGCCACGAGCGGCGCGCTCGCGCTTTGCCCGACGATCTTCGCGCCGCGCCCGCTGCCGTGGGGCTCGCCCGAGTTCATCGGGATCGGGTTCCTCTCGTTCGTGAGCATTATCCTGACGGAGCTGTTCGGCTCGCCGTTCTTGAAGAACATCAGCATCATTGTTGGGCTCGTCCTCGGCTGCATCGTCTCGGGCGCCGCCGGCTACATCGACGGCAGCAGCATCAAGACGGCGCCCGCAATCACGTTTTTGTGGGTCCACACGTTCAAGATCGGCGTCTATGGTCCCGCTGTGCTGCCCAGTTGAGACGATTCCAGCTTATGTGTGGGTTCAGGAGGCTAACTGCTCTCTCTCAGTGCTTGCTGTGTACATCTCGCTCGCCATGGAGGCGATGGGCGACATCACCGCGTCTGCCGAGGCCTCCAAGGTCGACGTCCGCGGGCTCGAGTTCGATTCCCGCATCCAGGGCGGGGTTCTCGTGCGTGTAATCTCCATCTTCCGAATCAGGAAAACTGAATCGACTCCAGAGCGATGGTCTGGGCGGCTTCATCTCGGCTCTGTTCACCGTCACTCCACTTTCTATTTTTGCCCAGGTACGTTTTTTATATATCCCTTGCTTAATGCGATGAGAGGCCCCGATCTCATTCAACTGTCGGCAGAATAACGGCGTGATCTCTGTCACTCGCTGCGCCAATCGCTCTGCCGGCCGATGGTGTTGTGTATTCCTTATCCTCTTCGGCGTTCTCGGCAAGATTTCAGGTGCCCTGCTCGCGAGTGCGTCACATTTCCAGCGACACTTTATCGCCGTGTCTAATCTAGCTTGAATTGAAGTTCCCAACCCGGTGCTCGGTGGAGTGACTACCTTCCTGTTCGCTTCAGTCATGGTATGCCTTCCTCGCTTCCGCCGCCCCTCATCACCTCCTGATCCACCTATGCAGGTCTCCGGTTTCCGCGTGCTGGCCTTCGCCAAGTACACGCGCCGTGACCGGTTCATTCTCGCGTCGGCGCTGTCCTTCGGCGTCGGCGACTTGCTCGTCCCGACGCTCTTCACGAACCTGTTCAACGGGGTGAACCACCCCAACGCCGCGCTGCAGGGCTTCTTTAACTCGATCACGATCATCCTCAGCACTCCGTTCCTCGCGGCGGGCATCGTCGCGGTGATCCTCAACCTCATCCTCCCCCGCGACGACTCGGAGCCGACTGCACTGCTCGAGCCCGCCGAGAAAGATTTCGAGTCGCAGGAGTGATTCGGCGTTGTGCTTGCTTGCCTTTTTTAGTTCAGCTTAGTTTAGTACACGAGTATTTACGTCCGTACAAATATTTTACGCAGCTTGTTACTTACTTTCACGCAATTTCACTGGGTTCATTTATGGTTGCAACGCTATATCAACATGATGTGTGTATGTGTGACTCAGATGATGGGATGTGATATGATCTGAAGAGTGCACCCGCCCCGGAACTGGCCAGATTGTTTTCATCGTTACACGGCGCGTTCCATTCCAAAAAAAAGCACGCAATCGGTGTGCATGTGTACCAGAACTCAAAAACGAACAATCATGCTGGTGACGGGATGCGCACGGGAGTGACAGCCCGACAGCCCTCCAAGTCATTCGCCGCCTTCGATATGTTCTTCCATTGAAATTCTTGGCTCAGCAGTGAGACTCCGAGCCACGTCAATTGATGTAAGACATTGTCACAGCTTTAATCCGGTATTACATCCTTCTCAAGGGATACATTTCCAAAATACATTCCGACTTCGTGAAAGCACATACCCTCGACCAGATCCCAGAGAAACAGACCAGTTAAAAACGAGATGACGATACGAAAGGAAACAAGGACGGCTCCTGGAGCGTGAAAGCGCACGAGAATTCTTTGTTGTTGACGTCGTCTTGACTCCCTCAGCAACCGAGTGAACTAGGATGGTGGTGATCAAAGCATTCAATTCGTCCTACCACACGAGTCCTACAAAATTGGCGGCTGGAGTCTTCGCCAGATAGATGAGGACTTGGATGGGGAGCCCTTGAGGTTGAAATTATCTCAGCTCAGTATGAATACCTTATGGGGTGTACACAAAGGAAAAACAACGGTTGCAACATGACTATATCTCCGCTCGTTTTTTTTTACCGTACATCGAGCCTGTTGTCCTCTTCCTAAATCTGTCTGTAGCTCAGGAAAGCTCTTTGAGAATAACCATCCAGTTGGCAGTGCTAGATTCTAAGAACTAACGGATGCACTGTCTTGGATCTAGGGTGTGTGCTTTTTACAGTAGTCGCGATGGGTACACTGGTCCACGGCAGGTGCATGATTCATCCTTTTTCACCAGTGAATAGAAACGATATATCTGGCAGATTGATTCTTCGATTGAGCCAGACTTGTAAAGTTCTGAGTCGTTGGCGGAAAATTCCGATGTGTTCGAGTTCTCTGGATGTTTCTCGGGACTCAACAATCAATGTGTGATCTGATTCAAGACCCTTTACGTGCACCAGTTGAGATACCACCGTTGCTTCCATCTGCGCAAAATGAACGGCGTAGTGACCATCGGCAATGTCCATGTGTTCGAGGCCCAAGAAGCCGGCGGCACGATCTCGAGCCATTCGCAGGCAGATGTCTTGGATCTTATCTCGCACCTGCCGATCAGTGATGTGTTCACAGGAAGATGATTCGCACCTTATCTTGCTTACCCCGGGAAGAGATCTGGGATGTGATAAGTCTATCTCCTGATCGATCCTCTATCACCCGTCCTTCTCCGCTTGTTTTAGGTCTCACCCAGCGCACCATGCGATGCAGGAAGTCCTCGGGATCAAGCAACTCTGAGGGAGTAACGCTCCTGCCGCGATGGCACCGCAGTCCTGCGCTGTTTTTGCATCAGGCGCCATTCCCCCTGCCACGCAGCCCATTGGATGCAGGACAGAGGGTCACCGGGGGTAGCCGCAGCGGACCCATCAGCTCTCACAGACATGCTGGCAAGCACATTGGACTTGGTATGCCCCTGCGTCCGATCTGACGTCGACACCCCCCGTCTCGGTGTCCAATCAAGCCCTCGGCGTCGTTGCAGTGGCTGTAACATCTCGAAACCGTATTCAATTAGGGCTTCGCGCTCCCACCATCACACTTCTGCCGTGTAAGAGTATTTTGGGATAGAACGAGCGGACGTCTCAGCGCTCTGGTATTTGAGGGGAGTGCGCGATGCGTTGTTTGGGTGTCTGTACCGCTCGAGTTCCCTGCAGCTAGTTCTATCCACTGTCCAGCACAGGCCATTTCTCTTCGCCAACATGAGCTTGCCCGCCATTCCTCCTGGTATTGCCATGATGTTTGTCTGACACCTATTGCCCCGGGACTGGCTCTGACGTCTCTGCCTTCAGCACAGGGCCGACGGTAAGCGACGTTGCTGGGCTTCAACAGGCATGTCAAGCTCACTTGGAACCCAGATGATCGGTATATGCCTCACCTGGGGATTCATGGGCATCACTCTCGTTCAAGTTTGTGAGTGGCCCGTGCTTGGTCCCCGCCGGTTGCTCAGTGGTATCATGCGACCCAAGACGTCTACTTCACTTCCTACTCGCACGATCCGCGCGGCCTGAAAACCCTCGGTAATCCACGGTCTTCTTGTTCTTCTCTGGTCGCACCTGCTGACGGCGCACCCAGTGGGCAGTCTGTTCTTTCTCGACATCCTCCAGACGGCGATGGTCACGGCGGACGCGTTCCACTGGTTTGTATTCGGGTTCGGCAACATGATCCAGCTTAACGACACGTTCCTCAACTCGTGGGACGTTCCGATGCTCGACGGCGTGATCTCGCTCATTGTGCAGCTCTTCTACTGCTGGCGCATATACGTCCTCCGCAAGAGCATGATCCTCCCTATCCTGATCAGTATCGTGTCGCTCATGCAGTGCGTCGCGGGGATCGTGACTGCTGTCAAGGTGCTTCTCGTCTGCTCTTCGGTCCCACGAAGATGGCTAACGATCGCAGGCCCACATGCTTGGCCAGCTTTCGCTCATCAGCACGGAAGTCGTCGAGCAGACGGTGACTGACAGCAATCTCATCCAAGCTGGCGTTGCTCATCCATGGTTTGATTAGATGTGGCTCGTCGGCGGTGCGGTGGCTGATATAGCCATTGCGGTTGTCTTGTGCTGGACTGTGAGTCCATTGTAGCAGCATTCTTGCCGTATCCGGCAGATCTGATACATGACTGCAGCTGCTGAGCGTCAGCAACTCGCAGTTCCGCAAATCCCACAACGTGATCATGCGTATCGTCCAATTGACCGTCGAGACGAACGCCTTGACCGGTGCGTTCATATTCCCTCTTTCAGGTCTTTTCCTTCTTCTGACGCCGATGAAACCCCCTCTCAGCCAGCGTCGCGCTGATTGGCCTGATTCTGTTCTGGGCCGTCCCCGTGAGTCTCCTGTCTTTTCAACTCCCGCCACATCAGATTGACGTGCGAGGCAGCAACACGCCACGCTCGTTGTTCCGCCGTGAGTTTCTCCGACTACAGCACCCGTGTGTCAGCTCACATTCTTTTTCAGGACTGCTATCATCGGGAAACTGTACGACCTGACCCTCTCTCCTGCTTCGAGTCTCCGCTGAATGATTGAGTTCTCCAGGTACACCAACAGTCTGATCGCGGTCCTGAACAACCGCAGCGTTGGCGCGAACAACGCCAGCGCATTCGGAAACAAGATCAGCGGCAGCGCCGGAAGTTCGGGCGGTCCGCACTATGGCAGCAGCGTCGAAGGCAACACCAACACGGCGGTCTCCACGAACATGCCGAGCTTCAAGAACGGAGTCCACATCGTGCGCACTCAGCAGACCGACACGGAGTTGGAGCTCTCGACGTTCGACCAAAAGGTAGCTCGACCTTGATCTGCCCTTGGATCATTCGAGTGGGCTGACATGCACACAGGGCTCTGTCATGGAGGTTTGAGTTCTGGACCGGGATCTTGTTTGTCTGTGTCTGATTCGCGGAGAATCTTGTATAGTGGCTTTTATTAGGGACCTGGTTTGTCAGTATCTATTTATTGAATTTATCGCATATGTATACGACACCACTCTCGATCGTTAGTCTTCATAGTCCAAACCAGTGCATCTATTTTCTTGATCACGGTATCAATGACCAGAAATATCACAAGTATAACTTATGGGGTTATCTGTATTGACGGCACAGATCTAGAGTCCTTTGTGTGACCTGGCAACATAGAACGACACAGTCCTACTTTCTACAGATGCATTCTAGTGTCCTAGTGTCCAGGTAATCAGAGAAAGCACTCCAACGTTTGGAACACTCCGAATCGCCAGGCCACCCACGCAAGAGCGAGCAGCACGAGACAAGCCTTCATCCAAAAGCATTGAGAGGTGCGCGAACCGTCTCCACTCCCCGCCGCTGCCGACGGAGACTCATCCACGTACCCGATCCAGACCGAGCCCAGGGAAGCCTCCACGGTGATCCGGTCCCCCTCGCCGTCCTGTACAACTCTGCTCGCGGTGTCTCCAACAAGCCAGTGCGTCGTGCGCCCAGCCTCGTGCAGCGGAGCGCCGCACGTCGCTTGTATGCGGGGTGACAGCGTGACGCGGTGGCGGCCCAAGATGGGCGCCCGGACGACGAGCTGGCCCTGTACCGGGTGCGATAGGAAGATGCGGATGTTCCCCATGACGGACACTGCAGTGAGCGATATGGGCCCGCCAGCGCCAGAATGCTGCATAGGCGCGTCAGTAGAGTGTATGTGCTTCTGCACCACTGCAAGGTGTTCGAGAGGGCCTGCCACGCACCACGTGCAGCTCAATATCGCCCGTGCGCGTCTTCGCTTCGATGTGCACCAGTCGCGCGAGGCGCCTCTTCTCAAGCCGCCGCTCGCGTGCCCGGGCCACTGCGCGCGCCATGAACGGACTATGGGGCTTGCCGTCCGCGTCTACGTCGAGGGACGTACCCGCGCCGTCCCCGTCCTTACCACCTAGAGCGATCTCGTCGGCGGGAGGAGGCAGACGCGGCCGCACATCGATGTCCGCGGATATCTGGCCCCAGACATTCACAGAGAGGTTCGGGTCGAGCTCCGGCTCGTCCCAGAGGTATGCCCGGTACGAAAGCCCAAACGGCACACGCAGCGAGCGGGGGATGTCGAGGTTGGGGTCGATGATGAAGCGGGCATTCCGAACGCAGCCGAACGTATGCTCGATGGAGACGCGGTTCTGTGCGCGAGTGAGGACGCGGTCCTCATTGTCGAAAGGAAGCTGTCAAAGAGTCAATGTTGTGATCACGTCAGTGCTGTTAGTAAGCCCGTTCTTGCCTTGTCCTTCCGCGGTCTGTGGCTGTGCCTCAGGCCGTTTCGAAGAATTTGTCCTTGTGTACGGCATAGTACGGGCAGCCCTTGCTCGCAACTAGTCCGCCTCTTCATCAGCTCTCTCACCGTCACCACTTCCTCACTTTCCAAGCGATTTCGCTTATCGTTCAATATGTCGGCAAGAAAATCTTTCTTCCCTCAGAACTCCGCTCCAGCTTCTGTCCCACCACCTGCGCTTTTCGTTCCTGACCAGTCAAACCCACTACACAGCTCTAGCAACGGCTCTTTCACCGCCCCTTTTGACATCCCCAGTCTTCTCAAGCCTCAACGATCTCAACAACATGCCTCACAGGGACAGCCGCCGTCTCGACGCCAATCCATGAATGCTTCCATCCGGCCATCGACCGGCACTCCTCATGCTCAAGGTCCCACCCACTCTCGCGTTCTCGACGCCCTCAACGCTGCGGGTCTCATCACGCGTCCCGGAACTTCTGACCCGCATAAACGGTCGAAAAACTTCGCGACCCACCGTCTGCCATCTCACGGGCCCTCTGGCGCGACAGGTGGTACTCCCAATGTGATCGTCGCCCCATCGCCGCGCATGCCAGCATCAGCTCTCTTTCGCGAACCGACGGCTTCTTCTGCTGGTGCCTTGAAGAAATCTGCACTCACACCTGTGTCTCAAGCCGTGTCAATGACGCCGACAGGCGAGCAGCCCCAAGACGAGGCGCATATATTCGGCTTCAATGCTGCGCAAGAGCACACAGATGCTTCGAACAATCGTCCCCTCTCTCGCCCTATGCACTCTACTCACGTTCACCCCCATCTTGAAGAGGATAGCGACGAGCCGCCGATGCTGCAGTCTCGATCTCCCTTCCTGCACCAAGACCATGTCAATGCCGGTGTCCGCGGGACAGACCAGCAAGATGACGACGTTTATGAGATTCCCGAAGCCGAGATGCGCGCTCGGGGATCCAACTTGAAACGCGGACGATCCGAGGTCGAGGACGGCGAGGGAGATGATCACGGGATGGGCTATGGAGCTGGGCAAGCGAAGCGGTTCAAGGCCCAGGAGCAGGTGTGTACATCATCCGCCATCGACCAACTGCAGAAACACGCTTGATCTTGACTGCAGCTGGAGGATTTGGGGTACGAACGGATGGCATTGCCCGACCCCACTCATCCACGGCAAGATGTCGAGCACCACCATCAGCTTCAGCATCACCACGATGGCCGTCCGCAGCGTGTTCCCCCGTCGACTTATGTTAGCTACTCCGGTCGTCCTTATGACTCTATCCAGCCCATCTCGCCTTCTCCTCACCAAGAACAGGCTTGCGGTTCAGACCCCGACTCTCATGCGGAACGCGAGCGACCCGAAGCGTCGCCTCTGCTCAAGCTCCTGCGCGTTGAACAAGTTGATCTCCTCTCCGCTGCTCGAGTGGATAAGTATATCCAGTCGACTGAGAAGTGGAAGAATTGCACCCGGGAGGAGTGGATTGCAGGAGCAGATGGTACTCCACTTTCACCTCTTGTATCGTAACACCGACGCTGTGCAGAGCTCATGAGGATGTACACCAAGATCTTCGACTTCGTGAGTCATTTCTGGTAATCTTGGCTATGTCTCTGACAGACACTGCTAGGCCAAAGCTCACATGACGTGTGTATCTTCTACATGTTCTCGGTCTTGCCCTCCCTCATCTGTCTCGCAGCGCCAAGTTCCAGATGTTCACTCAATGCGACGACAAGCTCAAAGCACACAACGAGCTTTTGAAGGAACGTGATACGCTGCTGGGCGATGTGCGGGACCAGCTTGTCGCGGAGGGTGGAAACGTACTGGCCAAGTGATTCATTCAATCGTCTTCCTGTGCGACGCTGTGTCTTCTGTTCGGGGCCCGGTGGACTTCTGAACTTACAATAACCTTCCGTATACTGCACGTTTCTTGCTGTTGTGTGATACTCCACGGGTCTGAGCACCGCATGTGCAACTGCTGTATCCGCACAAGCTGTGTAATTGTGTGCTAGCTATGTCGAATGCCGTTGCGTTGTGTGCCTGACCGGGCGTCCGGTGTACTTATAGCCTCAGCCACTTAGAGTCACCATACCACATGGGTTCCGACTGCGAGACAGTGATCGATTTCTTGAGCAAGACTATACACACCGGGGAATCATTAAAAAAAAAAGGTGCCCCAATAGAGCTGTTCAGCAGAACCAAAAAATTGATTTGTTTTTTACGAGTTTCCTGGTTGTGGAGTAGACTTTACTTCCCAATTACTTAGGTGTGGAGTGTCGTAGGAATATAACCGAGGCCGAATTTTGACCGAAAAGGAAACATGCCACCGAAGACGGATCTGATCATTCTGCACATGTAAGCAGATTGAAGACACTGTTGTCCTCCATATTGGCAAGAAGACCGAGTGTTGATCAAATATCATCTGTCAAGATGGATGTCGTGATACACATCTATGACTCCATCACGTGTTATCTAGAGTCATATCGACTTGTCCCAAATAGACACAAACAGCCCCCTGTATCATATATAAGGAGGGCTCGATTACCCTTTAATACAGGTCTCTTGACTACTCCTGCATAGTGCCCACACTAAGCTCTCAACTCACACAGGTGGGTTGCTAGACGCTCTCCCCAGTGCTCAACAGGTTATGGGCCCCGAGAGCTATGTCTGCACCTCAGTGGCCGCGACATTCATTGTATGCACCGTCACTGGCTGCAACAATGAGCAGCGTCTTTAGCCTATCTGTATTCACTTCAGCTGCTGCATAGTGCTGGTGAAACCATGCCGGATCGCGATTACATTGCTTGATCCAGATGCATCGATCTCTGAAGGAGATTATGATCTATGAGGATCTGATCATCTTTATCTTTGATTTTATCTATCAGATTAGATTGATGCTGATCACTCACACAGATCAATATGTTGTCCAACTCCAACAACATCTTCAATGCTGTCTCCATCTTTGATGGAAAGCACTGGCTTGTATGGTCCGGAACTATGGAGTCCTACCTGGAGCATCAGGGGATCTCATATGTGCTGACCGAGACCGTGCTGACCGAAGTCAAAGCTACGGATGGCTCTGTGACCAACGCATCGGAAATCAGACAATGGAAGCATGATGATCTCAGAGCCAAAGGCAGCATTAAGTTGCGCCTGACTGAAGGTGTCATCGCTAACATTCCAACCGCCAACATAGTGTCAGCTGCCAAGATCTGGGAGCACCTGAAGACCCAATACAGTGGTGCTCAGTGCGCTGACCTGTGCGCGTACTTCCAAACCGCATTGAACGCCAAGTACAATGTGGGGTTGCACCCGGATCCACAGCTGCTGGTGATCACTACGGTGTTCACTCGCCTGGAGAAGGAGTCTTTGATCATCCCTGAGTTTCTCAGAGCAATGATCATTCTCAACATAGCCCATATTCCCTCTGTCACAGAGACTGTTCTGCAGCCTTACGACAAGGACAAGATCAAGGTCTCGGTGGTTTGCGACCACAAAGCCAGAATCATGTGGCCAAGTTCAATACCAAGCGCAAGCGCAATGACCCTTTGTTCACCAATCAGCAACAGGGCTCTGGCTCTGCACCCGATAAGGGTGATAAAGCTGATGAAAAGAAGAAGAACTGTCGAGGCAAGCACAGTGGGAAGAACAAGGACAACAAGGGGAAGGGCAAGGCCGATCATGGTCATGTCCATGGTATCTCCAAGATCACTGGCTCCCTCACTATCGGTTCGATCACCTTGCTCACTCCGTCTATCCCTGCGCCGACGATCTCGCATGTCACGCACATCTCTTGCGATGGACCCAAAATCCGCGCGGTTCAAGAGAAGTCTCCCGTTAACAACAATGGGATTATTGACACCGAGTTCCAGAAGCCTACTTGTAAGGTCTTCGAGCTGGCCAAGAAGATGGATGTGACAGTGACTGCAGAACGCTTCCGGACTCTTGACAAGATAGTCAATGAGAAAGGAATGCTCCGCGAGGACGCAATCATGCGTTCTCCATCTCCGGTTGCTTCCGGCTCGAATCACACTCTGGATGGTGGTCCTCCTGCCAAACGTAGTCGTATTGAGGAGATCCCTGACGTCAAGATGGCCACCGGCCAACAGAACAATCTTGATCTTCTGTTTGGAGATAGCGAGTTCGCCCAGGCTGAACCAGTCAATTGGGATGAAGTTGTCGACTTCAACGCCCTTATGGGGAAATGGACGCGCCTTCTGCCGAAAGGCAAGTACCCTGCCTTCTTGGGCATATGCACAATTCTGATTGTTGCTCACAGCCAGAGCGCGTAATCACCGCCGCCCCGGGTTCTGTACTCAATTTGTTGATGATTTGATCGCATGATTTTTGTACAAAATTATACTGTGTGCACTCCGATTTTGCTGCCTGCTCTAAGTGTAAGGGGAAACATCATCATCATCATGAATTAGGACCTCTGTGGCTTCTTGAATCTGGTGCATCTCTCCATGTGACATCGGAGATTAGTGATCTGGTCGGATATGAGAAGCACTCAGATCCTATTGTTGCTCAGACCACTGATAAGAACACACGTGTTGCCCTTATTGGTCGAGGAACAGCCTTTATCTCAGGGGACGCCGCGCTCGTTGGGCACGTGACCATGCACGTGACCCACTGCGCCCTCTCTGCCGACCCGTGCCTGCTCACCTGTCGATCACCCAGCCTCCTCCTCCTCCTCCAATCCTCATCTCCATCCATGCCGACATCCGCCCTCTCCCTCCTTCCCCCAGCCATCTCCCTCAAATCACTGCAAGCGGTCTAGCCAAGCCTGATTCCTTGCACCAGGGAGTGCTACTGCCGTATGCACTCCTCCCCCTTCACTTCGGCCTTCTCCCCGCGGATGTGGTCTACTGCCATACAGGCTCGTACCAGATGCCCTTGCACTCATCCGCACCACCCCTCTTCCCAGTCGGGCATTGGTCCTTGCCTCCAATGTCTCCACTGGCTGGCCTGGCACTGGCCTGGCCACTGGGCTCCTCCAGTGTGGCCTTCCACTGTTGGTGTCTCAGGAGCTGGCCATCACTGGCCCCTCTGAGCCACTCACTATCTTATCTGGGTTTGTCATTATCTACTTGTCATCTGCCATTGTTCCATGGCAGTGATATCCCATCATCATCAGTCACTTGTCACAGCTGACTATATAGTGTGACACCTGGGCACATGGATCCTTGAACCGTTCTCTAAGGATCCCCCTCTGTGCTCAGGTGAGTAGTATACCTCCCTTGTATTTGATAGTCTCTAAGGATCCCCCTCTGTGCTCAGACTCATGTGAGGTTGTTGTGTGCTGTGTGCTCTCTTCCTTTGGGCTGGCAGGAGTTGCCCTTACACTTTATCAATCATTACGTCACAAGGCATGGAGAAAAGACTATGGTGACTTCTCAGATATATCCAGTGTACCTAGTGCCAGGATTACATGGTCGTCTCATGTCTTTGGGCTCCTTACTCAAAGGAGGATCTCGTGTTCGTGGAGACAAATTGCGGATCAGCTTACATCGAGGGAAGTCCCCACTCTCGATCATGGAGTTTAGAAGTCTAGGGAGGGACATTGCCTTGTACTTCCTGATGTCGAAGCCTAGCACGGCTGAGACAGTGCAATCCATGTCCACTGTTTACAAGGTAGATTATGAGATCATGCACCGGCGATTTGCACATCCGTCGAAAGACGTTTTACATCAGGCAAAAAAGAATACCAAGGGCTTTCCAGAAGACCTAGTATTTCCCGAGGAAACCCGACCGTGTAAAGGATGCGCGCAAGGGAAAATGCACCAACGTGCCTTCCCGCCTTCCAAAAAACAAGCAGAGAATCCGTTTGATTTGATCCACTCGGATCTCAAACAATTTCCCATGGTGTCTTATCACAAGGACCGCTACTTCATGAGCTTCTTTGACGAAGCACCCTCCTATGGCTGGACAGTATGCCTTGTGCAGAAATCCGACACCAAGCAGGCTATGCGCAATTTCATTGCGATGGTCAAAAACCAGTTCAATGTCACCATCAAAAAGTGGCATATTGACAATGGGGGAGAATTCATGGGGATGGGAATGGAAGAATTTCTTGCGGAACAAGGAATTCTAGTGGAGAAGGGTGCTCCATATGCTCACCAGCAGAATGGGCATGCTGAGCGCTTCAATCGTACGATCATGGATAAGGCAGAAGCCATGCGCTTCACTGCCTGTCTTCCGAATTCTTATTGGGAATTCGCAATAAAACATGCAACACGGATCTACAACATGACACCTATGAGGCGTCTAAAATGGAAAACTCCATTTGAAGCCCTTCACAAGGAAAAACTGGATGTTTCCAAACTCCGAGTCTTTGGTAGTGCTGCATACGTCTTTATCTCTGATGAGAAGCGCGCTAACAAGTTATCGCCCAAATCGGAGCTGATGACCTACTTGGGTGTTCCTGATGGTGTGAAAGGATTTTTATTCATGCGCACAAACAATTCCACGTTTGTCGCCACCAAGGCATTGTTCGACAAGGAGTTGTTCCCACGCTGTCCTGACAGCAATCGACCACCCCACGTTCCTGTTGGAGAGGAATTTCCAGAATGTGATGACCCAGTGAATCCACAAGATCCACCACAGGTAGACAGAGAAGATTGGCTATATGTGGATGATCCTTTTCCATTTCCCATGCCATCTGATCCGGCTCCACCACCTCCCGTACAAGGAAATGATGGTGGTGACAATGGTCATAATTGTCCGGACCCACCGCCAGAGCATCGGGATGAACCTCAGAGGACTCGTAGAAGTAGAATTCCACAACCAAGTCGGGAAGCTTCACCAGCTCCTGAGCCTCAAAGGTCTTCACGCCAGCGGCATGTGCCGACACGTCCAGGAAACGTCTACGGGGAAAAGCGTACCCCTACGGATATAGTCCGTGACAGCCAGAACAGCAGAGGATGGAAGTGGTATGTTGGTGAAGATAAGGGTAGCTCCCAATCTCAACCATCAACCGGTGCTGATGCAGGGGTTCCCGGCCCTAGCTTGCAACCAGGTTCCTCAAACGCGGTGAAATGCTGAGGGCGTGCTCACAGGTGAATCTACTATGAAGTAAACCCAAATAAAAACATGTTCACACTTGTAAGGGCAACCTCGAGACCCGATCTCAGAGTTCTGGCAAGGGAGAATCCAGAGTGAATAAAAGTGGTAGCTAGGTACAAGACCGGTGATAGGCTGGCTACCAGACGCGCTCTGCACCAGCTCTGTAAGGGCGTATTTTTGCGCTTTTTACAGAGTTTACTCTTGAACCACTCGGTGTATCGTGTCGC